CAAGGGACGTTTGTTTAAATCGCCTCTCTGTCTCTTTCTTGTCATGCTCATCTTTTAAGACATTCAGCCCACCCATCTTTTCTTCCAGTGCACTCTATATATGATACGGGATGTTAAAAATAGGTTAATTCTGTATCTCAAAATACGTAATAAGCAAGAATAGTTATACATACAGCCAGCGTAAGAGTGAAGGTCACGAAGTGCACAGTATTGTTCTTCTGCCTGCGAATTTCATCAATGATGCCAACACGCTGCTCTTTGGTCATCACGTATACGCCAGGAACAGGTGTTGACATCGTCCAGTGACGAATTGCTCGGTCTATCTGGAGTGGTGGCGACAGTCAAAAACCGAATCAAACAATGTGTGAATATGTTGTATTCGAGCAGTATATACACCACATTTACGGTAACATACTTGCACTCCGACGAATTTATCATATTTCACCTTTTGGCATATGTCAGATGATATTTCATTATCCAAGTAGCACTAATATATTTATTTCAGTTATGGACAGTTATTTTATCATACTTGATGTACCTTACGGGAAATTGACAGCTTAGACAATATGTCAATATAATCTACCCACGGTAGTCATCTTCCCGTTTGCAGAAAATAGTTTGGTTCATTGTGTCTAAAAGAAACCCACATTTTTATGTTTAATAAAGTCCAGTTCTTTTTTGAAATCTGGTTAATACTCTGTCTATTTTATCATTTTTGTCATTGGATTTTTCAGAATCAACTTACCGTGTGAATGGACAAATGAAGCTTTAGTTTTGAGAACGTTTCAAAGCTGCCATAATTGTACAGGCTGGCAATTGTCCTTATTATGGCCAAGAGGCCAAACATTGCCTTGTGATGATCAAAGCTTGTTTTGCCTTTGGAATTCTCGTCGTATGACGAAGAAACTTCAGACAGTAAGATCTCTGTCGACAAGTCCTCCACCAAAATTTTTCCATCCCCATTATACTTCAGACGTCCATCGGTAATCCCTTGACTTTGTACCTGCATGGTCATAGCGTTCAGCTCGATCTCACCCGGAAAAACCAACACACTGCGATCGTGCTGCAAAAGGAATTTATTGCGATTTCGCAACATAGGGTCGACAACGTAAATCGTAGACATCCTTCTGAGGACGAAAGTGTCTTTCCTGTACCTGGAATCACTTCAAGACTATGTCATCCTGTTTAGTTAGTTTACACACGTCCCTTTCTTTCTCTTTTTGGTTGAGAATAGGTAATTTTAGAGTGATAAAACTTACATTTGTTCCAGGGTACGGTCGATCAATGTTTTCTCAGCAGTATTGGTTGTGGTAACAATAAATCTGAGACTCCCCATTCCACTTTCAAATCCCTTAATATTAACCTATTTGAATATTATGCAACATTAATATCGCCCTACTCATCTAAATGTATTAAATCTTACTGCATCTGTTACCTGCGAAATTGCTGGCTGGAACAGTCGATCTACAACTTTCAAATCGATGCTTATGTTCATGTTGATGAGACGTTCATACATATCGGCTGGGAAGAGAGGGCGACGTCGCAATTCTTTAACGCACCAAATAATGTCGTGTTTTTCAGGGCTAAAATTGACGCGCTTGTCAGTCTTTGAGCAAGTGACTCAACTTTAACTTACCTTAAGAACGGAAGTGTCGTAGTTTCTTGTAGGCATTTAAAGAGCTTCTTCCAGCCGTACCAGATATCTTCTATCTCTTCGGTACCTTCCTCAATGCCATTAGGGGGTGCCAAACATTAAAAAAATCATTTCCTTAATTTTTAAGAAATATTCCCGGGAATTTCTTCCCAGCCAAATTCCCTAAACTTTGCGGGAACGATTTTTTGTGCCCGAGATATCTCAGGCAAGAAAAGTGTACTTTTAGCCAGTCACCCACACATAAAAAAATCCCTCTTCATCGGTATCGTTTATATGCGTTCTCTTGCGACGTTGATTTTGCATGTCGTCTACTACTTCTTCGGCCATTTGGCTTTGCATACGTCTCTGAACAATAGTTAAAGTTAATATAATGGCTTTTATATTGTATTGTTTTGTACTTCTTTATTTTACCTTTTGGGCATCATATTCAATTTTATTTGACGCGACAGAAGGTTTTGTTTTCCAGAACCTGTTTATTATCTGCTTGCTTGATGCGGTCTATACAAGTAACAATATTTTGTCAACGCGTTTTTTCGTACTATTTATAATGTTTTTTTTACCATTTGGGAACGAGTCACCAGTCTGCGCATTGTCTCCGCAACGGGACAATGTCTATACCTACGTCTTTTTGTAAATTTTGCTACGTTTTTTTTAGTGCCACGTGATCAATTCTTTTCTTACGTATTTTGGAACCATCAAAGACGGCTTACTACTCAATAATCTGACCCACCGTTTTTGGTATTGTAAAATTCATGCTTACAATGCCTACAACGGGTAATGGAAAAGTCTTCATTATATAGAGGAGTCTAGACTTAGCCGTGATAATAAAAAATGGGAGAGTATCCCCCCTTTTTTTTTTAAAAAAAAAAAGGTAATATTTTAGCGTTTTTTTTTAAAAAAAGCAAAAGTTGTTATTAACTAACCTTTTTCCAATTTTATTACTTCTCTTTAAAAAGTTGGTGTTATACAGGATATGAATAAAAAAGAAAAAAAAAAGATGAAGAGAAGAAGGGAAGGAAAAAAATGTTTAAATGGGTTTTATTTGTAGACTGATAAACAGGAGCTGGCTTATGTCAGGATGATTCAATTGTTTATTCAATCAGAAGATCATGTGAAAGAGTTTTATTTATAAGCTGATAAACAAGAGCTGGCTTATGTCAGGATGATTTAATTGCTTATTTAATCATCCATGTGTTTGAGCCTGTTTTGCATGGAGAACAAAATTAAAGTAAACCAAAAGTGATACTGTTAGAACTTGGATACCACTTTATTATGGACGAAAAAAATATAAATTAATAAAAAAACGTATGATGGTCTATGAGAAAAAACTATGGATGTTTATATGAAGAACTTGATAGTTCTGGGGAGAATATTAAGCGCCTTATTGGATCATGATGTAATAGCCTGGTGATAATAAATGATTAGAATGTCTTTAAATTTAGCCCCTCCATACTGAGTATATAAATATTAGTCAGAGGGATCAACAGTTATAACATCAAATGACAAGAGTAATATTTGTGCTCAGGATCTATTAATATTCTATAGTCCAGGCCCATTCGATTGTATTGCTTTTGCGGAATAAATATTTACTCGCCACAGGGTTGTACCCTGTGTACCGACTTCAACGGTAGGATGGGAACAAGCGGGGTAATGTGTGATTCATGATTAACTTTTATATTATTATCCATCCTTAATGTGATGTGACAATTAACTTTATTATTATATCTACGACATTCTCAACAGAGCCTTCACATACCAGAAAACAGGTGTATTCATAGACGTAAAAAACAGGCGCATAAAAAAGTATGTAGAAATTAAAAGTGTATAGTAGAAAATAAAAGTACGTAAAAAAAAGACGTAGGTGTAGACATTCTCTTTCATTGAAAGAGCAAAATGACCTCTCATCATGTTGATATTGAAACCAGTTTCATCCACAAAAACCCAGTTATCGAGGTAATTTATATTCAAACTAATAGCCCATTCATTTGTCCACTTGTCACGTACTTCGAGGTTCTTAGGGCTATTTCATGACCAAAGTTTTAAAGTCACTCGCTTGTTCATCTGCTTCTCTTAGATGCTCCAGCTGGGATCTTCCCTGAGTCTCATCGCCCAGATCTATGCTATTCGTGGCTTTACGTTGCTTTTCAAAGCTTGATTCGGTTAAAATAATAGAACACTGACTTCGGGCTATCAGAATACACATTGTACTTAATGTCACTAATTTCTGCTTGGGAAAATTGGGGGCGAAGACACTGTGCCACCTTACTACTGTATTAAGACACCAGCCCAATTTTAGGGTTTTATAGGATGAATTTACTAAATGATATTCTACTTCGTAGTGAACGGCGTAAAAACCTGCAAGTTTTCCTGCAACATATAAGCACTATATTTAATTCTCATTTGACAAGGTCAGACTGAAATCAAGTAACAATTCACACAAGTTGACTTTTGGCGTTATCCAAGCCTTATTTTATTACATCCTCTCGCTGCTTATTTTACAAAATTAGTGTTCCAATAGCGTATTACTATACATTTTTATTGCTTTTTTAAGCTCGACTGCATACTTTTTTCAATATTGTTAAGAGGGGATATAGAGTTGATAGAAAGTCCATCGTATAGTAATTTATAGCTTAATTATGGTACCGGTACCTATGGATCATTAGAGTTAGCGAAGATGACTTGAAAAATTAAAAATCAAACTTACAATCTTTTGCATTAAAGTGATAGTAATTATCGATGGTCAGCTCGTTTCTAGCAAGAGCTCTGATAATATCTTGAGATAAGATGCCACCAACAATGGAGGCAACCGAAATAATTTCGGCATGATAAGAGCTAGCCAGCTCTTCTAAAAGATCGTCGCTCAAACGGTTAAAATCATTTATACCAATTGATTCTAAGTAGTTCTTTTTAGATGAAATTAGGGCCACAGCATCGGATTCTGTAGGTGATCTGTTGTGCTCCTTTTGAAAATTAAGCAAAACTAGGAAAGGTTATTAGTTGCTTTGACTTTTTTGAATAATAGCTTACATACTGTGAACCAAAAGAACTAAAGGGGAAAGTTTTTTCAACTCTTTAGGTCTTGCTCCTGCCCAACTCTTTCTTAATGAATCTTCCAAGCTAGGGTAATTGACTGTAACAGGTGTATGTTCAACTTTGGGATTTTCTGAAGGTCCAGACTTCTTCACTCTATAACACTTATTGAGCTCATTTGCATTTAATAATACATAAAGTGTACTTACTGAACATATGTGTGCTCAGCTAAATCGCAAAATATGTAGCCGTACCACCCAAAAACGTCACCAGCATAAAATGGCTTATTAACGTTTCTTCTCACCTTGTCCACACGACTCTAATAAATGTGTCAATTTACTACAGTTCAAATTTCAGCAAAATTCCATACCATAATGTTGTAGTTAGAATGGACTAAGCAAACAACTGTAAAAGATTCGAAATAATCATCAGTCTTTTCATTAATATTTTCCTGATCCACAAAGACCTTCACACGAGGATTTAAGTTCTCGATAAAAGGAGCGGACGCTTTTGCTTTCTAAAAAAATAAAATATTAATGCTTGTATTAGCAGTGACAATACTAGGTATATTACGTTTTGTCCGACGTTTTCTTCGGTTAAAAAGAATTGTGCGCCCAAGTCAAATTCCGTTACAAGTTCATGGTCTAATAACGTAATACTTGCAACACCTGCTAAAGCGAGATTTTTGCAGACTTCATCACTTAGAGCACGCATGCCAGCAATGAGAATGCTGGCTTGACCAATTCTATTTTTTTTGTTAGGCTTCATTTCTTTTGGGTGATAGCTGCTCAACCTTATACCTTTTTTGTGCCTCAGGACCCCAGAGTCTAATTTGTCGGTCATAAATTGCAGCTTCGTCTGAATTCAATTGATTTGATAAGTTTATTTGCACTTGATTTGATATTGTTTTTGGTGATTACCTTTAGTAATTTCAGTCGACATTTCGTGTTCTACTTAAAGCTGGTTAGGGGGGGTTTTTTTTTTAAAAAAAAGGCGCGTTCTTCTGTTTTGAATGCAGTCACGAGCGGCTTCTTATTTTGTGCGCTTTTATATGCTTGCTTGACATTGATATGAAACAGCCTTAGTAAAAACGCCTTAGGAACTGATATTATCGGTATCCTTTTTTTGCTGAGGCTGTATGAGATCATAACGTCTAGATATATGGCCGAAATAACGAAAAAAACATATCCTACAAGAATTGTTGATAGCGTTTTAAGGTACGATTTTGGTCTGATACAGTACTTCACTTCATAAACACGCGATATAATTTATCCTTATATCTTTGGTTGTTAAAAACAAATGTATTATTATAAGAGGATTATGTTTTGTCTAACAGGTCTCAATACCATTAAAAGTTATTCTTTCATAGGCCAGTGATGATTTATGGTTAATTTTTTTCTTGATGCTGGATGATATACCACAAAGAATTTGTTCTGAGCGCTAGTTGCTAAACTTTTATTAGGTAAAAATGCCAAGTTTCATTAAAAAATCTCTTGTGAGGGCGTCATAATAACAATCGTATAGCATACCATTGGTACATTGGCGCTACCTTTAATTGTTTTTTTACCCTGATGTTGGAGGTTTTTTTTTTTCTACAATCAATCACTTTTCATAATTTAATCGTTTATCTATAATTTAACTCATCAATCTAAATCTTTCTTTTTATATAAATCTTGCTTTTTCTTTTTTCTTTTGGAATATTGTTTGTTTTTGGAAAGATGGATAACCCTCAAAAACAGTTTTTCTGTATATTGAAGGAAATCAAGCTGTTTAACAAATATTGGGAGGCTTTACATTATATACACAAAGAATATGTTTTAGAGCTAATTCAAAATGACGATAAGCTACATATGAATTCATATAGATATATAAGCAAGGTCTCGAAAGTATGCCGAGAAAGTGATGAAGCACTTGATATTATAATGGAAATTTTTGAAATCTTGAAAGAAAGCAAGAAAATTAATCAAGCGCTTATGGATAGCACATACAGTGCTACGGATAAACTCATTGGAAAATTTGAAAAGATGGAGGTAGAATGTAACATTTTGATTGCCAGTATTCGTGGTTGCAAGAACCATATCAGGCAGGAAAAGCTAGCAAAGGCCCGCATTGACAATATCAAGATAGCTGAAGGTTCACAAAACCATACTAAGACTCGCTTAGCTCGCATGTTACCAAAAAAAGATGTGATCCTGACAGATATATTGTGGACCGTGATTTCTCTCAAAAGACACTTTAGAACATTTAATGACATCATGGAAAACACTGCTGGTGAATTACGTATATATGTTGATAATGTCTACAAAATTAACCTTAGGGCAGAAATGGTCTCTGTGAAAAAAAGTGCCCTTGATTTTAGTGATTATTATATCGAAACTCAAGCAGATATATTGATTAGCAGTATGAAACCTTTAAAACGATATTTCATTCGCATTCAAGCTCAGATTTCCCAGCATAAAGCGACCATTGGAGCCACTTTGGCTTCGAAGAAATGATTTTTTGTGAATACTATCTTCTTATCGAATGGAGATTACTCTTATCGTTAGTTATTAAGATTGCACTAATAAGTTACATATTGAAAAGTTTAGCAAAGATATTTCTAGCAAATAAAATACTTCTTTAATAATGCTTTCGTTTATGGTTTTACACAGAAATGTCATTGTATTGACAAAATAGTAATATTTTTTTCTATTTATCAGCATTTTTTATACTGCAGAATCTATTTAGAGTCACAAAAAAAAAACTGGAGATTCAGCTATGTCATTCAACTTGAAGCATTTGCTAATCATTAATTGCTGGTTTTATTAGATTAACATTGACTCCTATAATGCGGTTTACTTGTGTTTCTTCTTAAACGTTTAGGATAAATCTTCAAACCGGCTTTCTATTGATTTTTAGTGAAAATTGCGCTTAAAACTACCTTCTGGTATATTAGTTACATATGAAACAGCATACAGTTTCTGGCTACCGGTGTTGATATAAAATTTCATATAAGTCAACGTTTTCAAGCTTATTTATTATGCTTAATAAATGCTCGGGGATTATTCATAAGAATATGCTCCTTCAATGTATGCCTACTCTTGCTTATTTGAATATGGAGCCTTTCAAAAATCGATATATATTCTTGGATATCTTGTGTCATATCAGTGGCCATACTTTGTACTCTAACATGATAACTTTTTTTGGTATTGTGCCTCTTGGAAGATTGTCTTGACATCTTTTCGCATAATGCTATACTTTTTTTTATCTTCTTGGTTGCTCTTTCCGTCTGCTGGTAAAATTTGTTATGAGTTGAGTGCAACTTATTAATTATGTCCATCATATTCCCCAAAGCATCTGAGAGATTAATTAAGTTTCTCTTTTTATAAAAACTAATGTAATACTTGGTCACATTATAATCAACAAATGTGCAAAGATTTAGAATAAACCCAAATAAAAAAGAACTAGAAATTGCCTCCAATGACATTTTGCAATTTACAGATAAAATTGCCTTCCTATCAGTATTTTCTTTTACATGTGTGCTGGAACTTTTATGGCAGTATTCATCTGGGTATCTTGATTTTCTAGCTGGATATGCATCCTCGATGCTATTGCTTTGCGCCACCGGAAAACTCCCATCTACATTTACAACGGTTACTTCCTTTAAAATTAGATTTGTCAATAGAGTCTTCATGCAATCTGTAAAATTTTCTATAGAATTGATGTCTAATTTTTTATCGGGTAATGTCTTATTTTTTTCTTCAATCATGGTTTTCAGTAATACAACAGTATCATTACACGTCCCTGTCATTTCGTCCATAAATATGTAGGATGCCAGATATGCATCATGATTGTCTTTGATGATTTTTGATATACCTTTACTACAGTTCGCGAAGATTCTGTTCCATGACCGGTCAATTTTTTTTAGCATGCACGTCATTTCGCTAATAATTTCTCGACTGATCATAAGGCATGAATTTGAAATAAACTTGAAAGAAGTTCTTAATTAGAAAGGTGAGATTATATGCTATGACCAATGGTATACAATTAATCAGTTTAGACCTATTTTGAAATTGAATCCCTCTATCATGTTGATAGTACAATATAATCGCTTGTTTCAAGTTCAATCAAGTTTTTGACCTTAAAAGTGGGATGTTGCATTAAATAATCTTATGTTTAGGTAACCACTGGTTTATTTAGGCTCCGCAAGCAAGCACCTTTGCATTATTATGGATGGACTTCTCGTGGCCTTCAATTTTTTTTAATGATCTAAACAATAGCTATTTTAACTTGAGTCCAGATTAGTGATGAAGACCACAATTTTAATTTGATGGCATGAAAAACATCTAAACGATCATAATCTATCTTATTGTTACTAAGGTTGTTACCCGTGTCTATTTTGTGCAATCGCTCGGCGTTATAACTTTTATCCTGCTCGAATAAGATAGTGTACTGAGCACGGGAGTCTACCTTGAAAATACCGGAAGTTGTGCGATACTTAAAGGTGTAAAAACTGTAAAACTATCCTCTTGACAAATATGAAGTAAAAGCTAGACACCAAGATCATGAGTCTATTTTTATTTCGCTTATCTAGCCAATCAAAAGTATAGTGTATAATTAATTTAAACGCAATGTTGCACATTTGAGAGATTGGCTTTTTTTTTGTTTAACGTTAGCCAGACAGTCGAAGATCGCTATCATAAAAGGCTATATTATTTATTTTAGGAGGGGATATATTTTAATTTAGTTCTTCTTGTGAGCAGTAGTCTTTTTGGTGGTTTTTTTGACAATCTTTTTTGTAGTGTGCTTCTTTGCGGTAGTCTTCTTCTTACAGATACAAATGCCTTCTTTACCACATTCACCTAATAAATAACCTGCTTTACCACAATATGCTTTACAGACAGAATTAGCATGGACATCCTTGACAGCGTGGCAAACCTTTTTGGTGTTGGGGGCAGCGGAAACCATCATGATCATGGTGGCAACGAAAATGGCAAGATAGAATGTGTACTTCATTTTGGGGTTGTATGTTTGTTGATAACAAATATGAAACAAAAAAGAAGAAATATCCCAATTGACAATCTTTTTTATACAAAATCTTACAAGAAAAACGCCTTTTTTTTAATTGGATAATTTAGTACAAAACAATGTGCTCTATAACCAAAAGTCATTTATTAACATATGTTTGCAGAGCGCTTTCCAACTACCTCGAGAGTATCCCCATCGGATAGCTAACATTAGTTCCCTTCAATCTTCTTTATATAACAATGTAACATCCCATCTCATTTCACTTAAATTAATTTCTTTACCACTGCATACCACTTTCTGACGTGCGACTCTCATAAAGGTTCTATAAATAAACTACTAGATTCATTTTTTTTTTCAAAAAAAGACGTTTGTTGAAGGTTGTACATGATAAACAGTCAGATTTTTGCTCTCCGCGTATGCTAGAGACCAGTCAGGTAAGTTAATCAGCACTCATCTCAGTAAGAACTCACTTTGCCATAATTGAATTTCTGCACCCAAAAAACTATTGGCCCTAAGCTAAAAAAAGAATTTTTTTCTTTTCGTTGAAATACATAGAGTTAAATCGGATGGACCTAAAAAATGATGTGTTTTGTTATAAAGTCGAGTAGTTTATCGTTTAGAATGACTGGCAAAGTTGCATAGAATTCAAATAGATACGACACTATATGCTCTTGCATCCTCATTTCGCTGGGATAGAATTAGGTTCCTCTGCAAAGTTTTACTTATGAATTTTTCGACTCACATATGGTTCACATAATTAAATAGTGCCACAGCGTTTTTCCTTTGAGAGATTTAAAGATTGCCCAAAACTGCAGGTTACAGATACTCTATGGCCATTTTTGCTGTTTTTAATATTGCACTAATGCAGGATGTGAGTCGACACTGCTTGTCATTCTGGGATCTAAACTGGCTCGTGCGATCTTTTCCGTAGGCCGTTCTAAAAATACATTTTATGGGATCGAAGCTTTATTCATGGGGGTTTAAAAAACTGTTGAGATGATTTCTTTATTGCGATAAATTTTTAAACGGGTGCAGAACCAGTATACTTGGGGTTGGTAATGACCTATAAAAATAGTAGTTTCAATAATATGCTATCTCTATTTCTTCGATACCCATCCTTACCTCAACCCAATAATTGTCAGGATCAGCAACAAAGGCGATGTGTTTCATAGAGCCATCAGTTAATTTCTTGATAAACTTTACACCAAGAGACTCGAAACGCTCACAAGCCTTTTCGATATTGTCAACAAGAATGGCAATGTGACCAAAACCACGACCAGGCTCTTGGTTACCGTTAGCATAAGCAAAGTCAGTTTGATCTTCAGTACCCCAGTTGCTTAATATACACGTCAATATCTTTAATAGTTTCATACAATAACGCGCACTTACTGAGTTAATTCAAGAACACCTGGAATGCTAAATGCCAACTTTCTCTTTTCTTCCTCAGTCTCAGGAACGGAATCAACATAAGCCAAGAAATAAAGGGTAAATTTGCTAGAAGGGAAATCACTCTTGGTGATAAGCCTATGAACTATTATTTAGAATTATAATAATTAAAATAAAAATGTCCAATGTTTGAAAAATGCTTACTTCATGCCAAGGATTTCAGTATAGAAATGAATGGAGGCCTTGGGATCCTTGACACGGATCATGGTGTGATTAAAGATGTAATTTGAGGGATTAGTAGACATTTGCGTGCAATTACAATAGAGAAAATTTGCTTATAAATTATTGGAAAGAAAAGTCGCGTATGTGGACCATTTTATATTTTGGAGCCGCCTTCGGGAACTTTCTGTGTCACAACCAATAAGATTGCAAAACATCCTACGCCGATACTAGGTCGTCATTATGTCATATGAGCTTGTTGTGCAATCATTCTAGTACCATTGTAAGACTTAAACATGCTTTTATATAATTAGAACAGTAACTACGACTAATTTTATGATTAGCGGAACAGCGATAGCGACTTAAACGCGTAAAGCAGAATTGTTTGTAAATACTCAGTTCTGCTTATTCATTAAGATAAAAAAAAAAAAGGGATAGTCTATGCGAGTACTATCTATTACAAAATGCAATTTCTTTGATTATTAATGCAAAGTTGTTATAAATTGTGAAACCAAGTTATTACTGCGGCAATACAAGATCTCCTTTGGATTTTTAATTCCCAAAGAAAGGCTCATATTTGTCTAAATCAAAACGAGGTAATAACACTACCCGAAATTTTTGCTGTTTTTAGTATCAAAAGAAAACAGTTTTGTGATTTGTCTTACTTGACTTACTTACAAATAAGACAGGTTTCGATATTGCATAAACTTAGAACTTTTTATCTTCCACAACTTAAACTTGTGGTTTTATAGCTGTTTGTATTTAAGAATATACGATCAGTTAAATACGGTTTTTTTTAAGGCTGAAATAGGTACAGCTCGTACCCAATATTTGTTTTAATCAATTTGAGTGACAAAAAACACGTTAGAAAATTGTTTCGGTCAATTATGACTGGAGAAATATTATTTTTTCAGATGAGTCAATATGAAAACATACACTGTTTTATGATGAAATAAATGAAACAATTTCTTGTTTACTTTAAATTAGATTACTTATTTATTATGAAAGAAAAAGAAGGGATATAGATCATAAACGGATTATATAAAATGAGCTACTGGTTGGCGAAATCCCGAAGGGGGTACTATCGAGGGACCATGTTGATATGATGAATGGTAGCTTGAAAAATTGGCATGAGGTACAGAAGTATCACACTTGTAGCATCGGTCACCGAAAGTAAAATTATATGGAGGAGCATAGGAAGGTTCATTACGTGGAATATATCTATTATTATTAGCATAAGGTTGATAGTTGGTAAGCGCTTGGCTCAAAGAATAAGGGTTTGATGAAACTGGGTAGACAGAATGAGAAAGCACTAGGGATCCTGCATAAAATAAATTATTTGTTGAAAGGAGCAAGTTACCCGTTTCATAAACGCTTGGAAATTGAGGATCGAGATTAAAATTTAGAGAACTGTTTTCAGGTTCAGGGTGAGTTGAGACCGAAAGTGAGGATTGTTCGTAATCAAGGGCTGTCTTTTTAGTGGCCTTGGAAACTTGTGTCGCATTTTTTTGTGGTTTGACATCCAAAATAAACTTCTTGTCGTTCTTTAATTTTTGACATGAAGGACTAGGAACTTTTCCGTTATGATATAATGAAAAAAGTTGATGTTTGTTATCAAAATCACGAGCTGAAAATTCATTTTCGGGACGTTTCTTATAAGGTCTGGTCTTAGTGATTTTCTTTGTGGGACGATACTTATATTCAGGGTATCTTTATTAAAATTAGTAATGTTTAATAAAACTGATAGTTTAAAACTGTACCTTTCCAAATGTGCAGCTTTAGCCTCGGCTGCTTTGATGCGATAAGGATCTTTCTCGGCATCAGATAACTCTCTCCACCATTTCGCAATGATTTTTGATATATCACGATGATTGGCACCGGGACACTGATTTACAATTTGCTGTTGTTTTTCTAAACGGTAAGTCATGAAGCAATTCATCGGACGCGGAATTTTTTTGGCAGGAACACATTCTTCTCTTGACATCGAACATGAAGGAGCCAATATCTTCTCTACTTTCAATGAGCTAGTCATAAAAAATGTGCGAAGGCTATTGATGTAGTGTATGCTTATTATAGTACGAAATAAAAGGAATATGTCAATCGTATCTTCTTTTATATAAAATGTTCTTATGAAGCGAAATAGATATGTACAATCAACTGATTTTGATTATTCTTCTTGCTTAGTTTCAGGTGCTCATACTTTATTTGGCCCCTTAAAATGAAAAGTTAATTAGCCAGATCATTCTACTATGATACGTATCGACATATTTCATCTTCTGCTTAATAAAGAAATGTGACAATACATTTATAATATGCTATTTATAATATTACAAGACAAAGATTATATATACTTTGTTTTAATATCGTTATATGTTTTTATCTGCTTAATTCATTATAACAGCTAAAATACATTTGATGCTTTTGACATATCGCACATATATTATATATGTACAGTACCGACTACATTGTATTCGTAGTTTACTTAACTACTAATACGGCAGATTTTTTGTTATACTGATATGGCGTACCTCTCATATGATCTGTTGGTCCCACATTTTGATAGTACCACGTTTACGTTTGTTTAAAAGCAAATAAAAAGCACACAAGAAGCACATATATAAAGTATATTCTTTGTTGTTAAATGCATATATGCCATGCTAGAAATGATTGATCTAAATGGAAAACTACAGAATTGACGTCCAATCGTACTACAAATAAATAGTGACTTTATGTCATTTTTTTAACGAGAAAGGCTTAAAGGAAAAGTACATATTTTTAACTACACTATGCACTTTAGGAATCCTCTTTAATAGTCTTTTAAAACACGCATAGCCATTTCGAAACTAATACATAAAAAAAAAAAAAAAAAGTAAGTATGATATAAATATAACGTATTTGAACTTACCCCATAAAAGTTGCGGCATTAACCGGAGCAGCACGTAACAAACAAGGTCCGATACCTCTAAAGAAACCCGCTGCACCCTCTGTGGCAAAAATTTTGCGTGCACAATCTAAAGCAGAGGAATATTTTCTAGTTTCCGTAGTGAAACCATCAGTCTGTAATTTAGATTTGATTGCATCGATTGGGTAGATAGTAAACCACATAGCATAACCAGCGGCGCCACCAAAAGCACATACTTTCCAAGTAGGTAAGTCTGATCGTTTCTGTAAGTTGTCTTTTTTCATAGCTTCTTGAACAAGATATTCATAGGCCAGAAAATAAGCACCATAACCTTGAAATTCACGAGCCATTGTCACTGCTTGGCCTTTATAGATACCAGAAATACCATGAGAGCGGTAAATTTGGCGGATACAATCAATAGGACCACTATAACCTGTTCCCGTTTGAACTTGAAGTCTAGTACGGATATGCTCTACAGGACCTGATACAAATGAATTTGCAACACCACTTGCTGCACCCGCTAAATAAAGTTGTCCATTTGTTAAAAAATCACTTCTTCCGTTGATGGCAGAGAAATGACGTTTCATAGCTTCAAGAACGACAAATTGAATAGATACACAAGCACCAATACCAACTAAAGGGGTCATAGTGCCCTTTTTTTTTTTTAAAAAAAAAACATAATGTTAAATTCAACCTCTCACGAGAAAAAGAACCCACTAAAAGTACCTTATAAAATCCACCAAACCCTTCCTTTGCACGAGTCTTATTGACACAATCCATCATACCTGTGTACAGAGGATTTGCTGTTGATTGTGTTTGTAAACGCTACGAAATATTTTTAGTTGTAGATCCTGTAATCTGGATTTAAAAATCCAGTCGTTTGTTCTTTTTTTTACTCACGACCTTCACCGTGTCAAAAGGCTTTAAAAAAAATTAGATCGAACTCAAAAAAAAACAAAATACTTATTTTGATAAACTCACCTGACCCGTGAGAACTTGAACAATACCACCAACAGTTCCACTGAGACAATCCTTGACGGCTTGAGACATGCTGATATGGAGTTTCAAATCAGTGATTAAAACAGCTATATCAATGTTAATTTCAATTATTACCCTGGCTGAACTTCGGTGATTTCAATTGTCTCTGCTGCTAATGTAGTCATTTTTATATAAATGGAAAAAGTGGGGAAGAAAAAGTGAAAAGGGAAAAGGGAAGCACTAGAAGACTTATGATGATGGCTTCAGGTACATCTCCGCTATTGTCCAAAAGCCACTGATGTGATACCAATTCATGGAGAAAAGAGGTCACATAGTGCCCCTCTTATCTCGATTCCTTATATGTTAATTGAGTATTTTTTTTTTTTACTTGACACATTTCTCTCGCCGTAGTTCTACGCCAGACTCAGTGTATATCACATAGTTATTTAAAATAGCGTGCATATTATTTTATGTGGAAAATAGAAGGCATTGAAAAGTATATGTTTATGTTGTGTAAAGCCTTTTTTCGAATCGGAGTTAATTACCAGATATCAGTGATGTTGATAATATGAAGTTATTTTGTCGAGTTCAAATGACCACACTTTTTACAAGTTCGAAGGTCTTTACTAGCAGCAAACTTTTCGATAACAGGCTTCAATTGTGAGCCGAGATCAACGCAATGAAACGTCTCCTCATAGACGATATTACGACATGAATCCTTTTCACAATACCACCTCAAAGCATCTAAATTTAAAACACGATTAGTCATTTCTTGAGTTACACCGTATTAGTATTTACCTATGTGATGGGGTAACCGAACCCTTTCAACAACAAGACCGATTGTATTCTCGAATCGAACAGGATTGTGAGGCACGTTGGCTATAAATAATAAATATACCCTTATGTTTATTAATTATCTGGGATTGATAAAACACTCCATCACTTACGTGGTAAAAGAAACATATCACCTTCCTTAACATGGATATCTTTAAACTCTCCGTCATCGACAACTTTAATTAGTAAATCACCCTTATACTGATAGAACCATTCCTATTCATCTCTTTAGATTTTGACGAAAAAAAGACTTTCTTTAAGGGTGGTGATTACCTCTGTTTCGTTAACATGATAATCCGTACGTTGATTTGGGCCACCGACAACCATTATAATTGTGTCAGCTCCTTTAAATAATAAATAGTTGTTTACAGGTGGCTGAAGTTTGACACCATTTTCTTCAAGCCATTTGGGGAAATTAATTGGTGGTGGAAGCATGGTTCGGGTAAATAAGAAGAAAGAAAGGTGCGTTGATGTTTTAATTTTAGACCTCCCCGTTGATAAATGTGACTTGTTACCATTAATCTGATAACATGAATCGGGTAAATTGTACTCCATTGATCTGCAACAGTTCCCTTGGCAAATTGTGTGCTTGCAAAGTATATAAATTAATGCAGCGTAAATAACACCATCGGTTGCACATTTTTTTATTTATATATAAACTCCTACTTTACCTTACAGCGGCATGTAACGCTGTCTTAACATCAGCATCCGCGAAGCAGGTCATAACGCGTGCTTTGTTTATAAGAGGTGCTAAGATAATTTATAGAACAAAGGCATTTGTTCTTTCAGATGAATTGGCTTTTTAAAAAGTTAATACAAATATACAGTGCATCTATTTTACAATGAACAATTTTCGTTAAAACGGACATTTTCAGAACTTAAAAGTCGGATTTTTAGACTGGTGATTTTCATATTTTTTGACAGAGAAATCTGATTTATCGCGGGAAAATGTTTAACCGGGATATATCCGTTGGATTTTTATGAATTTTTGCACTGTAAAACACCTACCGGACATCTTTGGGTCTCTCCACTGTAAATGGGCAATTTTGTTTTGCCATCTGTAAAAAATTTTGTGTGAAAAAAAAAAAATCCGGCTCTATTAGTTTGTGGAGAACTCTCTAATAAAGAATGTAATAGAGCCGGATTTTGGATACCTGTTGAATTCATCGAGGAGATAGAGTTTTTATTTTTTTTTGAAAAATCGGAGCCAAAAATTGTTCATTGTAAAATAGATGCACTGTATCCATTGCTTTTGTCAAAATAAGAACAACATCGAGCAATGAAATTACGAAATTAAGTAATCTTTTCACAATATCTTACATTCTCCTTTTTTAAGCAAACATGTTGCATAATTACATACAGTTCACCTCCATTATCCATACATGGTCGAAATAACATTGACCTGTCTAACTTGAGGTTAAGGGGTAATATAGAGGTGACATATTCATTTCTTCTATGGTAGCTTGCTTATCATAGTGCCATGTTTTTGATAAATGACAACATGTTACCTGTCAACGACCACAATTTGATAATACTAAAGGACCAGATTATTAGGGCCGGATTTATGGAAACAAAAACGAAAGTCGTATGGTTGGCCTCACATTTGGGTATATTTTGTAAAGCGTTGTATTGATACAAGTAGTCGAGGCAGAATCGATCCTTTACTTTATAAACAACCGATATAGAAAAAGCGATTTGTGACATAACTTGATCGAATTGAATATTTGATGTTTTTGGCGAGCTAAAAGTGATTTAAAAACTTATCGTTAAAGAGTGTAGCAACTCCACTAGCCATCAATGAAGACAAAGTTCATAAAGCCTGAATTTAATCCCCTTTATAAGCAATGACTTAGATGAAAATGCACGGTTGGTCGTGGACAGTACTGCAATATGACTACTTACACACACATGAGAGCAGGCTAATATCTTACACGTACAATTAGGCCAAAGATTTCAACCCAAAGATATAAATAAGAGAAAATCAAACTTGTGATGTTTACAATGTGTCTATTATCGTTACTAACATTGACGTGATTTATATACAACATAAAAACTGAGCATATGGTCCAATGTAAGTGATCAATGTTTAAAATTATTTAAAATCTGGTTCTACCTCTGTTTCAACAAAAAACACTTGAATAACTTAATTTTCAGCTTCATTGACACAAGAATAGTAAACTGAATTTCCAAAGATAGCTTTATCATGCAAAGAGCTACCAGTAATTTCCGAACTAGTGATATTACAAGTCAAAACGTATGGTAACGAGCCAATTGAATTTGGGAATAAATGAAATATTGTATTAAACGAGGCACAAAGAGATGCCACTTAAAAAGCTCACACCATTTTACAACGCAGGCAGGCTTAATACTTGAAAATCTTATCTTGTAATATAATAACTAAAATTATATCGCAAGTCTCATTTTAAATAGACTATGGTTATAAATAACCAGTGAAACATACGTTCTATAAGTAGAAAATAATGGCCCACATGACGTTTCGTAATAAAAATAAAATGGGATCTTTTTATTACACAAATTGGCTCTTGTCCTTTTTCCCCTTTTTTGCTTTTTTATTATTTTTTAATGAAATCCTTCTTTTTGACTAAAAAAATTAAAGATATTAACAATACCAAAGGTAAATACTATCAGACAGAAAAAGAAAACTCGAGTTACTCAAGAGCTATTATTGGTAAGATAATGTTATAACTTTACTTGCGGAGGAAGGCAATATTGAAGCCCAATACAAGCTTGGACATAAATATGCCACACATCACGATTACATCAATGCCTTTGACTGGTTTACAAAGGCTTCAGAAGGTGGCCATGGGGCAGCACAAAATCAACTTGGTCTAGCCTATCAGTACGGCTTAGGTATCACACAGGACTATTACCGAGCGATTGAATGGTTTACGGAATCCGCTACAATCAATAACAATGCTGATGCTCAATTTAATCTTGGTAGCTTTTATTATTATGGAAAACTAGGCGTACCTCAAGACTACAGTCTAGCCTATCAGTGGTTTTTAAAAGCTTCGGAAAACGGCAATAACAGTGCACAAAATTCTATTGGCTTCCTGTTTCAACGTGGATGGGGTGTTCAGCAGGACTATACACTTGCATTAAAATGGTTTTTGAAAGCTGCTGCTGCTAACAACGGAAATGCACAAAACCAAATCGGCGTTTTTTATAAGAAGGGGCATGGAGTCAAAATTAATTTTCATACCGCATTTGAGTGGTATTCAAGGTCTGCCAAAAGCGGTAGTAGTGCCGGTCAGTGTAACCTTGCTTGGATGTACTATGATGGTAGTGGTACTAAGCAAGATTTTAAAAAGGCTATGTCTTGGTTTCTAAAAGCCGCAGATAGAGGAAACGTCGATGCACAATATCAAGTGGGAGTTATGTACTTCAATGGGTATGGCATACAGAAGGATAATCTTATGGCTTTAGAATTCTTTGCAATGGCCTTAGAAAATGGAAATCGGGCAGCTCAAAATTATATAGACATGATTTCTAGCCTACTGGATAATGAAAAAGTGCAGGTGGTGGGCGGCAAGCAACCGCCCGTGTCACCAAAAAATATTCAACATCGCAAACATATATCACACGAAATAGCTACCTCTCCATCCCCATATCTTGCTCATAAAAAGTCGGTGTCATTAGTAATAAATAGCAGCTATGCGAACAGTAGTAATAGTAGCAGTGCTAGCGAAAACCGAATAAATTACTAATACTTCAAGTGATTGATACAGCAATGCAAGAATATAAATCTCGTAAGAATGCAATAAATTGTTTTATCACTTCATTGTTAATAGTTTGACAGCAGCAAACCCTAGGTTGTTGTGCATAACTTTATTTTGATAGGGAAAACTGCACACGATAGCGATTTTTATCCTGATTTGACATCCACTATTTTTCTAATTATTAGTGTAACTTCACGTGTGGTAAATACTTACCTTGTGATAAAAGCTTCCCAGCCATGTAAAACAAAAGAAGTGAGCAAGTGAAAAAGCTTTGCCTTGTACGCATATATTCCCCATTCAATAAAACCAATTAAGCTGGATTTGTGGAACCCGGTTTATTTTTGTTTATTTTCAGAATGTCATCTGGCTCGATTTTAATAAAGCACAGCCGAGGGAATCAATAATAACTCTTTTCTCTCTCTCTTTCTCTCTGTACCTTTCTCTCTCTCTCTCTCTCTTTGTTACTAATCTTCTTCCTTTTTTTATATATATTTTAAGTGTATACACATAATGGGTGTGGGACAAAGTACAGACTATGCGTACACGGGTGCATATGACTATAATACTGCATACCAGAATGATGTAAAAATAACAGTTTCAAACGCAAAATCGATTATTAATTATTTTATAGCTTGAAAAGTATTATCGTCGAATGTATCCTGCATATTACAATAATGCTTATTATCAAGCAGGTTATACCCAACAGCAGACACCAAATTATTACAACGCATATCAACATCAATATTACCCCTCAACGTTTCAGTCACCGTATAGCTCTACTGGCTATGGTTACGGTACACCATACCAGCAAACATCATATGGTGGATACAGCACCACACCACAGTATTATTCATCCATGTATGGTACACCTACCGCTTATAATTCTTATAATAACAGCTATTACCCATATACCGTTCAAAGGCCCTATATGTAACTTTTACTGATACATATGACCCATCTTTTTAATTTTTTTTATAAAGCGTTATTTTTACACAAGCAGTTTTATTATTATGAATTTGTTATAGACAGTGAGAACCAAAAAAGCATATATACATCAAAATACGGCGTCAAAACAGGGAAAACGATCTTTGTTTAATTGGCTAATCGAAATCCGCAGCTACGTTTCTTTGTCGCAGCTGATCGTTATCAATTAATGCAGTTGATCCTTTAACAGGAGTACCCACTTCTTTTTCTTCTTCTTGAGGAGGAGTAGGTGACCTAGTGGGTAATACCGGTCCATCAGGATGAAGCATGCGCGATTTACGAGATGGATGAAATATATTGCACTTGGGACATATATATTCTAAGAAATATCATTAATATAAAGGGGCTACATTTGTTTTGTTTATCTATCTTTACCAATTGACTCTACTTCTTGAGGTAATACTAATCCATTGTGGGCAAAGCATCTTGAGCAGACCAATGCATATTTCGTCTCAGGACCAACATCACCAACTAATACATCCAGTACCTTATCAAACCATTGTTGCTTTGGTGGTGTAATGGGTATTCCTGGGTCTTGTGGTGCATCTGGTCCACGGGAGCTTGTTGTAACCCCGTGCTGTTGTTGCTGTTGTTGTTGTTGCTGCTGCTGCTGTTGGGCTATATATATGTTAATACTCTAATGTCTACCACTATCAGCCTTTTACCTTTTATTTTCTTCTTCTTCTCATCCTCTTCTTGAGCCATTTTCTTTTTCTTTTGCTCATCCATTTCCTTCTTTTGTGGGGATGAGGGATCGTATCGTTCCAACAGAGACTTTGTCGAATAGTAGGCTGTCTTCTTTTTCAATTCTTCCACCTTTAATTTTTGACTTTTTCGAAGGGTCACCAAGTTTTGTTCAATATTAGATAGTCTTTTGTTATAAATCCATTTCATTCCCTTTCGAACATAGAATATGCTATAAAATTTTATCAGCACCAAATAAAATTTGTATGTGGTGTTTTTTTATTTAAACTTACCTGATAGGCCCCAAAAGAACTGGCGACACAGTTAGTAGCATGAACACAGGATCGTCATATTTATCTTTTAATGCGTAGAGGTAGTACACGATATAAATTATCCATAACAAAGTAGAATAAATTAACCAAAGTGTAGCAACCCTGCGATCCTTCATTCTAATTTCTGTTAGTTGAATCTCCTTCTTTTGAATGTCATTATCCAGGTTTGACAGAATCTGTTCGAAATCGTCTGAAGCACTCTATGGGGACATAAGTAACGCGACACGTTCATTCTAAATTGTGGTATTCACCTTGTTTTTCGAAAGTAGAATGCCCATCTTTGAATAGAAGTAGTTTATTTCAAAAAAGAAATAAAAATATCGTCCATAATGCATTTAAATACCCGTCACGTCAGTGATATCATGATTACTCCACTAAGGATATATCACAACGAACACAAAAAAAAAAAAAAAGAATGATTAAGGGAATATTGAGCAAACAGCCATTTTTTATTATGAATTATTATGTTTGTTGTTATTTATTGAGCAGCTGCCTTATGAGTGTCGGTTTCGGTACTCTTGTGAGCTTCGGTTGTATTCAACTTCTCACCCTATTGTTTGATTAGTATATCTGGACCCGGGTTACCTGCGTGTGAGAGACTTACCTGAATTTTTTTAGCTTCATAATGAACAGCAGCAATTTGAGCAAGTGTTTGGTTGGCAAAATCATGAACCTTTTGACCGGTGGGGGTTTGAAGAGCGGCAGCAGCCTTAGTTTGGGCAGTTTGAGCAGCGGTTTGGACCTTTTCACCAATCTTATATTTTTGGTCAATACCTACAGCCTTATCCCAAATACGATACTTATCATCAAATTGCTTGACTAACAAAAAAAAAAATGTTAAAAGCCGTTTTCTACACAATATTTCTTCACTTTACCATTTGATTGTAATGTGTTTAAAAATCCAGTTAAACGGGAAGAAACGTTATATTTGTTATCGTACTCGAGACCTTTGGCAACAACATGATCTTGAAGCATATAACCGTTGGCCAAAATTTCGGCAGCGATGCGAGACTTGGGTTTAGCTTCTTGGGTCTCGTGGTCGCCATTATCAATAGATTTTTCGTTACTTTCTGAGGTAGGGATATCAAAGTAAGGTGCTGCAATAATATGGCTATCATCGATTAAAGCTATTGTTTATGTGTGTTAGAGTATGAAACAGGTGTCACCCGGTCCCCCAAAAAAAGTGTAAAAAAAAAAAGAAGCTTACCATTGCTTAAAAGAGCAGCAGTCTTGGCAGCAGACTCACGTTCGAAATGAATTAAGGCGATTTGGTGTTTTTCATCTTCTTCATCGCTAATGTTCAACTGTAATTAGTGTTCTGTAAAATTCTTTTGCATTGTTACACTTACACCTTTAACTCAAACTCTTTAATCTTACCACAGAACAAGAAAAATTCCTTGACTACGAAAAAATTTAATATCCTGTTAAATAATCCGTCTAATGTACTCTACCAGTTTGTTCAGTAGATTGAAGGGCAATTTGTTTTACGACAACAAAGTTGGGAGAAGGAGTCTCGGGGATCTATGTAAACATTTTAATACGCGTTACCTTTTATCATATCATGCGAAAACTTACAGCAATAGTCCAATTAGTCATTATTATAAATTTGAAATATGTAAGTAAAAGAGAAACGCACGAAATTCAGCAAATCTTAAAATTTATAGCCTTTTTTTTTTTTTTTTTTTTTTTGTGTAAGATCGGGCTCTAACCAGGTAAGGACATGTGAAATCGATTGTCTGTGCTTGTGTATCACCTTCACTGCATTTCACCTGATTGTAGACCTTTCACCTTTGGACTTTGTCCACGTGTGATCATATGACGCGCTATACAAATTAATTTTAAGGTATATTGGATATGAGCAATTGTTAATTTTTTCCTAGTTTTATACAGGATTGGCACAACACATACGACCATTAAACTGTAGAGTAATCCTTACGTCATTTCATCTACTCGAATGGTTTCGTATTTTCGTCTCCGATTTGTCGAAACAATTCGTTTGCGCAAAAGTGGGTCCGGATTACCGTATATGCACGCGTGTAACCTGAAAAATCCCTTGCTTTCTCAGTTGACTCTGTGCTTATTTACTTATTTCTACAATAAAACCTTGTTGTAACTATGCGTCAAGCATTTTTCTTAGGATGTAATTATAGTGCCTCGAATGTACTTGCCTTGAAATTTTATCTGCCATTTATAAGGTATGTCAGCAACGAATTGAACCCCCCCTTTTGTTTTTATTTACATTGGCCACATTATTTAATGAATTCATCTCTTTGACATGCAAAGGTTATGAGTATTTATTTTAAATAAAAGATGTCCATCCACTGTACATGACACCCAAGATACTTGGGTCAGAGGCAAGATCAATCAAACATTGAACCTGTTCTCTACTGTTCTTACATTGTCTTCCTACCCTTGCTCTGATATGACGTGCAGGGTCACCTTTGGTAAGAGACACAATGTCTTTGCAGTAATGCTTATCTGAATGCCCGTTTTCAATCTCCGTGGATGCGATGCCTACAAATTTGCATTAATAACTTTGCAGCAATCATCATATACTGATATTTACATGCAGGGTTTTCACCATTTAATTTCCTCTTTACAATATCAAGTTTTCTTTGAGGATACCAATTGCTTTCTCCTCCATTATCCACAATCTCGGTTTCACTCGGAGTTTCTGAAACTTGAGATTCTAATGAAAATATTTAGCTTTTTAAGCATATACCGGTTTGTGATGCTACTTACTTTGACTTTTACTTTCTACCATAGCCTGTTTCTTCCAGTCAAGAAGAGGATCCTTCACAAACACGTTCATTATATTCAATAACAAGGCCTTTTCATCTTGGATGGCTATAGAGTAATATTAATATTTGTAGATTTGACATATGTTCATAAAAGTACCTTGTAAAATATTTGTCATTGCGTTCTCAAGAATACCGGAAACACCAATAGGTTCTAAAACTCCCACTAATTGAGGTGTCAATCGAAAAGGAACAACTTCAGGAATCGCTAAATGTTCCGTGGCCGAACCAAAAGCATGTCCGAAATCAATAGATATCAAACGACCACTGCAATTGTGTGCATGTATTTTTTTTTAGTAATAGGTTACATATTTCATCCCGAAATCTTTACCTCTTCATATCTAGCAAGAAGTTATCCAAATGCCTATCTCCAATACCAAGAATATAGCCAAATATAGATATACATGCGAGACTGTGCGCAAATTCTTTTCGTAAAAACAGGAATGCCTCAGGTGAAGAAGCTAATTGAATCACATAGTCACGAAGGTAAGTGCTAGGCATCATCCCGGACACAGAGGTATAGTTGTCTTCGATTCTTTTTGGTGAATCAGTATAGGCTGCATAATGTGGAACTAAGAAAAAAAATAAGTTTCCCAATTGCACACTTCTAAATAGTCTTTTTTGTTCTACCTGCAATATTTCTACTGTTTGGTGCGTGTTTGACAATCCAAGATTGGTAAGATCTCTTGATATTTTTCCAAAAAGTGGGACGAGAATTTTGACTCTCAATACAGCTTCTAAGAGGTCTTGTATGGTCCACCCATTCAATGATACCAAGATTTAACGACATCGGAACAACCTATTTGTAATGATTACAATTATGATTAGTATGCATTTTTTATTTTTTATTTTTTATTTTTTTTTTTTGCTTTCTACCTTGTATGTCGCCATTTGAATGTTTTGTCTTGAGCAGAATGCATTCTTCTTAATCATGCTATTCATAACACCAAATAGCTGTTCAATACGTTGATCCAATCTAAGGTCTTCACCGCCTTTCACTAAAAAGTGGTACTCCTTCTCATCAGAACCGTTTACAGTTAGTCTTTTAGGTCTTCTAATTGAAGACATAACCATGACTTGACTTCCAAAGCTAGCTACTTTTGCATGTAATTCAGGATACGGTTTGTTTATTCCATCGTATTGACCGGGGATTTCCAATTCCTATTAAAAGGTGTTATTGGGTACTCTCTTACAATCATATGTAGACTTACTTCATCGAAGTCACCGCTTTTAAAAGAGGCCAACCATGGGGCAAAGGATTTCAATACTTCAGTTGGTTTTTGTGCTGTTGTAAATCTGTCCTTGACGTTAGAATTATAATATCCGAGCAGCTCTTCATAAACCAAAGGTGTTCTGTCCAAAAGTCGAACTCCATTTCTTCCCAAAATACTTTCTAGTCCTTTCTTATATTTAGCATTGAAGCTGTTAGGAATTTTACCCATTCTACTATTGTACGATTCCAGTAAAAGATCTTTAAACTGATTATACAGAGACGTCAAAACATCCTTATTCATTTGGTCTCCCAAAAGTATAGTCTAGAGAAAATGGTTCAGTATGAAGGATTCCATTTTCTTATATGATGATACAAACTTTTACTGCAACCAGAAAGTCTTTCATTATGTGATCAGGATCTGTCAAACGCTGTAACTCCAGACAGAACTCTTCCATGATTGGTGAGTGCACCATTCTGTTAATCTTTTCAATAGCGTTTCTGTTTTCTTCGGGTAATTTATGTTTTTCTAACTCATAATGTTCAAATGACATACGGAAAGGGTAGTATAATGCTTTAGGATAGTCTTCGGCAACCCTGAAAAGAGAAGGAAAGATATATGTAGCGATTGGGGTTTCAATATAAGATACTAATTGAGGTATCCAACGTATAAATTTCCATGATTCCTCAAGTTGAAGGGACTAATAATGACTTGATTAATAAAATAAATAAAGTAATCTGGCATGCTTACATGAGTTTGAAAAGTAGGACCAACTTCAGGATAAAGCTCAAGTAGCTCCAACAGACGAGGAAAGTTTTCCATAGCTTCACTATGGCCTTTGTCAATTGCCTGAATATAAAACTTGACGACCAATTTACTGTACTCAATTGGATCAATATCAGGGCTTAGAGTTGAAGTTGAATCTTGTAGTAAACGAAGTGACTTATCACAATAACTTCCCAATTTCCAAGCGTAATCTTTGTAATACGAAGACTATCGGAATAATGGTCAGTACATAATTTCTGGCTAAAATTGACCATTCCTTACATTTACGTCTACAGATTTACCAGCTTCCTCAAGTTTATCGTAACCTATTTTTTCCAAATAATTGACAAATGCTTCTGCAGTATCTGTGGCCCCAGGAATTTTTGCAATTGTTTTTTTGAGACTTTTATGAAGTTGCATCATTTCATCAAACATGTTTGGATTAGTAACAAGTTGCTGCTTAATTATACTAAATGATTCGGCTAAAAGAACGGAAGACTTAAAAACATCTTCCGTAGTAGCATTTGTTGGTATCTATAGAGGTTTAATAACACATTATTAAGATATGAGCATGTCAACTTACTTGATAATTAACTGCTGATACAAAGGTCGATACGAGAAATTTATGTTGGTTAGGATCGTTTGAATTTATACTGCGTTTTTGAGTTACAGAAAGCAGACTGAGTTTTGATTCCTGGGTGGCTCCTAGCTCCTCGAATCTGGATCGAATGCTCGACATCACACCCAAGTTATTTTGCTGAACCGCTGCATTAGCTAAAGACAATACAAATTTGATCGCGGATGATTGAAGGCCAGTTATTTCATTATGCTCACTCTAAGAATTGCCATGTTAAAAATTGATTCCTCACTTTTGTGTTAACAACAAACCATCGAATTATGACGCTTTATATCATGTATGAAAGCAAATCTTGAATCCACAACGTCATCCCAAACCGCGATATTGTCAGATTTTTCATCAGGATATCTGTAAATGGGTTAGCTTGAGTATATTGCCAAACTATTGTTTACCTTTTAGTCAAAGCCTTGAAAAAGTCTTCAATTTGCTCAGAAGTAGCTGCGTTTTGTTTAACTTTTTTAACAAGCTTCAAATAGTCTTCGATTTCAACAGTCTGTATATCAAAAAGTTTAAATCACGAAATAACAATCTCGGCTGCTCTACTTACTCTTTCCAATTGGCTGAGCTTAGTCAGGCGGCTGGTTTGAGCTAATGGATGTAATGTGGTCCAGGCTGAAAGCAAAGAGTCATATGAACTCCTAATAAGCTGTAACCCAAAATCATATTGACCTTGAAAGATACAAGCTACACTCCAATCTATAATTAAACAGACACATTAGCAAACTTGACAATAATCATCAACTCTGAGGCTTACCACAGGCATAATGCTTAAGCAAATAATCTTTCTGTGTTTCACTTTCAGTAGCTTTTTGGAAGAATTCAACTACTGGGTTTGGATCCATCTTTTCCATCACAGAGAATTTGGTGTGAGATCTTACAAAATAATCAAAATAAGAATCCTATTAAAGTAATTAGCAAGATAATAATTCAATAATTGGTAGATTTACCTGTTGCCCGATTTTCCAAATGTTATCTGGGTTGCCTTGTATACGTCTATCTACTGTCGTAGCGATCTCATCCCATTGAGTAAGCTGTGTATGGCACCAGAGCATCTGCTCCTTCCACAATGAAGGTTCATGTGATGTACCCTCGTCTTGTTCTAAAGCGCTTCCAAAAGCGTTATATGCTTCTACATAATCTCCATCAATTTCGGCAGTAATAGCCACTTTTGGAAGCTCCTTGGTAGCGACATTTGACAAGTAGACATTTTGAAAGATCTCGGGTTCATCAATTTCTTTGTATAACAACGCTAAATCGATCCATCGGCTTTTGTTTGTATTTGAGACACTGGTGATGATATTCGTGGTAGATTCAATATGGTCGCTATCAAGTTTTCTTTTGGCTTAAATAGGGGATAAAACAAGTCAGACCGATTTCAGTTACCGTAGCATTATATTTTCTTACCTGTTAGAACACCATCTAAATTCTCAAGCTGCTTTTCAAGAAGAGCAATACCAATGTGATGATTGAAACTTCTGATACTGGCAATTCGAATAAGATTTTCCGGTTGATCAGTTACGTTTAGCTCGAAAAAGATACGCAGAAAAGAGCCAATTGTTGGTGTAAAGTAAGCTGTACTACTGCTGACATTACGTTGAATATTGTTCACAATATTTGTCTGATATCCAGTTGTCTAAATCCCAAAGATGAATAAAAAATAAGTAAAAAAATAGATAAATACACAGTTAACTTACATCTTTGTCATTGGATTTAATAATTCCTACAACTAAACTGCTATAAAGCAGACGAGAAATGTTGTAATCGGCACTAGCGAGAACCTCCAACGGAAGTATTAAGTCTTTAATCAGGATTTGTACGTCTGGAAGTTCGCCTATAATACAGTAACATATTTTTTTTAATTTTTTTTTTTTTTTTTTTTTTTTTTTTTGAAATCATCGTGTTTCAACTTACCAACTCTATAGGAACGAGTCAAAGATACTTTCTTTTCTGACGCTTCTTTCTGCGTATTCTTTAGACTTCGGAGTCTCTTTTGCAGTTTTTCGTTACGATCAGAGTGAAATCTATTACTGGCACCTGGGGGTGTTATCACGAAGCGTTTTTTGTAATAAGGATTCTTTGGATTCTTAGATGATGGTTTAGGTCTACAAAAGGAATGGGTCAATACTTGTGAATACAATTCATAAGTTTCAACTTACGGGGTTTCCTGATCCAGCAAACCTGAATCTTGATCTTGTGAAAACTCTTCTGGATTAAACGTTGAAATTAATGATCGTGAGGTACCTTGAGTCATACTAAAATCAAGTAGACTTTGAGTGCGTCTCAGCTCAAGTTCCAAATCATCTACATTTAGCTACATAAAACTATTTTGTTAGGCTAGATTTCATTCAAGCAAATTTTTACCTACCGATTGTGTCTGTGTGGCTCGGAATAATGGCATCATAGAGGAAGCGTTTTGCCAGGATGTATTGATTTGTTGATAGTCTGCATCAAATCTTGCGTTGGGCAAAGGTTTGTCAAATATTGGCTGATCAAAATCGTAACTTTTTTTTGTGTTGAAGAGTATCATACGTGTGGAATAAAGGAGATAAGAATCTTCGGTCTCTGGCATATACATTTCGCTAAGTTCAACAAAACATTAGTCCTGCCTCTTATTTTGTTGTTAATTTAAATACATTACCTTGTGATTTTTTTTAAGGTAACGTTGATATCGTCTGTTACGTTAAACACTTGTTCTATATAGCTATACATGTCTTGTGATATGCTCTGGCTTTTATCAACCAATCCGTTTAATAAAAAGGCTTTGATCTCATTTTTGAAATCAACATCTATGATATTACTATCCTGGAAAGCTTTTTTCAAAAAAGAGTAATACAAATTCTAACAAAACTAAATTAATTACTGTTGTTTTAGTAGTGACAGTACACCTTACTCGACATTGTTCATCATCATGTACAGAAATCGCCGAAATTCTTTTTATAACCCATTTGATTTCATGTTCTTCCAAACTTCCAAATATTTTGTTTAATACTGTTAGTGTCGCTGCTTGCATATTTACGTCTCTGCTTGATATCATTCTATCCAATCCTGACTCGTATAGTTTGCGAAAGATTTTTTCATCATTTTTCCAGGAAGCACTAATGCATGCCATGGCGAGTAGCTTTTCTGAGTTTGCGTATTGATGGAAGTTTCGTACAATAACTGTAATAAACTCGCTAGCTAATTCAGTATCACGAAGAGCTAACCTGCTCATACACTTTAATATATGCATATTGCTACGCTGTGAACCAAAGAGTCCCCTGATCTAAAAAAAAAAAAAAAAATGTTTGTTGTTGCTTTTCGATGATGTAAAATAAGGCTACCTTGCTTTCATAAGTTCGTTTAATGTCTTCCAAACATTGTTTACGATGCTCCTTTAAATAATGAAGTGTCATGCCCATTAACTACAGACTATGTCAGGATCTAAAATGAATACTATATTTTCAATTGTATTTACCTCAGCGGCATCAGCTGAAATAATATTTTTCTTTCGCTCCTTGTAATGGATGTTATCAGCCATATCTGCATAAAATTGATATTCGGATAAATCGTGGAGATCCATAAATTCATTGAGGTCATACGGATTTCCACCGTTAAGAAAAACAATGGAAAGCACTTGTAACCCAATAATGTTTCCAATCGATGCCGTTCCCTTGTGACTGAATTGCTTATAAATTGTATGCTAAATAAAATGCGTTAGTGTAATGCGGTCCAATATAGCAGAGAGAGACTTACTGTAGGAATAGGAATGTAATTTCCCCAATTTTCAAAGACACCCTTAATAATCTGAATGTTACTTCTCATGATGCGCTGCTCATCATGGTAGGCATTTTTTATCAAAAAATCCTATTTAAAGCAGTTAAATTGTTATACTGTGATAAGAATTATTTTACTTACTGTAAATTCGAATAAAATGCGTCTGGTCTCATGGGATTTGGGTGAAGGGATTTCAGAATTTTTTCCCCAAATGATAAGAATGATACATAAATCTTGAACAAAATAATTGATGGGGCAACCATATCTATCTCCTTTTGTTGCAAGTTCAATCAATGGTAGGAACCAGAAAGAAGCATACTTCTCAAAAGCAAATGGGTAATTTATGATCAGTTTGGCGATGTGTAATTTGATATTAATTTCACCGGTGTTTTGAAATGCCCTCAACATTTCTTTTACCCAGGATGGCATATCAACAGGATTTTCTGAAGGAGGACAAAGTTCCGTGTGGATTTTTTTGATGACTTCGGTTAATGGCTTCATAATCGAGTTTTTATTCAGGACGTCAATTTCGAATTCATTTAGTGCTTGGTCTTCATCTTTGATTTCATCATTGACATCTGTCATTTCAGTATCAGCTCTTTTTTCCGGACCGCCCGCAGAATCTTTGTCAACTTCATTTTTCTTTTCTTCTAAAAGTATATCTGATAACGACGCTTGTGTGAAACTTTTAAGAAAGTTAGTTAATAATATCAAGTTCAACTTTTAGCCTCTTTATCGTACCTGCTCCCACTCAATGCTGCAGATGCCATATACGTAATATTTTGCTCGTTATTTTCAGAAGAATATCCTGACATAGATCTTAAATTATCAAGTCTTGATTTCACAAGTGGTTTTTCTAACTGAATTCCAAGACGAATCTCTTGGGTAGTATTAATTACGAATTCCCAAGTGTAGGTATTATAGACAGAATCTTGTAAGAAGAACAAATTTCCTTGATTCGCGTTTGTACCTATGCATAATACCATAGATGCAGTGGTGTTGTACACAGATCGATTGTACAAAAATTGTGCGTTCCGGCGGCCGTTATCATTACCTACAACAGGAGGCAAAATGGGTATTTTTCTTAATGACCCAAATGCATGAGTAATCGCCGAAGTAAATTTTGCTCGGGCTTTTCCTTGTGCTTTATTCTTTGTTGATGATGTCCACTTATCGTAAATACTATTTGATTGATCGCTCATATAACTCTTGGGTAGTCTATCATAAAGTGCTTGAATCAACCGGAAACAATCAGCTTTTTCGCTCCAATCATCAACTTGTTTAGTTGGATTGCTCGTTAGTTCTCTTTGAACAACCGACATGATGTCTTCTATGTTTTTTTCATAAAACGATATTACGGCCCTATCGTTAACGCCCACAGACAATGAAATGATCAGTTCTGCAAGGTTATGTCGCTGTAGTAAAGTATTGTGCTCGTTTTTAAATTCCCTATTAGGTAGAAAATACGCTGATCAGTGTATGTACAAATATAGTAATATAAGTGTACTTACCCGAAGCAATAATCAACAACTTGCATATAATGCCTCAAGCCAAGTCCGACGGTAAAAGATTCTAAGTACTTTTTGATGGCGTCTTCATGGATATGATGCTCTTCTTGTACAAATACGCCAGTCAACAAATTAAAAATTTCACTACATTTAAATGTTGCCATTGTTTCTAAAAGCTTGTCTAAGTAGCTAATATATTCATTGTATCTATTAAAAAGATCAAGGTTAAACTCATCGTTCTAATATACAAAGATGTTATTGTTAAACTTACAAACTAGTTCCTTTTTTTAAACTCTCCGTCTCAGGGGGGAAGTCTTGTATAATCGATTCATTTAATTTAGCCGTGATCTAGAGTCCGAGGAATAAAAAATTTAACCTTCTTTCTTTTTATAGCTCTAATATTCGTTACCTGTGTCGTGTGTTCTTGATCCAAGCAGATATAAACGGCAAGCAAATCCAGTGCACTGTTTTTAATGACAAACGAATTACCTTTCTCTAAAAAGTTCATAAAGGCTTTCCAGAGGATATCAAATAAAGGCCTTTTCTTTGATCTTGACATTATACTAGGGTCTGCTCCAAAAAGTGACCTTAAGCTCACGATGAGATCCAAAAGCTGATCATCTGTTTTAGAACGCGTAACACTAAAAATAGTCAATGAACATCTCAATAAATAAAGGGATTCTTTTTTTAAAAACTTACAGGAGGTTTAAGAAGCATGGATCATCAATGAGCTATGAAGAAATGGTCAATGAAACACCACGGATAAAATCATAAAGAAAACTTAACTTACATAGTCCGTGAACTTGAATACTAACTTTCTGTGGCTGATTCGATTCTGTTTGAGATAACTTAAAAACATGGACATATAAACCCGAACCAATGGGTCTTCGATATGGCTACATAGGACTGGGGAAAAGGCTGGGAAATAGTACGACATACACCCGTATATCTATAACAGGAAAATTGTAAATAACAATAATAATAAATAAGGTTTGGACCACTTACGTATTCCCTATACTTCTGGAATATATTTAGCTTATCCGGGCTTTGCAACTTCTCAAGTGGGCCAGAAAATCCCTAACAAATAACGTTAGTGTTCATTTTCACAGAAGATAAAATTCTATCTTTACCAACAAACTGGCTGCATGTTGCTGGGGAAAACCAGGTTGTCCGAAAGAAATAGCTAAGGTACTGCCTAAGAGTTGAATCCAAAGTGGATCTTGTGAAGCCTGACAAAACTTCAAATATTGTTCAAACAAAGTTAAACAAAAAGCATCAGCGCTTTCGGGAAAATTGGTTTCCAGAATAGACATTTCATAGCACATAATGTCAAGTACTCCAAGGGACTGAAGAAGTTTTATTCCATCGATTGTTTGCAGTATTTCAATCATTCCAGAACGCTCTACAAATTGTTTTTGGTTATTACTGCCTTGTTTGGGTGACATGTAATTACAATACCTATATTTCCTCGAGAAAGGGACAAAATGTTTACATTATTCTTTAGAATGATTTGACTGGATGCAGAAGCTAAGATGTTCATAAACTTTTTAGGCGCTCCTTTGTGCATGAATACAACATATTCTTTGGCAACATTAAATATCCGAGTGACACCTGAATTCGTAACAGCATTTCCCTGATCGGACTGAATTGCCTCAGAAACCGCTTTAGGTAAAAGGAGCGTTTTTGCAATTAGCATTGAAAGGCTGGCATGATACAGAAAGTCTCCCATATTATTATCCATATACTCGAAGCATTTAGAGCCTTGTTGAGGATATTTGAAGATTAGATCTAAAAAGTAAATCAGCCTGACAGATATATAAGAGTAAGCAGAAAGTATCTTGTTTTTCTCGATAACACTCTGATCTAGCATTTCGCCGAGTATTTTGTACGGTGTATTTTCGATAAAATAATCAGCTGAATTTAGGAAATTTGAGTTCGGGTGTTGAAGTAACTCATAGGGATCGAGAACATGACGTTCAATTAACCAAATGTATCCATCTAAAGCCGAGTTCAATTTCTTTATCCAGGTAGCATAGGCATACATTTTATCTTTGCCGATACATTGAGGTGCCTTCAGCTCCCCTGACTCAAGAACGTCAACATAATAGTTCGGATTTGCTTCAACCATCTTGTCCAGCCAAGCTTTAGCATCCTTGACTCCTGGAAGAAGTACAACAAACTCAACAAAAAACGTCATGCATACTTTGGCGTAAGTACGTTGAGATGAGCCGATCTCAAGAAAGGACCATTGAACTAAACTAGTTAAATTTTCGATTTCATCTGCACCAATAAAAGCCCTTCTTAAACTGTTCTCTTTAAGGAAATCCGATGCTTTGGTTCGAATTATACGTTTGATATGAGATATCGCTTCAATAATCTGGTCCCTTGTTCCGATAGATGGATGGTCTGCCTCGGACATCTTTAAACTAACAAACAACTGCCCTAGGATTTCAATTGTGTATTCATTTACCAATACTGATTCCTCGCGGAAAAGACGATAGATTCGATTAAACACCAAAGATGCACCAAAGCGATTTGTAGAACTAGGGCTTGTCATAAGGTTATATAATCTTTTGAGAAGAGACTTGATATTTCTTGCTCCATCAGTGGATCTTGAGCTTTGTTTTATGGACCATTTTACAAATTCTTGAATACATTCAGCACCATAATCACGAAGGCCTGCATCTGAGTTACACGCAGCTTCAAGACAGGTGGTAAGTAAAGCCATAGTCTCTAAATTTTCTGACTGTGCATTGTTTGTAAGCCAATGAATAATTTGGGAATAAAGTAAACGATACATGTCTCGAGCAACTTGATCTGGATCAATAGCTAATCTTATCATTACTGGGAATATCTTCAGATAAAGCTTATGAAAATCGGATTCACTAGCTTCTTTGGTATATTGGGCTTGGAAAGCTGCATTACCAATCATAAAAAGAGTCAATCCGTGAAGTAGCTCGCACGCAGCTACTTTTACTTGTCTTTCAGGCGATGATTCGGCAAGCTCACAAATACGGGGTAGGTATTCATCCAAATAGATGTCTACTTTAGAATTTCTGAAAGGAATACGTAATTTCAACCGCTTGACAGGATCCCAAGCAAGCATTCCATTATCTTGAATCGAATGTTGACCATCTAATAGAAGTTGTTTGTTTTTACCACCCAGTCGCCCTAAAAATTGCATCATACGTAATTGCAACTCAGGAAGACTTGAATAATTACTTTTAGTAACTCCCATTTGATCCGAAGTCATCTTGACATGAACTGATTTGTAGCGGCGTTCTGCTGCGGTGGGTGCTTTATAGATCTTTTTCCTCGTATTAGATCCTTCTTCCATTGTAGATACTACACCAACTAATAGATACTCGTTGATACCAGGCAAAATTTGAGAAAGAAATACCAAATCGATATCATATCCTGAAGCGGGTTCTAAAAGTTTATCGAGGCTATCCATGGAGATTGTCGCCAACGGATGGTATGTGATACCAAGTTTCAGAGACTTAATCAGAGGAGTAACAAGTTCTTGGAGATCAAAAAAAGCGATGGGGTATGCTAGTATCAGTCTAAGACAGGAAGCTAGCAACTCATCTGTAAATTGTTGAAGTCTATGCCATACTTCTTTCAAATATTCTCGAAATACAAGGAATGTGGCATATTCCTTAGGCTTATTGTTTTCATATGAGTGGTGGAGATTTTAAAAAGCAAAGTTATACTTACCGTAACAAGTGTTCCTTGATCAATCCGATCTTTGGTTTGAGAATAATATTGTTTGCACCCTAAGAAGAAGTGGGTTTTTTCACAAACAATCATAATCTGAGACATCATTTTATAGAAACCACTGACCAAAGGGTTCAAAACGCTTTGATCAATCAAATTTGTACCCACAATATAGACCCATTCAGAGAGTCTTTTGTTATCCAATTCTGTTAAGAGTAAGCACCAAAACTCAACCAAGTTTTGAAATAGGATAAAATCTTTTTGATTGACAGGTTGAAGTGTGTTTGAAACTGAGCTAAATACGTTTTGATTTTCTCCTTCATCGTCTTGAGCAATATTTTTCAGCTTCAAATTAAAGGTCTTCACCAATTTCAAAACAGATAATAAGAACGAGTCATAGAGGGTATCACATAGATTCTCTGGTTCAGCAACAGGCGCTTCACGATAAACAGGATCCTCATTATTCTCATCATCCTCTTCGTTGTCTTCTTCTTCCTTGTTGGATTGAATGTTGGGATCCTGAGTGTTATTTAATATTGTTTTCCAGAAATACAATAAATCAGTATACGCAGGTCTGCTTTCTTCATCGTTTGACTCAATGTCCGTACAGGTGGATATCAATGCCCTTTCGACTTTAAACCATAATATGAGTTCATTGTTTTTTGTAAACTATATTACAACTTACAAAAATCATTTATAAAATTGCGAAAAACACCCTCGCTTTTTGTATGAAGTAAGCCGAATAATGCACGGATATTATACAAACCATTTCTTCTATGGAAACCGGACATACTAGAAAATCCAGATATGTAAATATTACACATGCGATGAAGAGTATCCATCAATTCAGTAGGAATAACATCGAATTCTTTAGCGAATAATGAGTAGGCCTTAATAAAAGCTGGGAGATGGCGAGCATAGTCTCTTTGACAAGTATTTGTACTACAAAAAAAGGGAGGAGGAGGGTGAATACATTAATTTGTTTGCAATAGTCAACATAATTATTACTCTGAATAGAACCAATCACTAATTTGGACAAGATGATTGCGGAGAGCAGTTATTTCATCTTCTTTTAACAATCTCGTACAGACTTTAGCAAAATAACCAATACCGCGGATGGAGAGGGATACGTTATAAAAGTTTTCCAAATTATCTGCTGTTTTAAGGTTTTCATTAAATTTACCCATTATGTACTGTAAACCGGGCTGGTTAGTTAGCATTCAATTTCAAAAGGTCCCTGATAATTACCGTGAACATCTTGATTTCATTTCTTCCCTCATAGTTATGATACAGAACAATCGAAAGCTATGTATACTATTATTAATGGGATTTATACATATCTACCAACTTTATGTTGGTTACCTGTCTAATGAACTGTTCAAAAGCTCCCAACCCATGCTTATAAGTTTGTGGGTTGTGATGTGAGGCCCAGTAATTCAATGCATCAAATAGTTCTTTCCAATAGAGAGGCAAATAATTTGAAAATATGCTGATATGATCTTTAAATATAGCCAATGCGGCAATTACGGGATCGTATCTTGTTGTTATTTGGAACATCTGTAGGACAGTGAGAATAACTTTAAACAACGCTGCACTGTCATCTGTGTAAGGCTTGATAGCGACTTGATCATCACAGTAAACCAAATTATATAAGCAATACAATGCGCCTGAAATAACAAGAAGCTCAGTATTTGGGCCGCCTTTTAACTGTTCTTTCAATACATCAAAACACCATCGCTTTAATTCAATGATTCGATCAGATCCAATTAATCCATAATAGTATCTTGATATAGTGCCCAGTAAGCCAAAGAGTTTGCCTCTTACGCCACCTGGTACCTTTGTCTTTGGTAAAGTAAAATCAAAAGCATATCTATGAATAATATGTTAGTCCAAAATGCGGATATATATTAGAGACAAATACTTTTGGTATAAAGAAGGGATATCAAATTCAGATGTGTCAAACTTATTCCTTTGGTCTAGCAATGTTGTCAACAATTCAATAGCATTTCCGCGACAGTTTGCACTTCCAACTCCAGGTCTTGATATAGCGTTACATCGTTTCTATAAAATATTAAGTGTCAGATTACCTAATGAAAATAAAGGAAAAAAAGGCCTACAACTAAATCAACTGCATAAAGTTGTAATGTTGTATATTTTCTCCTTTTGGTCATAAATGAAGATAAAAATGATAACAATTCGGCAACAGCCGAGCAGGTAGAGCTGTCTTTTGAGCCGCTATTTTCTTTCAAATACGCAGTAATACCATACTCAGGATTGAATATAGTTGTGCAAATTTGGTCTGCCACCAAAGTTAGTCCGAGTTTTTGCATAAATAAAAGATACAATTTTACCAATATTTTTATCTGTTACATTCGATATAATAGATGCTCCTAAATCTCCAACAATCTTTTTTGCATCGTCAGCGTTTTTACCCAGAGTTGTTGACTCGTACAGTAACTTGACGTTGTTGTCAATTAGCTTTATATGAGACATTGTTTGAAAGAAAATAAAAAATACGAAGAGCGTGTTTTTATCTCTGGAGGCGGCAACAGTCACGCGGAAGATCTTAATTTGTGCAATGACTAACATTAAAAAATCTTTTTCCTTCCTCTTTTCGAGATATACACATATTTAAAATGCCCATGGACTCTAAGCAGTGGATCGACGTGACAACAGAGAAGAACCACTACTCTCTTGATCACTTCGTTATTCCTACTCATTACGAGAAGGATGTTTCTTCTATCCTTATCCCTCACGGTGTTATTATGGACAGAGTCAACAAAATTGCTCGTTTAATTGTTGAAGATACTACTGGACCCTTAGTTGTTTGCTGTATCTTGAAGGGTGGCCACCAATACTTCGCTGACCTTGTAAACGCCGTTAAGAAGCTTACTACTAAGGACGGTAAGACTGTTCCTTTAAGTTTGGAATTCATTCGTGTTAAGTCTTACAAGAATGACCAGTCCGAAGGTGTCACCATGTCCATCACCGACGAAGAATGTGCTGAATTTGAGGGAAAGGTGAGTGCTACAAAATTGTTCAGAGTAGGGTTATTTAGACTTGTTTTGTAGAATCTCTTGATTGTTGAGGATATCATTGATACTGGTGCTACCATGGTTCAATTATTAAAGAAATTAGACAACTTTTCTCCCAAGTCTGTTAAGGTCACTAGCTTGTTAGTTAAGAAGACTCCCAAGAGTAATGGTTATACTCCTGACTACGTTGGTTTCTCTATTCCTGACGAATTCGTTGTTGGTTATGCTTTGGATTATAACGAGTATTTCCGTGATTTAGATCATATCTGTGTCATTAGCGTAAGTTTTCCCGGGAAAGATTAAGTATTTGTTTAATAATACTTTTTTTTTGTGTTTAGGATCATGGTAAGAAAGCTTATGCCGTCTAAAAATGTAAATGATATACAAATATTTAATAAAATGGAGGTGAACTTGTTAGAAAAGAAAATTGTAAATAGTATAGAATGCTATGAAAGCATTTGAATTAATTTATTGTAATTAAATTTGTTATAAAAATATAATCTAGTTGTAAAAAAAAAAAAAAAAGTGGTTTCTAAACCTCATAGTAGGGTGCAATAAATTAAATGTGAATCATATAAAAAAAATTAAAAGTGTAATAAAAGGGTATATAAAAACGGCCGGTTTCATAAGGATATAAATTAAGGGTATGGAAATAAAAAAAAAAGTTACATATGGAGGAGGGCAGGATCAATGTATTGGATTTGATCAGGTACTTGCATCATCAAGAATGAGCTCTGATACTGTTCGGTTGAGCAAAAATCGGGATATTCAGAATAACTGAAATCTTCAACAAACTTGTTACTAATGGAGTGATCAAAATGGAAATAGTCGACTTGGGTGTCGAAAGGCACAGGCGAATAAGCGTTGAATTCGTTGATACAAGGTGTGTCAAGGACATTGTAAGAAGAGAAGTTTTCAAATGGGTTGATTGAATAAGACATAGTTGCCTCAAAAGGTGACAGTTCAACACAAGGGGTGGGGACATCAGCATCGCTATAGCAATCAGTAGAAGGGCTAGTGGTTTGGGGAGAATTGAAAAAATCGGGAATGGATTGATGGGAAGAGACAGAAGTGGCATATTGACAATCATTGTGATAGTTCAAAGGTTTGTAGTCCTCAAAATTTTCGTAAATGTCCTGCATTACAACAGTGTTGGCAGCTCTCTTTTTGGTGACCTTGCTAGTTTTTTTGGTGACTTTTCCACTATTGAAGATTCTCTTGCTGCTAGTGCTTTCGATTTCTTCAGTAGCGAATTCAAGTGCGTTGCAATCGTCATAAATTAGCTCCATAAACTTGTTGTTCTCTTTAGCACGAGAAGTAAATTGCTCCTTCTTATTCTTACGAATATAAACACGCTTGGGAGTAGTTTTCTTCTTTGGTGTATACTTGTAATCGGGGTACAACTGGCGATGCTCCATCTTAGCAATGCGTGCTCTCTCACGGAAGGGCTTCTTTTCTTCCTCTGAAGCCTCTTGCCACCACTTGGCAATGATTTTGGAAATATCACGATGATTAGCGCCGGCACATTTAGCAACAATTTCTTTTTGCTTTTCAAGACGGTACATCAAGAAACAATTTAAAGGTCTAGGAATGGTAGATTGATCGGTGGGAGTGTTAGATTTAACCATTTTGATAGAAGCAGAGACTATTGATAATTGAGATGATTATTTTTCTTACAAAAAAAGTTTGTCCTATTTATTCAAAGTTCAATGATCTTCGGGCCAATAAAAATCGTCGAAAAAAGCTTAAATCAAATTTTGGCCTCCCCTATTCCATTTTCTTCGGCTTCTCTGTAACTATTTTTGTTTATTTATTTCTCTAGCGCTAGGCATACCCAGAAATGGTTTAAGATCGACTTTAAGCACGGAACTCCACTTCTCCTATAAAATTAGGGTCGCCGGCGTATTTTTTTTTATATTATGCCACTTAATTGGTTTCGTTTATTAAACATCCCTTAATTACTTCTTTGTTGTATAACAAATAATTCAGCTTCATCAATCCTCTCTGCTAGCCTTCTTTTTGCAATCTCGGATTTATGCCTCCCCTCCCCCCATTTCTCCTTTTTTTTTTTTAACTCATTGACACACGTACCTTTTGAAATGTGGTACAATGCGTAACAGAATAACTTTTCATTCCGAGCTGTTTTGACATTAAAATTACACAAGGTTTGTTTTTGTAATTCTTGTTGTTTGGATTTTTTTTTTACATCTTTGAATTCAGTATTTGATAAATAAAAGGTATGCCTGGTATTAGTATAAATTCCACGTTTTCATGCAACCTAGTGCATTTCATCAGCGATTCGTGATAATGAAACTTCCTGCATTTAATCCCTAATATTATTTACTATCAGAATGGCATCAATCACGTCCCCTTTAACCACGTCCCTCTAAATTGCACGTCCTTCTTGCTGCTCCTCAATTCAAAGCAATTTATTTGATCGTAACTTAATTGTATAATATTGTTGCAGCTTGTTATAAATAATTTTCTTTGTTTTTATTTACGGTTAATAATTATTTTCTTATTGTACATATAACTTGTTTTTTCGGTATTTTTACATTGGATTCATTTGCTGTTACATAGTACAAAAATAAACAAGATTTTTTTTTAAAAAAAAAACTCATGGATAACATGTGGTCCGAACGTATTTTTTTGTCTGACAACCTAAATAATCAGTAGATATGACTTCATCACAAAAAGATAAACTTTCTGCTTCTAGTACTTAAGACTTCCGGTAGTATTATTTAGGTAAAGGGTTTTTTTTGGGGGGAGGGAGGGAACGTCGATTGAAGATGTCTAAGAGATATAGAAACGATCTAATAATCGGCATACTACATACACTAGTTATTTAATTTAAATTTTTATGATACGCTTCACACATATGTGTCACCAGAGCACCTCGAGTATATTGACCTATTCCATTTTTTTTTTATTTCTCATTGTGCACTTAATGTCGTTGGACAATACCAGGACAAGTATTTTATTGGCAACTGATGAGATTATAAAACGTGATTTTAAGTTGAATGATGCTATGATGTGGCAAGCTGCATACGATTATATCTAGACAACATCCAATATCTACGATATGCAATAAAATAGTAAAAAAAAGGGAAATAGGAGGAGCAGCCCATTATCGTACATCACAAAATAATGAAATCTTTGTGTGTATTCAAAGTTAAGCAGAGTTTAATTAATTTAGTGGGGAGGAGTATACTATAACCTACCTGATGTTATACTTTACATTGAGTCTGTAGTGCACGCTCATTTTAGTTTTTCCCTCAAAAAAAAGTATGATATATTCACACGGACTTATTGTTCTGATTGCATCAGGGAAAAATAATAATAGCTGTTTATGCAGGGGAATTGGGTAAACAAAAAAATCCTTAAATCTTAAAATCCATATATGGTCAATTTCCGTGAATTAGTTGGAACACAGGATGTGCAAAATTAATGGAAAAAAACAATAGAATTATTTCTCCTATATAATTTATTTATAATAAAATTAGTAAGATACGATTCCTGGGATTATGTAACTTATATGAATTACTTTGTTATTTTTATTTCTCCTATCTCTGCACTTTTACACAAGACCAAATGATGGTAAGTGATTTGGTGTATGCAGCAAAAAAACCATTTCTGTACTTGGTACGTCTTTGAGCTGAAAAGCATAATTGACAGACACAACCGATCTATGTACTACTTAGAGAACTGACATTGGACATATAACCTTCTATTTACTACACGGTCAGACCAGTAATGTGGTTGTACCAAGTATACGGAGCAACCATGTACAGTATGGTCAATTAGATTTACGATAATATTATTTTAGGTCCTTAATCTCTTTCTTTGTGCTTTGTTTATCTTTATTTCTAAAAAGTCCTTAATAGGAAAGAACGGTCTCCGCCATTAGCCACATCCAAGATTTGTATTGATAACATCCAAATTATAAAATACATTAGTACAATGCTTCTTTGTCGACTTTATAGGTTGTATCTTTATTGACAATTCTTAAGAAAAGGATTTTGAAATATTTTGTAAGCCTATTAACACACCGTGAAAAATCTTTTGTTTGTGTCTTGTCAAACTATTTATGTTTGTTTTCAATGTCTGTCAAATTCGTTGGTCAAAACATTTTTTCGACTTTTCTTATTTACATGAGTACCCTAAGTTGAAAAAGCTATGCTTTTTGAAATAAAAAAAATCAAATTCAATGTTATCTGCAATGGCGGTTGTGATGTGTAAATAATATTTAAGAAAACATGCGTCTTCGTTGATCTATCAATTAAGTTCTAAGAAGTTATGAACTATATCATTGGTTTAGTCTATTTTATCTGTACAATTTATTTGTCTAGAAAAAATTCAACGTATATATAAATATATGTCACGCTCAATATATACCAATATATGTGCCATTATATCTTTAGACAAAAAAGAAACAACTTTACTAGATCCGAATACATGTTTATGAGGGTACTAAGACACAAGCCTCATATATGGCCTGGTGCAGTAGTGACCGACTCTCTAACTTTCTCCTATTGAAGATATTTCTAAATCGGAAACACCCTTAATACCAGTAGAAGATCGAAAAATTAAGTGTATTACGTTTTAGAACACTGGTATAAAAATGCTGTGGATATATTATATGTTTATATTACAATGTCAGAATCAAGGTCGATCTAATTCCGCTTTAAAATACAACCAATTTTAAGAATTTACACACAGAGTCGACTTACAGTACTTGTTTAGGAGGAAGATTGTTGTTCTTGCCGAGGAGAACCATATATTGCAATTCTCCAATTATTTTACTTCACGGTCCTTCAGCTGTATGCATATTTACATTGTAACGAGTTTTCGGGTGATATAAATAGGACGGAGTTTTTGTTTGGTTACTCCAAATGATGTAGGCACGGGATTTGGTTCATAAAACAGAATTAAAGAATTCTACAAATTTTCTTTTAAGTTGTTCACATACTCTACGATACCAAAAAAAAGATGATTAAATAAGACATGTAAGTCAGATACAAGTAATTCAAAATTTAAAGATTCAATCAATTACGCAGTAAAAATGTTTCGGTCTCCATTTTAACTTGTGCCGAGTTCGGAGCTAAGCTTTTCGTTGCCATGCTTATTTTTTGGGGCTTTATGATAAATAAGATACAGCTGGATCGTGCCGCAAGAAATTTGTACACATTACCATATATGTGATAAACTATTACAGTATTTTCCAAAATGATGTCGTACATTTCACTAATTTTATTTGAACCACAATAAAAAAATTAACATTAGAACTGTTCTCCGCAGGGAGATCAGAAGTATCCAAATAATAGTTTTTTGCCAGTTCAAAACAGTCGGTTCAGTCGTCTTCTGAGATTTAAAATTGTATAAATAGGCCTAGACGCACACACTGCATTTAATAGCTGCAAAGTGCATCAGTAATAGGTAATTTATTTTAAAAAACTTCAGAATGGGACAAAATAATGTTGCCACATGTTATTAATGGGAAGAACGTAAACGAGAAATGATTGCGAATCACTAGTACGAACTTACAGAGAGCGGAATCGCCAACGCTCAGGTACCGAGTTATGATCCCCAGACGATGAAAATAATACGACCTTCGTCTTACATTCTTGTGACATAAACACTGAACTGGTTTCTGCACCTTAAAAGCGATGAAGAATCCGGATTCCTCCGTCTGAACCTGGCACTGAGGCCAGACCTGCGAAAGTCAAAAAGGAAAAAGCTAACCGCTACTAGCGAACACTGGAGGCCTTCGCCAACCAATGAGGGAAATGTCTAGACCTCCGTATTTGTTACACATAAGTCTTAGAAAAATGTTTACGTCGATTGACATGCCATATCATCTTAACTTTTCCTTAACTTCGTAGGAAGGCCTATTTTTGTTTATCATAAAATATAATTCACTATATATTGGTAGATGTTGCTACTGAAACACTGATAGATAATTAACAAGTCTCTGGGGCTATGTACAAATGTTTCTATTTAAGTAAAGTTCCAAACAAATTGGATGATTAGAAGAAAAAATTAAATCATCCTGACATAAACTCTTGCTTATCAACTTAATAATAAACCAGTTCTTGTTTATCAGTCTATAAATAAGACTCGTTTACACACTTATTTCTTCCCTTTTTCTTTTCCTTGACAAACATATTTCTTTTTTTTATTTTTTTTAAAAAAAAATGAAAATTACATTGTACAGTGCATCTATTTTATAATGAACAATTTTTGGCTCCAATTTTTTAAAAAAAAGAAAAACGCTATCTCCTCGATGAATTTAACATGTATCAAAATTCTGGCTCTATTACGTTCTTTATTAGAGAGTTCTTCATAAACTAATAGAGCCCGATTTTTTTTTTTCGCACAAAATTTTTTACAGATGGCAAAACAAAATTTGCCATTTACAGTGGCGAGACCCAAAGATGTCCGGGAGGTGTTTTACAGTGCAAAAATTCATAAAAATTAATCAGATATATCCCGGTTAAACGTTTTCCCGAGATAAATTAGATTCCTCTGTCAAAAAATATGAAAATCACCAGTGTAAAAAACAGACCTTTTAGTTCTGAAAATGTCCGTTTTAACGAAAATTGTTCATTATAAAATAGATGCACTGTAATTGTTGCAATAACATGGCTACGGCTAGTCTTTGCTATGTGATGGTGATCTCCCAGGTTGGGTACTCATGTTTTAGCTGGAATTGCTGTAATCCATATAATTTCTATGTAAAAGTGACTCAGAGGGTATTAAAAAGTTGTAGGTAAACCTGGGGGTAATTAATGTCCTATACGTAATATTAATTTATCTAACCAACCTTTTTGAGTGGATCCCTTGGTCAATAAACAACTTTTGCACGGCTATTTACATTTACAATAAGCTTTTTTTTTTGCTGATAGAAGGAGTAGTCAGTAAGTGATCTTTGTCGAAAGATCAGGCGATGTGCTGTCCTGTATGTCCTAGTGTACGTTTACGTATTTTCAAATAAAATATCAAACAAAAATATATCCATCTTGTGCTTATAGAGGGATTCCATAAAAACTATAGATCACATTTTCATTACTATAGATGGATTCTTTAGTATAAAATATAAGTCAAAGGCAAGTCATCTTGATCGAATTAATGTGGTCAGCACTGCGGAGAACGCATGGGTGAAGCCTGAAGATGTTGAGTTTTATAAGAGAGAAAAAGCTCCTAGAGACGCAAATATTTTTTGAGTTAATATTACTACATTTGCTGATAATTAATTATAAATAGGTTTTTACGAACGAGGACGCATCCAGCGCTGCAGTTAATGGTGCTTCAATTATTTCAAAACGGTATCCCGTAAAAAGACTTTTTGTGGCTTCGTTTGCACGTCATGACATCGCCTTAAAGATGACGGATATGATAGTGATAATGGGAAAAACAAAATTCCTTGCAATATTCTTAGATTTTTCGTTCCTCCTAAACATCAGCCGTGAACAGATTTTATACCAAAGACCATGTTGAAGATCACCAAGCTATAAACATAGAGGCATCGACTTTAATTGGTATGTTATACTTATAAATCACTCTTGGAGTTTATCATTAACGGTAGTAGTATACTTGTAGGCAAGCCTGCTATCAACAATTATGCTACTAAAAATGACAAATGAATGGACGGAAAACATGCCGATGTCTTGGTTGTGCCCACTATGACTATCACTGAATAATTGCCACCTGTTCTCATTGAAATTCAGAACGTTGTTAATAAGGCATACATGGAACGTTTAATTAAATATTGCAACTACGTGTGTGACGAATACAACAACATAGAGTCGACAGCCCTAACGATTTGTAATAAGAATACATGGTTAGAAATTTGCAATTTGTTTTCAGATAGTCATATAGCTTCATAATTGAAACAACTTCCGAGTCGCTTTTGGCAAAGGAACATTTTATAATAATCCCTGCAACCATCAGGAAATATAATGATGATCCTAGCAGTGGCAATACGGATAGTGAAACCGACAATAAAATGACGACATCAATAGCAAGACTTTTCCACCTTTGGTTGCTTTAGGTTATGCACTGATTAAACAGAGATGCTCTTTGTTCGGGTTAAAATATAAGGAGGATCCACTTTTTATGCTGAAGAAGCCTTGGAACATCTCATTCAAGACAGCTAGCAATTACTCGCTCGGTCTAATTGGGAAGTATTCTGAACAATACTTGTAATTCACCCTTGTATTTACATGTTGTGTACAATGTCAACCATTGCAACAATTACATGTCCTACATGACAGTTATCAAATTCATATCAAATATGTTGCCACCAATCAATCGTTGATAGGTTGCTGGATGTCGTTACAAAGACTCGAAAGCAATTCAAAATAATTATGGTCGTAGCAATTGGGAATAAGCCAGAAGAAGGGATGACAGCTTAGCAATTGCAGGTGTATTATATAATGAAACATGCTTGCATAAGTGTCAGTGTCAAAACTCTGATGATTATGACATGATACCAATTAGGACTTTATCTACCAACCCGTAAGCCAATAAATTTCCCTTGGATTTGCCACCAAGCGTTGAATCGCCAAAAAAAGAAAAGAAAAAGAAAAAAAATGCATGTAAATATATTACCGCCAATACCCCCAAAGAGGAACTTGATGGCATGAAGTATGACAGGGAATTTAGAGACGAATACCTGAAGACCCACAAGCAAATGAACTAGAAAGTATGTTATGACAGTAGATTGACAGAAGGCTACTTTACTATATGTAAAAATTACAAAACGAAGAAAAGTACATTTAATGAACTCAATAAAGCACTAGTCATCCACTGCATTTTTTTCATGTCCCATCCAGGTCTTTTACAATTCTTCCAACAAGGATAAATAAATGGTAATGCGACACTTTTTTTTTAAAAGTGCGACATTTTCTACCTGAAATGTGCGTCATTATTAGTGCGACATCATTTTGGCAAACACTGTACATTTTGTTATAATCATTTTGACACTGTGGTACCTCAAAACAATTTTGCTTTCTATTGTGAAAACACAATAAATAGCGTATATCTTTAACTTTTACCCCTTAACCTCCCTGAATAACCATAATTTATTATTATCTCCACAACAACCAAAATGACCTTGTTGTCTTTTTATACCCCTAAATACTGTCTTATAATAGGCTAATTTATTTCAGGCACTATAATTGAATGATCGTCAAGAAAAAAACGATCTGATATGATAAATAAAATCGGACCTTGTTTATTACTGTACTAGAACGGGGAAAGAGCATTTCCGCTTATTGTTTTGTTTTACCGCTGTAGGCTCAACCACGCTACAAAGTTCTTCCATTCATAATGATGCATGTAATATATGCTCTTTTATTTTAACTACTACTAAATGGCTGGATTACCACGTGCTTTTTTACGCAATATACATTTCTTTTTGTCTACTACGTGGACCCGAAAGGAAAGCATGTTTCGTACAACCTATTACTCAATCTTGAAATCGTCATAAAAATAGGTGGTACCACATTGGTCGTAGTTTTGCCAAGCGCAAATCACGATTAAAGGACCCGTCTTCCCTTTTTTTTCATTTTTTGTTCATGCATCTCTCCTTATTAGAAATATTATCTATATTCTAACAGCTATGAGAGTTTCAGTGGTCAGTTCTATTGTACAAGAGTAATAATAGAATTGGTTATCAGCCAATATATCAAAAGATATTCGGAAGACCGGTAATGGAAGGCCTCGACTCCGCATTGTTTTCAAGGGCGATAATGTGCTACACAAATACTGAAATAGCAGAATCTATTTTCTCTTTTTTTATTCTTCCTCCTTTTCTTTTTCCTTTTTTTTTTTACTGTTAAAAAAAGACTCTTCTAGTTATTAAATATATGTCTATATAATTTATAAACTATCCTTTCATTCTACATTCCCTCATTTTGACATTCGTTTAATTCACTTGTAACCATGACTAGCAGCGCCGAAACCTTGAACTTGTTAGTCCAAGCCGAGAAAAAGTATCTTGATATTTTAGATATAATAGATTCGGTAAAGTGTTTCTTTTTATTGGAAGAAGTAATCAATGTACTAAGCGTTAAAAATAGAAGTTATCCCCACTCTGGATGAAGCAACTTGATTCTGTTGCACCTGATTTTACTGAACTATTAAAGAGTATTCAAGATATAATCAAATTTAACAAGTCATTTTATGAAGTATGGAAATTATCGACTATTTTATTTTATTTTGTTTCACTAAACTGTTTGATTGTTTGCAGAAATTGATCAATATGAATCCTCAAAATGATCTTGGTGATCTTCTTATGCATTTGGTTAGTTGTATTATCAAGCTAATTTCCAATGATCGTATGTTAACCCCTTTTAATGAAGACTGAAGATATAGAAATACCTTACAATCGCTATTTTGAAAATTTCATTAATAATGTCAACCAACGTCAAGACATTCTCTGTATCCCTTCGATCCAGCAACTATTAGATGTAAGTCTATACATGAGTATACATAACTTTTTTAACAGTACAAAATAACGCTGCATTACTCAGGATATCAATTCTCAAGAGCAAGATACCATCACTTTGGAGACATTACTCTATGCTCCTTTACAACAACTCAATATCTACAAATCCCTGTTTAATGTAAGTTTATAAACACTCCTTTGTCCTTTCTCTCCTTTCTTTTTTTCTTTTTAAAATCTTTTTCTTTTTATATATTTATTCTTTATCCTTTCTTTGTCTTTTCTAACATTTTAAACAGGCAAGCTTAAATATAAATCAACAGTATATAGTTCAAGCAAACCATCTATTCGACACCCTCATGATTAAGAATTCTTTGCCAGCAATAAAGTTGGACTCGTTTCATACTCAAGTGGATTGTTCAAATGTAGTCGATATATTAACTCAAGAGCGTGTAGTAAACTACAAGTTACAGCCATTGGGAAAAATATTACTTTGTGACACATTTAATTGCAATGAATTATCAAAACGTGTGCGCTTGATTTTGACTGTGAACGATCTTTATTTTTGTTCGGTAGAGAATGAAAAGACAGATTCAAAGTATACTCTCTTGTATAAACCCGTCTCGACTAAACATATCTCAATTCGAACTATTCATACCGATCGTGAACTCATAGGAGAATACAATGTCCAGTTCTGGATTCAAAAGCAAAAATTGTTTACAATGAAAGCTAGCACAAAGGAAGATCGTAACATGTGGCTTGGATTGGAAACAAACAGCAGTACCAAAGACCAGGCTTTCTTGGCATGGGAACCATTAAACGATATTGTCGCCAAGTATGATTTGCGCCGACAATCATCTAAAAGTAGCAATTCTCCAAAGTCCATTCGCACTCAGGATATTTTTACTTTTTACACAGATCAAACTGGTGAAATTTCACCTTTGGTGAGCTCCTCGGACGAATCTGAAGAAGACGATAGTAGCTGGGAAGAAGAGGAGAGAAAAGATTCGTTATCTGCATCAGGTTGGTTTTGATTACAAGTTTAATATAGATTAAAAATCGCACCGAATTGACTCTTTTTAAAGTTGACCATACAGATAAATCCAAATCAGTTGATTCGTCTAATTTTGCATCTCAACGACAAAAATCTTTGCCTCCAAAAGGAATTGTTCCTCTGCCTGTTGACTCGCCAATGAAAAATGTGATGTCTGCACCTATTGTTTCGGGTACAAAGTCACTTCCTTCTCGCAATATATCTTTGAAGCAACTCCCTATTCCTTCCAACATGCTTGTACCTGATGTCATTACCCCTAATCGTAATTCAGTATCTTCCCGTCCTCCAAATGTGCGTTCTATGTCAGCCCATCAATCCATGAACGGTAGACCTATTTCATTTCAACAACAACAGCAACAGCCTCCTCTACCTTCCAACAGCCCATATTTGCAGCAACAGCAAAACTTGTCTGTTAGTTCACCAAATCTTGCTACAAAGAAACCTTCTTTTATGCGTTCGGTTATAGCAGCTGTGTCTTCACCACGTTCATCATTTCGTCAAAGTAAGATAAGTACGAAACAAAACATTGAATCAGAAGGGGATCAGCCGTCTTTAAGAAGCCCACGTAGTAAACAATCTCTGCAAAATATGAGTACAGTTTCACTTGATCAACAAACTCCGACCGATTATGGTGCATCATTGCGCCGCTTCTCAGCTGCCAATGGTGCTGAGCCTCCTGTCCAACCTCAGCATTTAGGCATTCCTCCGCCACAAAGCCCTTTTGGTCCAAGGTCGTCATTTATAAATAATCATTCAACCCCGTCATTTATAAGTAGCGCCAACTCCTCAAGTCAATCTAGTTTAGCTCTTACACCTCCACTTAGTCGTTCTTCTAGTCCTGGCTCTATGACCCCAGTAATTGTAAACCGCTATGCCACCCCTTCTTCTTCATCTTCTGAAGATTTGGGCTCACCACCTGATAGTGTGAGTTGTTAAAACATTTTATTATTATTTTTTTAGCATTGTATTAATAATGTTTTTAGCCTGATATACTTACTCAAGCAAATTCGATTAAAAATGTCCTGTACACCAACAACGAGACCAAAGTATTTCATTGGAAAGACGAATCATGGTACGCAGTTGAAGAAGATTGTCTTTTAGAAGTTCGGCAAACATTTTCCAACCGATCCTGTATTGCAATCCATTTGAAGAATAGTGGGCAATTCTATCTCAACGCATGGATTTTACCCGACACTTTTATTATTCGAACCAGTGATACGGACTTGAGTTTATCTCTCCATATCACTAATGATCAGTCCGAGTTAGAAAATTATCTTTTCCATTGTCAATCGAAATCCGAAGCGGATGAGCTTAGTAGCCTACTAGAGCAGATGCATCAAGAATCGATCCAAATGAACTTAGTCATCTCTGCCAATAGTACTTTACGTGGTGTACCTCCTGTGTTAATGCGTACTTCATCTTTAGTTGCCGACAATACATTATCCCAAGAAGAATTAGCAAAGACGTTTAAATTGGCTATGCAATGTAAATGCAAACTTTACGTTCAAAGTGCAAGTTCTAAATGGAATAGCTTTGGCAGTGTTTATATGAAGGTTTCACAACAGTATGCAACCAAAAAGATGCATATCGCCATGGAATCTCATAAGGGTGGTAAAACAACGCAGCTGGTCAGTGCTATGGTTCAGAGTAGAAACGTCGAAAGACTTGGCCCAAAAAGGATTACGTTTTTGATGGTTGATGAATTAGAGAAAAATAGTGTCGTTTATATGATTCAAGTCCGTGAAGAATTAACAGGTGATAAAATTTTTGAATACGTTAAAACAAAAAACAGCGAAAACGGTTGGTAGACTCGTCGCAAGAAAAAAATTATTATAAACATACTACTGCAGGCAAACAATACATTATATACACAAACAAAGCATATCCCTTTACACACACTTCTCATTTCTTCATAATATAAATCATTTTAAAAATACACGAATCGTTTTTATTTATTATTTTCATTTTAATTGGCTTTGTGGTTTTAAACAGAAGTTTATTGTGATTCTTTTAAAGACTCGGGGCTGGCTGATTTCTCGATTTTATTTTTGTTTATTCAACACATGGAATGACTATTAATAGTAGTGGACACGTTTCCAAATATAATAGGATAAATTGGTCGCTAATTGACTGATATAGTTCTTTTCATCATCACGCAAAACATGACCTTGTCTTCCACCTTCTTTGGTATTGATAGTCACCTTACACTTTTCACCAGGTGAGCAAATAAAGTGGAAAAATGTAGGCGAGGCAGCATTTGGAATGAACAGCAAAACGTGCCTTGTATCCTTAATATATATATCTCCTGAAGTCATCTTATAAAACGTTTTTAAATTATCCAGAGCATCGTTCCAGTTGAGACCCTTCAGTTGTAAGAACTTATCAAAGGAGTTATCTGCTACTCCAAGATCAACTGGATTGAATCGGCTGGTCAATTGTACAAGATCTTCTGGTAACTCCTTTGTTAAATTAGGTCGAACTATTTCGTACAGTTTATTCCAATCCGCTTCACGATGAAATAATTGAATGGCCTATAAATAACACATATTAGATCACTCCGTGTGATGTTATTTATAAAATCACGTTTACCTTATCTATGATTTGATCTATTTTGAACTTGGCAGACTCAAATACGTCATTCATTGTAAATTGTTCGGGGGCCAAAACTTCATCCAAGAAATTTGCATACCTTTGAGGTTTTTCCTTTAATACTTCAGACCATGCTTTTTGACAGTGTTCTGACGAAGTACAACGATCCATTCCGCGGTAAGTAACCAATACAAAGTATTGAAGAGATATTTTCCTTGTATATTCTTCTCCTACAACAATCCGACTAACCAATTTTTGAGTAGGGTTTGACCCCATCATATCGAAACTCCCCTGTCTATGCACGCTGATACTATCTCTCCATCTACCACTAGAAGTTTTTTCTGCTGGACAAATGACAAGCGTATATCTAAACGGTGTGCTTTCCATGCAGTGTCTATTTTCAAAAGTAGGATTATCCGATGAAACAAAGCATGCCACAGGCGCCTTATCCATTTTTAGAGTCTTGAGTTCCAATTTTAATCCGGATCCCAGTATCCACGATGACAGGTTGCTAAGAGAGTCTTCCACGGGGAATTCGTAAATGCCATTGATAATTCGATTTCTTGAGTAAATTGCAGGTCGGTCATAAACAGAGACAGTATTTCTAATGATACTTAATAAATTGAGGTTGCTTGGCAACGCTTCGACGTCATCTAAACTTCGCTGGATATATCGCAAATGAAAATCAAATACAAAAGAATTGACGTGAATTCTTTGCTTAAATTTGTCACATTCACCCATAAAGCTTTGGAAATTCTCTCTACCTACTTCTTTTCTTCTTTGTGTATAGGGAGAAGATTGAAGTCGACCATACCTGCGATGTAAAGTGTATAATGTAACAGATACAAAAGCTCCTGTCAATCTTACTTCACACATGATAGATCCACCTTCAAATACTTGCAGTAAATAAACAACGGGAGACTCAACCGAATAGTTTTCAGTGATTGTGAAATGAGATAAGTATGCTTCGACTTCATCCGGTTGATCATTAGAAGGCCCATAAACAATCAAATGCATACCAATACTTTCCAAGTAACTTGCGTACTCTCTCATAAATCCACGGGATAACTGTTCATACCATCCTGTCATTTCCTCAGATTTTTGAACAGTCAGTTTGTTGAATAATTTCTCAAAAATTCCGCTTTCTGCAATCGATGTCATGTCCGAGACTGAAGAGTTTGATTCCGAGAAAATCAATGGTGTTCGACAAAAATGAAGTAGCCGAGAAGCCTTGAGAATTTGTTTTAATTCTTCCACAGTCATCATCTCATCCGTAGTTTCTGTATTTCCTGGGCCATAATAATGATCCGCCCATTTTGTATACACTTTGAACGCCTTTTCATGAGCTGCCAGCGGCTTTGATCTTGCCAAATACATATCAAGGTAGGGTTCACCGTGTCGTAATAGATAATCGTTGTCAAACTGATTTTTGTTGTCTGCCGTTGAATGCGCATAAACATCGCGAAGCACAGTGTTAGCATCGGCTCCTCGAACGGCAGTATAAACAGTGTCTGCATTGGATTTTAATACTCTGCATAGCTTTGCGTTATCTACTGTATCAAATACATTGGGCTGCTGCTGAAAGCTACTGCTAGTATCTGTGCTCATGAATCGCTGCAAATTTAACGTACTCGATTTCAATCGGTTATTATATTCAAATGTGTTTGTTACAAGACTTCGAAGAATTTCTAAGTCGACAGTAATTTTGCCGTTGTTAGTTGCTTTTCTGCGATCGCTCGTAAAACTATCAATCGATGGTATGGAGGATGAAGAATCTATCTGCACAAGACGCCCAATTGTATTAACCACACTAGGCGATACTCTTGCATTGCTTGTATTTTGGACTTGAGTTAATGCACTATGCTGTAAAGGCGTCATGGGAATAGGAGCAACGTTTGAGGAGACACTGGCATAAGAAATATTATTGTTGTGCGACAAGATTTTAGACATGCTTTCAGTGTGATGAAACAATCCAATCTTTTGGTGGAGAATATTGTTCAGACCTAGATGTCTTGTCTCTTGTTGAACAACGTTTTTAAACGTGGTATTGAAAACATGTTCGGTAAAGTTGTCAGAACAATTGTAAGCATATATAGATAGACGGGAAGAATCTAACGTAAATATAATAAAACTATGCTGATGCGATACCTCTTTGTAGTCAATCCCTTTTGCTTTAGACAAGTAACTTGGAAATATCTTGGATATGCTGGAAGCCAAAGACTCTTGACGACTGTGAAGACTTCCTGTATCTTCTCGCTTCAATCCATCAGCTTTGAGATACATCATGGGATCTTCTTCGATAATCGAGTTCACACCGTTAAAAACAGTACGGTTGTTTAATCTAGAACCGTTGTCTGTTGTTTCAGTGCTGCCTTTTCGTGGGTTGGATAAAACATATTTGTTATAAAGCTCGGGTAATCCACTAATAATCATGTATCTATAATTTTCATGATTGAATATAGGGACTTCATCAACTTTCTTTCTGATTTTTCCTTGCTTCAAAGTAGGCTCGATTTTGGTGAAGGAGAATTTTCTGTTTGAAGTTGAGAAGGATGGGCTGCTTGATTTAGTGTTCTGGTTTGATTCTACATTAAAACTTTCATTCCCAGGATAATATAACTTGTAATCATTAGGTAAGGTTGAATTATCGCTTGACATAAAATCATTTAAAGAAGACGATAGTTTTGCCCTTGCTATTGTCGGTTCCAGTGATGAATGTATATCAATGAGGTCACATTTTAACTGCTGCACAATACCATCAAAGTACCAAGGCGTCAAAGTAATAGATCGAGATATTTGCTTTACGGTTGAGCTTTCCCATTCAGAAGCCTTTTGAAGTGCAAACATGAGTAGAGAAGCCACCGATTTGAAATCCTCCTGATAGCTGTTCCCACTATCGTGTACCACTTGTCTAGGTATGAACGAAACAGCATTTTCGACAATGTAGTCACAGATGCTTTGTCTAAATGATTTGTAGATATATTGGTATATATGTTCTACTTCAAGCTTGCAGTGGGACCAAATATCAATACATATTCTTAACTTCTCATCATTGTCCGTTTGTTCAAAATCCGAATTCAAGCAGGAAGTAAGGTCATTTAAATTGAACTCACTATTCTCGTTGAAAGGAATTCCAGATGGGCAGTTTGAAGTGATTCGGCTATAAGCAAGATCATTATCATTAATTATAGACAGACATATACCCGCTACACCTTCACCTATTTTTTGTTCAAACGGCAAATACATGCCTGGAGCCCGATTCAAGTAATTATAATAAAAGCATAAATCCAAACACGACCATTCCTCAGATAAAAGCTTATTGACATTTTCGCCCATCAAACGACCATTAAAATCGCTGTTGCCATAACTACTGTAACGCATATCATGTTGCTTTTTCAGTACAGACGGCAAATAATTTGAGTGAATGGCATGGAGAGAAGACCCTGATATAATGTTTTTGCGGAATATCTTCAAAAATTGGACCGTGTTTTCAACTAAAGATGGGATACATAACTGTTTTTGCAATAACGGTTCTTTTTCTACAGGCAAAATAAATTCAATATCGGCACGAGATAACTTGGAGCTCGGGTTACGAATAAGAAATTGCTGAACTTCTTTCAGAGTGATTTCAGAAGTAATTCGTGAATCAATCATCTCAACCAGGCCATCTACAATGTAACTATTTGACTCGACACCATAGACTTCCAAAACAAGCTCTCGACCTTCATATTGCCGGCCACCATGTCTCTTACCCGTAGCGGGTGATGATGTAGATACACCTGCTTCTGTAAAACTAGGGCTATTTTTAGGACTGAATTGCTGGCGTTCACTCGTAATACTTCCTTGGGGCGAATGTTTGTTGTATATATGAGATGCATGACGAATACGCGAATGAGAGGTGCCAAGGACTTCGTTATTTTCAGTGACAAGGGAAGAAGCACCATACGGCGATTCTGGATGAGACGTATAATATGCATCTTCGGTATCGTTGTTGTTGATTGTTGTACCGAGGAAAGACTGGTTCATAATATCGGATAATGTTGAACTGTGAACTATTGTACTCACTTCGCTCAAAAAGCAATAAACCACTGAATCTTCGTGGGAGATAACAAACATACCAGGTTTGTTTTTAACCAAAAATGGGGGTAATGTATCTGTCATTAGTTTGCTAAAGGCAGAGTTGGGAGATAGTCTCCAGTGGAGAGGGAAACGCTTGGTGAACACAATTTCGCAACTGAATTGACCAGGTAAGAATTTCTTGGGAGGTGAAAATGTTGCTTCTTCACCTGATGTAGAGAGAATCTCTACCAAATTGTTACCGGATCCAGCAGCTACAAATGTATCATCATCTTCGCTTGATTCATCGCCAGATGACGAAGCAGGCTTCTCGTCTTCTGTGGGAGCCAACAGATATTTACTAAAATAAATTATCAGCACTCAGTCTCGCTACAAAACATGAACATAAGTTTACCTGCATCTTCTTGTATCATGTAAAGATTGGAGAAGTGACATTTTATTTGTACGCTCCATTACTTCATTTACCATAGATTTGGTAACACGAATAATTTCAGATCTGTTTACAGACTGTTGCATTTTTGAATAAAAATAAATTTGTACGTTTTGTGCCTGGGGTATCAGTAGTAACCAGTATAATTGGGGGTGAGTTGGCTCAGTGGTGATTTCATCTTCATTTTCGGGTGTTTCAGGCTCCAAAATACTGATACCAAGCCCATGACAAAATTCATCGCTACCTTGCTCACCATCCACTACAGGCTTTTTTCGATTATTATCAGTCGTGATATTGAGACCTTCTCCATCAAATAAGGATTCATCATCATCTTCTTCTAACAAATCATGTTGCAGCACTAAATTGGAATTTGTTCCATTATCGCTTGCGTAAAAACAATCGCCGACACGCACTAAACGGTAAGGGCTATTATTATGCTTTTCAAGCTCCTCAAAGAACATTCGTCGGCTCTCCTTTTGGCTCTTGACAAAAGCCAGCGGGATGAACATAGTCGTAGGGAAATCAACAAAAGGGTTTTTCTTTTTCAATTGCGCTTCGATATATCGAATTACATTTTGTGTAATGGGTCCAGATCGAAGGAGACCGTGCATGATTTCTTCGGTAAACAACCACGTCAATCGAGCTTCTGTTTCAACAAGCGCATCCTGTTTGTCTTGACTTAAAGAAGGTAGTCTGGCTCGATGCGTTTTGTCTGCATCTAAAAATGAGCTATATAGGAATAACTACGTTTAGTTTTTTATGATAAAAATCGATGTATTATTAAAAGTCTTACGCTTGGTGAGGGACAGCATTTTCAGCAGGACATGAAGACTTGTGCGAAAATAAGGCATTTGGCAAATCATATTCAGACTGAGGAAGTGTCATACATACCAGATGAAGTGTAGCGGTAGTACCATCTGCCGAATCTACAGGTGAAAATTTGGTACCGATAGATTCTGGTTCAAAATTATAAGTCTTGCCATCTTCTGTTTCGCCTTCATAAAGTACCGGTAAGCTTTTTAAAGGAAACGTTGTCTCGATAAATCCCGTGCCATCTTCTTTTGGTTTACGTAAAGTACAATCGAGACGCACAAACAATGGATTCTGCGCACATACCACCACATCTGCCAAATTACTTGGTTTTTCACCCGAAGAAAGAGATAGACCTAATTTTTGTCCTACTTTTGCAAAGGGTGGGCGATAGCAATACATGTTTGTCCACTTTGTGTTTGATATAATGACCGGCTCAAAATAATGTCCAAGAACAGAAATAAACCGTTGATTTGCAGACGCAAGTTCTTCGTCGCTTGTTCTTGATCTTCGTTTTAACAATGTTTGTACGTTTAGATAACCCGTCAGGTCAATATCCAAGTTCGATTCATCACAGATTTCTAGCACCTTTTCAAAATCTTCTGAATCAATGGCGCGTCCGTGGAGCAGACACGTAAAAATAGATTTTACAAAACTTCGAGAATACACATGGGATACATCCTGCATCAGCCGGAGCGTTCTATCCGACAGTGGTTCATTCATACGTGTGTTTGAAAAATATCCTCTTGATAAGTCAGGCCTTAAAGTGGATCGCAAGCTTTCTAACCACTCTTTGGATGACAGCGGGTCAATCGGACGTACCTCTATTTGATCAAAATTCAGCACTGCATTGTGATTGTTGACCGAATCTTGTCGATGACATTCAAACATCATTAGTCCCATGCGGTCAAAGAAGTCATTAGGGGTCAAATGAGCACTATCCATTGTGTAAAGACCTTTTACAATGGCATCCAACCGTGGGATCAGAAGCACTACAAATACCGATGGATCAAAAATCTTGATAAAGCAGCGCAAGTCTCTAAAATTCTGAGCTACGTGAAGTGTACTACGGGATGCACCTACTTCTTTTCTATGAAGGAGCTCTTTTACAACAGACGACCAAAATTCATCAACAGGAGTTTTGTCTAAAGACATGTTACGATCTGTGACAGAAGACAAGGATATTTCAACATAATAATGTAGAAGTGCAATGTCGCGAAGTACAGGACGTAATTTGGATATCGAATCTTTTTCTGCACAGATGAGTTCGTCTGGTCTAGGACAAGTACATGCATTACTGCTTTTATCATTATTCCATATTAAAGGTGTTCTTGCCACTTGAGGAGAGGCGGAAGGACTGAATTTGGGAACGACTCTTACACGCGATGTAGCACTGCTGTTAACAGCACCACTCAAATGATTTGTAGAGGCACCGCCATTTCTTCGACGTACGTAGCCACCTGAATCATGACTTTCGGGTACAAGCGTTGAAGACATGGAATTCGTTGCAGCAGCCGCAGCAGTAGCAGCAGCCGCAGCTTTTTGTTGCTGATCAATCACCACAGAATCATTTCCTTCAGGGTGAAAGTGACGATTGTAGTTGGGACAGGGATACAATGCAAACAGAAACGAACCCAGTCTGAGCACTGATGACAAGTTAAAGAGAGAAGCTCTTTGCATCAACTTGATAGTACCTCTAGATTCATCTTCGATCTCCATCGGGGTCGACAAGGCATCTTTAATAAACCTAGAATGGTTTTGCCCAAATCCGTGCATAATATCAAAAGTGATTAACTGTGACACAATTTGTTTGTCCTTTCCAAATACATCTCCTTTAGCACTCTCATAAAATCTGGAAGCTGATTCATCTGCAAGAAGTGGCTCTAACCAAAGCTCTGTTGTTACTCTTTTTGAGGGGAGGTCTTTCCAGATAAAATACTGGACAGAGAGTACGGAATTGCTTTCTGTGCAAAAAAATTCCTTGTAAAAATGAGCGAAAGATTTGCTAAAGGAGATCAGACTCCATTTCTACAATGTACGGATTTTAGAACAAAGAATAGAGAAACAATTCGTAATGGAAACAAACCTGTTCTAAACGAGCAACTGCAAACTGTTCAAACGCTAAATTTAAAATAGGCATTAAGTATCGATTGTTGTGCGCATGATGTTCCTCCTTAGTGATATCCCGCACATCCCAATGCCAGGTGTATTGTAAAAGATAATTTCGAACAATAAATTCGCCCGTCAATATGAGTGCAGGATTGATATACCATAACGATTTAATATTATCGTTGTTCCCTTGCAAAATACCCAGTGATTTCCCGTTCTCTAAATCAGTTGCGTTCGGTAAGAAATGTACACCATCTCTCATCAGTAAACTTGACAATGGGCGCTTTGCCAGAGTCATGAACGATGAACATGAAGCTTGTTCTTCCTCGTCAAAAATATTATTTCCAGCCGGGTGCTTCACTTGTAAAGATGCCAGAGTTTGTTGCTGAGATCTTATACTAAGCAAGGTCTGAAGCTCTTCTGTCAGATGATATCGATGTCGAAGATCGATATTAAAGAACATGAGTTTAATACAGAGTAACTTTTCGGTTTCACGTACTATTCTCAGCTCACAAAATTGTGGTACCACTTGCTTTCTACCGGTGGTGGAAGGTTTTTTGCTATCCATCGGGTTCAATTTGGAAGAACTCACAGTTTCTCCAATATTGATAATTTTGATATAGACTTGCTGATCGTCACTCATGAAGGTGGACCATTGTTCTAATTTGGCATAGAGATGGTTCATAGCAATCTGAACTTCATCTATTTCTGTCCCTATTGTATGATCACCGTCCAGTCGATAGTTTTTTATAATGCATGGTGTCATACAAGATCCAATAATCAAATTAAACGATTGTTCATCATACCAACACATGTTGAAAACACGAAGTTCTGATTTTTCCAATCTTTCCCAGTAAGTGCTAAATTTCTGAATGTAATTGGATTGTGTCGGAAAGTCACCCGTATCTGTGAATTTATGTGTTTTGGATTCGGCCGAGGTGTTCATTTTATCAGAAAAGTTGAATTGGATTAATCCTTTCAACATGCTATCTGTTTCAAATAGCCGTTCTAGAAGTTTCTTCATTTTACCAACCTTTATAAAGCCAGGCGAGCCTGTCAGATCCACAGTTGATTTTGCACCTTGCAAGGCCATCATCTGATTTCTTCTTTGAAACTGATCCCAATTGCTCAACAAATGGGTGAAAGAAGCGGTTGATTTAATGATAATTTGCGCTCGCGAGGCCCTCATGCAGCTAAAAATGTTGTCATCATCCAATACATGAGGCTCTTCTGGTATTTTGATCAAGCGCTCCTGATTTAAAGAGAGTGTTTTGAGGTAATTTCGCAATGAGGAAGTCCATAAAGATTTGATACGGTACTCTACCGTGATGCTAGGTTTCCAATGCAAGACAAAGACAATGACTACACTTTCTTTTTTATGAAAACTATTGGCCGTAGAATCTTCATCGAGAGTTTGTCCCGCAAATTTTCCATTTGAACTTGTTTTCATACCACCCACTTTTGTTTCATCAATCAGTGCAACCGAATGCAGCAAAAACCCTTGACGTAGTCTTGCTCGCATAAAATGCCAGCACTCGGTAGGTAAAAAGTATTCCTTGTATTTACAGATACCAATATCTTCCACGATGGGCTGAGCGATGGGATCCCAAGGAAATCTACGATGCTCATGGTGTGGCCTTGCATTAACGTTTGCAATATCGACGATGACGGTGGCTGGAGCATTCTCTGTTTCGTTAGCCTGACCTCCGTTGGTAGGGCTACTTTCCTTGTTCATCTTTTTTTTCATGTTGACTTTATCCAGATTGATCTCCTTTAAGAGTAGTCGATGATGGTATATATTGGGTGCGTCCGAAAAGAGATTATCATCTGAGTTTGGCAAGATGGGAGGACAGTTTTCTGCAAACATGAATTCACCGTTTGTGGCTGTCGTCAGAAATTCCAGAATTTCGTTGTCAGGCACAAACCCAAAATTAAGGCCAGGGGAAAACCCTTTTTCTTGTCCAATCTGAACAACACTACATGAAACGTGCTCAGCCGTTAATTGACGGATGACTGATTCGTCTTGAATTGTTGATTTAACAACACCATCCGTAATCAAGATAAGTGAGGGTTGCCCCTCTTTTGAGCTCAAGTTTAAGGCAAACAATCCAGCACGTAATATATATGAAAGTGTACTACCGGTTTTTCCCACACCCCATACATCCTTTTTATCTTTTGCGGGTGAACGTTTCATTGGTGTCAGAGTCCCCATTGTTGTAGTGGAAGAGGAAGAATGTCTGTGGTGGCCGTAATGATGATGTGCTTTTTTAGTTGTAGTAGAAGCATCCATTTTTTTAGTTTGTTGATGCTTGGAAGTAATCGATTTATTTCTCGAGTGACGACGATCCTGTGGGACTGTCGAACTAGTAGCGGTATTAGTAGCAGTAATTGTTGTAGATTTTGAGTTACTACTACTTCCTTTTAAAGATACAATGGAATTATTCCGCGTATTTGTTTTTGTCGGCGAATCCAACGAAGAAGAAAAATTAGATTCGGCGCTCTCCTCTACGGTCTGAGCATGATCGTCTCGTACATCCAATTCGTAACCCATCTTTAATCTTTTGATGGTGAGTCTTTTTCTGAATTTTCCAAGGTCTTTTTTGAAGGTATTGATTTGATCGTTGAGGGTTCGTAATATAGTGGATACGTTATTAATAGAAACGTGTATATTTTGCATCAATACACGCATGGTGGGGTATTCGGCTAAGATGGGTATCACATTCATGTTGGATCCAAACTGAGAACACTCTGCAATCACAGTAATTCGAATTTCATGCTCTATCTATACTTGATTTTAGTTTAATTTCTTTGAATAGTGATAAAAATAGAATTCAACCTACAATAATCGGCGGTGAAGATTCTGATACATTAAATGAAAACGGACGCACCAATCCATGAATGATATTTTCGAGTCTACTCAGAAACTAATTTAATCAATAAATAAAAAATGGTGTTTTCCCCGAACTTTGAAAACATAGAGAGATAACTTACACGTCATACGCACCACCGATCATAACTTTTCCGGTTCCTGTTTCAATTGTGGCCAAACTTGAGCTTAAATCAATCATGAACACCATAGCGTGTTCTTTGGTTACGGTAAGTATTCTAGTACGAGGTGTTATGATATACATCTTGTCAGTGCTAGGATTTTGTACATGAGGTATATATTGACTTGCACTGACAGGAGGTGTAGGTGTTTCGGGAATTGTGTTTGGTGATTTCACAGGTTGAGAAAAATAGCCTTCCCCTTGAGTTCGGAGCATTACATCTTTTCTTTTTCGCTCCCAGGGAGGTTTGATTCCACCCGATAAATATAATAATTGATATTCCTATCACAGCAAAAGCATTTAGTTCTCTGCTTGTCAAGTCTAAAGAAAAAGCATTTACTTCGTAATCTCGAATGGTTAAAGGTCGAAACATATTTTCGAGAATCCACATCATGGGCTCATTTTGAGTAGCGTAAGCATGGGCGTTTCGAAGTAATATTGCTGTGCGTGCTTCAATAAGCTAGTTAAAGAATGAGACAAGTAATTTATCAGTAAAAATGAAAAGGTCCCCCTCTTTACTCGGTTCAGAAGTCAATACCTTAATGTCAGTAGGAGTTTCTTCGGAAAGAAGCTCATCACTGTCGGTTCTTTCTAATGTAGGCTCGGACGCTGCGTCTGGCGTGTTATTCTGTCCACTATTGAAAGATCTACTTAGTGACAAATGAGCGCATAACGTGAACTTTTTTTTTTACTCGTACCTTTCCATAATGATGAACTTCCCAGTAAACCAGCTCTTATTATTACCGGACACAACTCAGGGCTGCATTTTCTTTTTGGGCACTCTTCTCATGGCTGGTGTATTTTTACCCAACCAGATTTCAGTAAATCCTATAAAATTCAATCTCAAGCCAATCAACTCTCCGGTTTCAGACGGGACTTTGCCCTGATTTTGAGGTCGTACAGTTGATCCAATAAATTATGTCGTCCGAATCAGTCAACTCGTTTCTGTGGGGTTTCTTGTAATGGGTAAGGAGAAAATAAAGTGGTAGTTAAAAATCAGTTAGTTGCCCGGCAAAGATACCTTGAAAATGGTCAGCCATAACGTCAGCAGGGGTACGGGTAATACTTGGATCTGGTGAAAACGATATTTATTCAATGAAAGGCTTAGAATGGAGTTTGTTTATAGCAATTTATAATTTAACATTTGGAATGAAGACAAAAGCCATAGACATCACTAAAACGAACGTCATTACATGCGTCGTCAGTTATAGAAGATAATGTCTCTTCTTTCATCAAGCGATGGTGCTTCATTTTTCCTTTCACTAAGGCCCAGAACTGTTCAATAGGATTTAGTTCAGGCGAGTAAGGGGAGGGGGGAGATACATTACTCTATAACCTCTAGCTTAGATTTTTCGAATCATCGGTTTCGACTTATAGATACTAGCACTATCTGTCACGAAATAACTGCCCTTTAAAGATTCATCCTCATCCATATTAGTAAGGAGCTCATTGACAAACTTAATAAAATGAGCATTTGTTGTACCTTTGGGGTGATTGTCAACTTTATTTGGACAGTGCTTATGGTGTAAGCATTGTAATTATGTTATAAACACTTGTTTCTTATTATCTTTATTTTACATATGTACTTGAATTCTTTACATGCAACGAAATAAAGTAATATCCATATAATAATTCTTTTTTTAAAAGATGCTTTTTTTTTAAAAAAAAAAAAATATTGGCTTGTTTAAGTGAAAAGCGGTAACGTGAAATGAAGATAAAGAGTAAGATAAAAGTTCTTAAAAAGTGAGCACCAGACTATAAGTTGTCAACTAAGATAAAATAAAATATAAAGATATAAAAGAGAAATGCTACGACGAATCAGTTATCTGTGTCTTAAAAGGAGTATAGTAAAATACAACTGGTAAGACTATTCAGTGCTGATCTATAAGAAGGCACCGCAAAATTACGGTGAAGGCTAACAACGATTTTGGCCGTATCCGTGACGGATCTGGTCAATTTTTGGCTATTCTGTATCCTGGACGGGAATTTTTGAAAAATGACCGTATCCGTGACGGATCTGGTCAATTTTCGCTCATTCTGTATCCTGGACGGAGCAAGTTTATAAATTGACCGTATCCGTGACGGATCTGGTCAATTTTTGATGATTCCGTCTCCGTCACGGCCACGGCCAATTTTTGACCATACCGTCACCGTCACGGATACGGTCAATCTTTTGACCATTCTGTGTGTTTGACGTTACATAAGTTTCCCACTCTTATTTAAAAGATTTTTTTTAGAAACTACTCAAAAACAACATAAATTTTGCTAGCTTGAGTGCCCTCTAAGATAACTTTTTTTTTTCGTTAAGGCGGAAAGAGTCCAAGAGTCCAAGAGTCCAAGAGTCCAAGAGTCCAAGAGTCCAAGAATTGGGCTTTCTGATTGGCTCATTTTTTTTTGTGGACTCTTGGACTCTTTTTTTTCGTTAAGGCGGAAAGAGTCCAAGAGTCCAAGAGTCCAAGAATTGGGCTTTCTGATTGGCTCATTTTTTTTTGTGGACTCTTGGACTCTTTTTTTTCGTTAAGGCGGAAAGAGTCCAAGAGTCCAAGAGTCCAAGAGTCCAAGAATTGGGCTTTCTGATTGGCTATAGACTCTCTCATTTTTTTTTTGTGGACTCTTGGACTTTTTTTTTTCATTCATGCGAAGTCCAAAAGTCCTATTTAATTTTTTATTGTTTTAGTTCGCCATGGCTGTTTCTAATTGTCCCCAATGCAGTAAAACGTTCACCAGTGAACATAAACTGGATGCTCACAGAAAAGAAAAACATGTCGATCGTGCGTTTGCAACTTGTTATGACAACACCGAGCTTTGCCTCATCCGTTACAATGGCCACTTCCGATGCCTTTGTGACCACAGTCGCTCATTTGAGACTTTAAGCGGGTTGTCTAAACACGTACGAAACAAAAATTGCAAAGTTATAAAGGCCATTTCGTTTAGTAAGCTCACTTACGTGTCCCGATAGCAACAACAGCCCAATGATCACTTACAGCCTTTATTTTTAATAGGTCATTTACTATTGCACGACACTGACAGTAACGAAGAGGGAATATTCAGTGAAGAAGAGTTCGAAGCAAATCACAACGTCATCATACCAAAATTACATATTCCTGTGCCGGACTTTTCTGCTGAGGATTTGACTATGATGAATAAACGTGACTACAACAACGCGTTCCTGAATGCTTGTCAAGCAGCAGATTGGGACAATCGCGAAAAGAAACGTCTGCTAACCATCATGGACACGTATGATTTACAGCCTATTGCATTGATCAACGATGGTGATGTCGAATACAATGCACTTACACACGAGAAAAATCTACATGCTTTCAAAAATGACAGAATGAAAGTGTACCCCTTAGTTCCGAAACAAAGCGCATTTGAAGGGGCAAAAACGATCCAGACAGCACCTATATCCCTTCACAGTGCCATCAGTACTGGACCACTTTATTTGCGACAACACATCATGAATTGCACCTATATTGAACTTACAAATGATATGGCTATGTTTTTAAACCAAGATTGGTCAATCCACAAAAGTATGAGGTATGCTTGTAGCCGAGCTTTGGCAGGATCGATCTTATTAAATGAATCTACTGGGAAAGCGCTGCTTGTGAATTGTGTCGAGGTGTTTGGTCGAAGAAGAACTTTGGATGCTCATCGAGAATCATTTCGAACAAAAAATGGGGGATCAATGTGTACCTCAATTCCTCCCGAAGGCGCAAAATACAAAAACGTATACCCCACAACAATAATGGATGCGGGTGGCACGAAACTTGTAATTGGAACAAAAACGTTTAATGCATTAATCACTTCAAGTCTGCGTTTAGATGGCCCTTTCGACCCAGAAGTCGGACCAAGCGTCATGTCCTTTGACCTGAAAGACAGTTCCAAAGCAAAAACTACCACCATCTTCGTCAAGGAATCGGCTTGGAAAGAAGCAGCTGAAATTGCTCAAGACAACAACGCAGCATCCATTGCTTCCTATGATTTAATCTACCAATTACGCCAACTGCGAACTCGCTTTCACCAGCAATCAACCTACTTTCTTTGTCGAGCAAGCAACGAGACAGTAGATAATTTGGTGACTAGACCATATACTATCTATACTCTCGCAGAATGGGATAATGGCAATGACAATGCGGATTACCGTACTGCATCCAAGCTCTTCCAAACAGTCGCAATCAATGTAATAGGTGGAAACCCTCGTTTAGAAAAATGCACTATATCCTCGTTATGCAGCGAATTGAAGGCAGAGGGAACTGCTGTACACCATATTTTTCAATCGATTTCTACTCAATTCTCCGATGATACTACCTTCATTACCATCATCGGCAACAATTCTTTAAACCACGAACTCCAAAAGCTGGCCAATCTTTTAGCACCTGCGATTACTAAGGCAAATCAATCAGTCAAGCAAGCCGTCCTTCAGGCTTACGCTCGTTAAAACTGCCATCAGATCGCATACTTATATGAACCTCATCACTAATGACACCAAGGTGACTATTGACAGTTTCAGGCACAAAAAAAAGTATACCATTCCTTGTCTCTTCGATTCCCTTAGCTTGATCATTGAAATAACAGAATAAAAAAAACCGTGAGCTTTGTTAAAACTCCAAATTAGAACATTGTTCCAAGAGTATACTGCCTTCGTCAACAATGTCATACATGGTTTTCGGCCTGCCATACTCATCGACAACACTGCCATTTCCATCTTTATATATAAACTAAATACTGATGAAATTGTATTTTTTTTTCCTTGCATAGTTGCAATAAAGAAGAAAAACTAGCACCAGGAAACACTATATTCGCTGTGGTATCCACGTTACTCTGTGATCGGTGTGTACCAAACGTTTTTACATGGAAGACATTTATAAAAGGATATACGACAATGTCACAGGATTCTCGTCTCCCTGGTGTTGGAACGACTGTAAATTTATTAAGTGACCAACTGAGGCTAAAAACGGTGACCAACTGAAGTTCTGAAAAGTGATCAAATGATCTTCAAAAAAGTGGCCAATTGAAATTTAAAAATGTTTCCAAAAAGTGACCAATTGATGGCACTGTATAGTCTGCATTTGTCCTCTTTGGGGCAACTTTCACTGGCTTTGAAGTAGTTGACTTTTTGTTTTCAGTTGGTTGTTTTTCCAATGGCTTATTCTTCATATAAGAAGAATGATTAACCAAAGTTTCAAGAACAATATTGGGATCGTCGATAGTTGACATGACATCTTCCATAGGATCATACGTTAATTGACCGTGCTCATTATAAATACTGTTTTGTTCATCTTCATAAAAAAAAAGAGGTCTTCATCTCGTAAGGCTACAATAGACATTATAAGAAAAAGATAAATCAAAAGCTTCCTTAGAAAAACCCAAGAGGCGACATTTTATTCCTACAGCAGCGAAAACTATTTCTGATTGGATGACATTTTGTTCCTGTGAGGGCGGAATTTAATTCTGATTGGGGGACATTTTGTTCAGACAGGACGACATAATTTATTTAATCAACTGTACAACACACATCAACCTGTTTGGACAGGCACACACAGATGTGCCAAAGAAAAAAACTCTATGAGCAAGTTGTTAAAGCTCTGTTTTTATAATTCACTTGTTTCTCTTTCTGGTACGCAGGTTAACACTTGACATGAATTATGCTTGTTATTTACGGTCCAGCCATGGGAAAACAAACTTTTTTTTCATCATTCACATTGCATATAGGACTGATATTCCATAATACAAGTAAAGCTGTGGCCTATACTGTTATTTGCCCTTGCATGGAAGTACAATTAAAAAAAGTGTGTGTGCTCAAGGTTGCACCAATGAAAAGAGAGAAGACGCGTATATTTTCGTCATTTTTGAAGTCCGTCGATCAATTTATAATGAGTGCTGTTTATGGAACAATTTTTTTTTTCTTCATATAATTCAAATATTTCATAAAATTCAATCAAATGTGTGAACGTACTACCTGTGATACCTGTAAGAAGCCTACTTGGGCTGGTAAGTTATTCGATAATGATGAACGGGACACTGTAAAAAAATACTAATACAAAGACAAACAGGCTGTGGTCAACATATCGAACAAGCATTAGAAGATGTCCCTAAAGAAGAAAGATGCGTTTGTCCTGGTATTTTTGCCCGTTTGAAGAGTTGGATTGGACTCTAAACTACTACCAAACATACCTTCGCTTAATAATCACAATAATAAAGACATCTAATTTATATAATATGTATAACTTTTTCCATTTTTTTTATTACTACAATGTGTTTGTTGATATGTGTGAGTGTCTTTTTAAGCAGAACCAATGTTGAGGAGCATGTTGGATCCGGAACCGTTCTTGTTACTGGGCAAGTAGGTGACGTTCTTGGTTTGAGATAATGTTGTTGCGATTTGCTTAGAGGCTTCAATCTTTCTGAATGCGATGAAACCATCACCGGCCTTGGCAAGAGCTGTGGAGATCATTTCAGCAGCTTGAGAGTCACCCTCAGCACGAATGATGTTGGCCAACTTTTCTTGTTCTGCACGTTCGACGACGAATTTAGCAGTTTCAGCTTCTTGTTGAGCAATTTGCTTTTGTTCGACAGCGTTGGTGAATTCTCTACCAAAAGTCATGTGGGTCTATAAAGAGAAGGTTTTTTTAAAATTTCCGTTATTTGTTAATAGTAAAAAAAAAAAAAAAAACTTACAATAGAAACATCCTCCAAGGCAATGTTGAACTCTCTGGCACGCTTATATAATTCCTCACGGACCTTTGCAGATACAACTTCACGTTGAGTAATTAACTCAGAAGCATCAAATTGAGCAACGATGGACTTGAGGACTTCGTTACCAATAGAAGGCAAGACTCTTTCATCATAATCTTCACCCAAGTTTTGATAGATGACGGACAAGTTCTTGAGTTCGGGACGATGCAAGACACGCAAGGTCAAGGAAACCATTTGCATATCTTTGGAACCAGTGGTGGTGGAAATGTTACGAGGCTTGGTACGCACGTCAAAAATGACGGCACGTTGAAGCCAGGGGACTAAGAAATGGGTACCTTCACCCATGGAAGAGGCTTTCACACCCTGAATACGATCGAAAATAACTGCACGATGACCACCCTGGACTATATGAAAAAACCCCCCGATAAAAACGTCAAAACTTGATTTCAACTCAATTCATCTCTTCACTTACCATCATACATGGCTGTTTGAATACCACCGATAGCAAGACCGGCAGGAATAGCAAGTTTAGCAATCTTCTCAAGAATAGCAGCCATTATGAACAAAAAATAAAATATAAAGCAAAAAACAAAAAAAAACAATAGTGTGTGGGGGGTGTAATCTTTTTTTTTTTCAGCGGGTCCGGTTCATAATAAACACTCCGGCACTAGCCATTTTTTTCAAGGTGCACTACATTTTTGCTTGTTTTTCCAACAGTCCATTCATGAACTGGTCAACCTTGACATGGAACACAATTATAAAATTAAAGAGCTTTGTATCAGTCTCTACAAAAAGTAACTTCTTCAACCACTGTTACTGAAAGTGGCATGACTTCAGACGTTGGCAAACTGGACGATCTGGATTTTGAACAGGGCGAATACTAAGGATAAGGATGCGTTTTTGAAGGGCTATAACTGGATTCAGAGGTACAAAGACGAGAAAACATGAGCTAATTTTCGCAATCTCTGCTGTAAAACAATCATGTGGATCAAATGTTATTATAGCTTATTTCAGTCATAATTATTGAAAAAGGTATGGAGAAGATCCTGATAGAGGCACCCTCCCCCACGCACACGCACACATATATAAAAGTATATCTATATTTCGAGCAAAATGTGCAAAAAAAAAAAAAAAAAAAAAAAAAAAAAAATGGATTTGATGTGATTACCGAACACAGGGATTTATAAATGCTGGTTATGCAGAATGGCCATGGGCTTTGGGAACAGACTGAGGATTGGATTCAACATAATCATTAGTTAAAAGAAGTTTGTGAGCTTCATAGGTAGCAAGCTATGCTTTTATGAAAGTAAGAAAGCTCTTTATCCTTTATGATCAAATCCAATCACACGGGGTTTAGAAAGATTACAGACGGCCATCATTATGAAGTGTCAAAACCGTGAATACGCTCACCTTTTTGATAAGATAAACTGAGTTGATATAATGGTCTTCAATTCATCGAGAAAGCAGTAACTTGTGCTTTTTTTTTTAAAAATCAGCATTAAAAGGCGTGCCTTTAAGAAAACTTTAAAGTAGCGATACCCTTATCTCTCTCTCTCTCTCTGTTTTATTTTCTGTTGATTCCACAAAAAAAAAGGTATTTAAAACATTAGTCAATGTTGAAAGACATGGAAGGGGTAGAGGCTAAATTAAAAAGACCATTTGTAGAGATGCAATGAACAAACTCTCATCCTTGTTCACTTTTAAGAAACTCTTGATTGCAGCTTTTTTACTTCGATTGATCTTGTTAATTTATGGCGAATTTCAAGACGCTTATTTCACAGTGAAATACACGGATATTGATTATGTTGTATTTACAGACGCCGCACGCTACATCACACAAGGAAAATCACCTTATTTGCGCGAGACATACAGATACACACCGATTTTAGCCATGATCTTGACTCCCAACGTGTATCTATTCAAATCCTTTGGTAAATGTCTATTTGCCGCTGCCGACTTACTGGTGGGGTATTTGATCCATCGTATCTTAGTACTAAGAGGCATGCCTTCCAAAAGTGCCCTGAAATATGACGCCCTCTACTTACTGAACCCCATGGTGGCGAATATCTCGACTCGTGGAAATGCTGAATCTCTATTAGGTGTCATGGTCTTAGGCACATTGTACCTTATACTCACTCGACGTCACTTTCTTTGGGGATGTGCCTTGTTTGGATTATCTGTGCATTTCAAAATCTATCCAGTCATCTATGCCGTTCCTTTATTGGTTTTGTTGGACGAGAATTACGGCGATCCTTTCGAATCATATCCGCTTATTTTACGTAAATATCAATATGTGAGATTCAGATTACTGCACTTGTTGGATAGCCGGGAAGATGAAGACAGCTTCAAGAAGACTGTGCGAGCAATCATCCAATTTTTCTCCCCATTACGTATTGTATTTGGTGTAGCGAGTGCAACTGTTTTCTTCGTTCTCACAGGCCTCATGTATCAACAGTAAGTCCAGCCCAAACAAAAAGAGAGCAAGCATATACATATGTAACACCATTTTGCTTTTTATTTTCTTGTATAGATACGGAAACGAATTCATGCATAATACCTACCTGTATCATGTCACTAGAGAGGATCATCGCCACAATTTTTCGATTTGGTTTTATCAAATGTACTTGGGTATGGAGAATACCAGCCCATGGATGGGTTTGTTAGCATTTGTACCTCAACTAGCACTGGTGGTGTTGATTGGTGTTGCATTTGGAAAAGACATCTTTTTTGCGTGTTTTGTGCAAACATTTCTATTTGTTACATTTAACAAGGTCATCACATCCCAAGTAAGCGATTCATTATTATATATATATATCATTTCTGCATGTCTCTCTTGACTTATTAACTTATTCCTATGTAGTACTTTATGTGGTATATTTGTTTATTCCCATTAGTTTTGCCTTCGTCGAAAATCAACTTTCAGTGGAAGGGACTTGTGCTATTGATCGCGTGGGCTGCTGGACAAGGGCTATGGTTGAATTTTGCCTATCAATTAGAATTCCTGGGACAAAATACATTTTTACAGCTTTGGATGGCCGGCGTGATATTTTTTGTGATTAATTGCTGGATCGTAGTGGAATTCATATTGAATCATCAATACGAGCACATGTATGGACAAAGTGCAAGGATTCGATGGGTTTGGGGTACTGGTGATCCAGGCTCAAAAAGACGTTAAGTTTTTTTTTTTTTTTTTTATATCATTATTATTTTTATTTTATTTTTTACAATTTAGCTGCTTTGATATATTCTAAATTGTTTCCTCGATGAAGGATTTCCATTACCAATTTCTATATAATATTAAAATTTTTTAGTGACATATCCTTTTACACATAAATAGATATCTTACATTGAGTTTAGCGTTTTCGGGATCAGCATTAACAGGATTCTTTTGAACAGCATCCCATAAATGCTCATAGGCACGACCGTCTTTTTTACCCAGGGCAGTGTTCAATTCATGATCTGAAAAGCCAAAACTATCGGTCAAAGGAATCGCATCATTGGAAACACGAGTAATCAATTGACGGTATTGCTCATTCAACTTGCCAAGATCAGAAGGATGGATAGTGCTCGTAGACAAAAACGTAGCCAATGATGAGTAACCCAAAGTTGAAAGACAAAACTTTTAAAAAAAAAAGTTAATCACTGCTCATGCTATTATTCTATATCAGCTTACCAAATCAGTCAATAATTTCATGGTATCTGCTAAACCAGCATGTTCAGGTACAGCTGCCATCGCATCGACTTTGGTAATCATTTGCTTCAAAATTAAATATTCTGCATGTGCAAAATTTAAAGTCCAGCACTCCATGTTCAAATCAGACCATTCTCTACCGGCCTGCAATTGCTGACCCAAATCCGCCACTAAACGCGCTGCACGCATCCCAAAAATCTCCAACTGTACTTGAGGGTTCAAAATTTGCTCATTATGATTTTCAAAGGCAAAAGGTTCGGTGATACCTTGACCCAAGGTTTTTAAATAGTCTGCCGTGGAAGATGTGATTTCCTTGCCTTTGACCACATTATTCAATTGTTTTAAGAGAAATCGTGCTACTTGTTGTGCAAGAACAAAATTATCTCCTTCATACGTGTTGGCAGGTACGATATTAGCAAAAAGCTCAGATACACCACTAAAGATAGAGAAACCATGTCCACCCATGGATTTACGGCATTCTTCAATGCCTTCGGAAGATCGACGTGTGCTCCAGATTTTGAGAGAGCAAGAAGTAGCATGCACCTCAGGTAATAAGGTAGCATTATTCAATTCCAATTGATCCATTAATTGGCCAAACTGTTGATGCATGCTTTCGCCTGATACAGCTAATGCATAAGCTGTAGCTAAAAGAGGCATCAAACGATGCTGTACCGAGGAATATGAAATGACTTGTGACTCTGGACGGTTATCGTTTAATTTAAAACTAGGTGGGTTATGAAATTGACGACGCACTGTACAATACCGGATAGCAATGGTAGAGGCCTTGGCCAATTTCCAAGCAGCATCGGTAACAATATCCACACGAAGTTTAACCATACTTCCATAAGACAACTTCATATGTACAGGTGGGGTATAGCTTCCATCTCGTGCTACTTGTGCAAATTTCATCAACATATTGTCGCGTGGAATACGTACATGATCAAAAAGAGCAAATCCATTATCGGTAGTAGAGAAACCACCATAGGCCTTGGGTCCAATATCACCTACCGTAATACCCTTACAAGGTTTCAGGTCAAAGGGAGAACGTACTGGCACAATAAAGAGATGAGGTCCGAGAGATTTACCGGCAATGATCAATTGGGCTTGTACCACCGCATGGGTACAAGCTACACCTAAACCACCAATCCACCATTTGGCTGCTGTAATATCGGGTGAGTGAATAACAAATTCATCTGTGGCTTGATCAAACACTGCTACTGTATTTAATCCCATGACGTTGGATCCATGGCTAAAAAAAAAGGACCAATGTAGGTTAGCATGTGTCGTTTAGATGCAACAACTCCTTCTTTTTACCTTAATTCGGTTTGGGCATAGCAACCAATGATGGCATGTCTTTTGGCAGCTGTGTGCCATTTATCAGCCTGTTCGGTTGTTCCTTGTGCCTTGATGACAGGCATAAAAGCTAATACGTAGTAAGTATTCGTCTAACATTTATCATTGTGCCTATAAATTTACCAGTGTAATGAAGAGCAAGCTAAAATATAAAGTAAATAAAAGAGGACAGGAAAATGTGATTTCGACTTACGGGTGTCAATAATTCAATATGTCTAAACAAGGCAATAAATTGCTCATCGTCCATATCATTTTCTTCGACCATTTCAATCAAGCGTTTAGAGATCAAAAGCGAGGTACATAATTGCTATATAAACATTTTTTTTTTTAGAGATAACTAAAGAGGAGGATATATTGCAATATTACTTCTTGTCTGCTTTGGAAAGACAGCCTGGATTTATCAAACAATGGTTCACGTTCAGCCAGCTCTCGGATTTTGTTTGATTTTTCGTAGGCTTCTTTGCCGCCACGAAGTAAGTAGACCATAGATTGCACAGGGAAGCTGGCTTTAGCACGAGCCTCTTCCATGTCAGTGCTCATCTGAGCCAAGTAAACATTGTCACTCATTAGTTAAAAGTAATAAAGTAAAGTGTACCTAAATAACAAAACAAAAAAAAACGGGTATTTAAGCTTTTATTTTTGAATTCGTCACATGATCTCTTTCTTTCCCCCACACATTATGGACAGTGTTAATGCATGATAAAAAAAAAAGTTGGATTTTCAAAATATGTCATCCGAAATTTTCCTAAAAAGGGGATTGACATGTTTATTCACACGAAAAAAAAAAGTATATCTATGAAGCTGTAACGATTTTATGGTTAGCAGTCCATTGATAGTAATACAGGAGTGCAATGGTAGGTTGACCAACAACACAAAAGACGATCCAAAAGATGGTATTTCCAAGCGCGGTGCCTTTACCTCTCCATTTCTCCAAGGGGTGAGTAATAGCAATTAATGGGATTTGACCCAACATGCCAAAGAAGGCAAAACCAGTGATAGAATGAGTGGGGATACCTACCAAGACCTCATGCAAGATGGCCGAGATCAAGAAGACGAGCAATTGACAGGCAGCAGGTGGTACACCACGTTGAACAGCGGGGATATACACATGTCTCTTAAAGAAGAGATAGACAGGTCTGTTCCAGAGTCTCCAATATGTGGCCAAATTACCTGAATTCCACCAAGCCAAATAAAACGTACGATCACCAAATCGAAGTACCTCACTGAGAGCATTCAAAAAAGCATGAAATAAAGCATAAAACATGAGTAACCAAATGACAACAGCTGTAGTAGATAATTTTAAGACACGTTCGATAATGGTCACGTAATTCTTTTCTTCTAATGCCTTGATAGAGTTGGCCAAGGTGGGTTTGGCGTATTGTTCAGTAAGAACGTACATCATGACGAGACAGGTAATTAATTCCCCTACACGTTTCATAAAGAAAGTCTTTCGAAACACAGGTGAGCGAGGATAGGAAGGTTGGTAGCACAGGGTGGGTGCAAAAAAGAAGTATAATAAGTTTTTGGCGTTCACATTGTTAGGATAAGCAACATCTGCAGTGTAAAACTCTTCCACTTTTCCATCCACAAATCCTTGTCTCAATTCATTATTCACCAAAGCAAATGATGTCAATTTCAAAAATGATACTAAACAAATCACGATCAGCCCCGATCCCACTAAAATAAAAGGTTAGCTCTTTACAACTTATTTAATACTGCCCTAGATAATTACTTACCGACTGGGTGGTAGATTTGTGTATAGGCAATGTACGAGGGGAATGTCAATAAAAAGACCAGATGTGAAACATGTGTAAGCGCAACCACTCTTTCCAAAATCGTCAATTTGTTCAAAAAGTCGGCCTTTGCATCTTTAGCATGAATGGCCAATTTACCCATACCATACTCAACCACTAGCGAAATACCCAAACTAAGAGGAATACAGAGCCACGCTAAAAAGAAGAGTCCATAATCTCTCAAGGGTATATAACTATGGGGAATTCCAATCAACAAGCCGTATTTCATCCAATTTTCAATCACCAATCTGATATTACTAGCACCCAAAACAAGCACTATAATAAGGGTTAACTTTGTTATCTTTCCATATTATTATCACACATACTGCCTAGTCGGAGGAAACCACTGTAGTTCTCAGGTGGTGCTTCTTTAGACAGGACAGAAGCTTTGGTAAGTGTATGAATTGGCAACGTATGTGAAAACCCTTGATACACCTTCTTTTTCTTCTCCTCCTTTTCTTCTGTTATTGTCGACACTCTTTTTGTAATGTGCAAATCTCTTCTTTGTCTGGAATCAGACTGATCATCTTCACTGTCGGTGACTACCTTTAAAGGCTTTCTTCTTATACTCGCCATGTTGTCAATAACAATGTATAATAACAAGAAAGAAGAAAAAAAAAGCAAGTAGAGTACTCGTTCTTTTTTTCTTTAAAAAGTCAATCGTTTGAAACACCGTTTCATCACATGTTAAAATAAACAACAATCAACATGAAACAGCTTTTTTTTTTTACTGTTGTGGCTTTGTTATTATTATTATTTGTCGGTCAATGTGCCTTATATCTACACACACGCGATGTTACTGTTCCAAGTACCCTGTTTATCGCGTGATACTATAACACAGCTAACATCATTGAGCTCAATTAATTTTTTTAGTGAGCTAAAGTAAAATATTAAATGAGAGGGACCATCGTCGTTTAATTGAGGATACTCGTGTTTATCACATATACACAAATAGTCTATATAACTTGGCGGTTTCCAAGAGATTCTTGCTGCAAAATTTCCTTGTCATCCCCCAATATGACATCAGATGCATGTTGTATACCCAAAGGAAACGTTGTTGAATGCACGTGCAAATAATAAAGAGCCCGCAGTAAAAAAAATCCCTCCAATCATACTTCTTTTTGTTTTATATGCTACTATATTCAATTCCATTGCAAAGTAAAGAAGATGACTCCATCATGTTTATTCTTACGTCTTCCAATATCGTCATCAAACTTTTTAGATGAGTCTCATTGAGACAAACTGAAAACGATCTTGGCCTCAGCATCAAAGTATCTGAACACTGACATAACCTTGTTAACCCTAGAAAGTTCGTTCAAGAATCTATCCATGTTGATGCCTGATCCGAAGCTCCCCAAAAAGTTAGTCAATGCAATTCAAAAGAAATCATGAAGCTCGGTTTCATTATGTTTTCCCGATGAGAAAGCGGCAACTCTTTTCTCTTTTTTTTCAAACTGACAGCTTTCAATAAGAAAGCATATGTATCGGATGATGTTTGAAACTTCATCGCCAACTAACAGAGTTTATTGACATATCAATAATGTCAACAGCCCTTGTTTTGTCTTTATTTGAAACTGTAATGTTTCTTAACTTAACTTCAACGACAACTTTTATTTTGCTGTGAAATAATCGAGGCACTCGTTTTTGAAGTTTCTGCTTTTTTTTTACATGCATAATTGAAGCATAGCTTCTTACAGCATGAGGCGCCATTTTTGGTACCGATATCTTTTTAAGGTCTGTAATAGCTTTCCATTGACGCATCCTTGCACGTCTATCGACTAAATGGATTTGTCATCCAAGTTTTCGACAAGTTCTCCCGGTAATGTTCATGCTGCAGCCGGTACAAAGCCATCATCACCTAAAGAAAAAATTTAAAAGGGTTCGAAACCAAAAGAGCCTCCCGCCAGCATTCTTGAAAATGTAGGTGGATATTTACTACAGGAAAAAAAAAAATTGGCTTGAAGACCGTTAGAAAAATCTGCTCTTTTATAAGATAGGTCGTCAAAGATTCCTAGAGATTTGGGAGTGGGGCCACGATAGGACTATAAAGTTTACTTATGTAATGTTTATTTTTTAGTCTAATAATCAGCATGTGAAAAAAAAGGAATTAGGTAACTTACTTGTTTACCAAACAAAGCTGCATAAACGTCCTTGCTAAAAATTAGACGCCATCTTGTGCGGGAAGGAAAAAAAAGTGTAGATAAATGGTTTCATTATCTGTGGTAACAGAAATGCTGTGAATAAGTCCACATAGGCGTGAATGTCTGGAGGTGTCCTTAAATATCAAGAAACCCAAAGTTGGGTACAGTCTGTGCTGCTGTGTAAACCCCTCATACATTTTCATCTGTGTGTGTGTGTGTGTGGTATTAGATGATAAAGGAACCTACTATCTAAAATAAATTATTTTATAACATATTGTAGCGATCTGTCAACAAAAGAACGGAAGCTGTGGCAAATGACTCCAAATACTTGAAGGCACCAGACAGGATTTCTTTAACCACTAGCTACAGAATTATGAGAATACTTCACGACACTAGAAATTTTATGGGAATAAAGAGAAAGAATAAAGGAGGGAAACGTGATCCATTAAGTATTTATATCATGTCTTTGTAAACAAAAGCTCACGTCATACCATCATGTTGGTTTCATGTCAAATAAGCAGACTGTGTTTTAAAAATAAATTAAAACTCCCATTTTGGCTTCCTTTCTTATGCTTCCTTTTGGACAGCCTTAAAATTGAGTGATAGTTTCTTTCTGATGCTAAATCATTTGGGGCGTATTTGGTCCCAATGTGAAATTAGTACTTATTCATCCTTTCCATCCTGGTTTAAACCTGCGTTTGAAGGAGTTCTTTTTTTTTCTTTTGCGGGGATATCCTTCGGGTGTCAATTTATTTATATGGTTCTAAGGGTTTTTAGACGCTTTTCGTTTGTGGGATCCCTCAAGTGGTTTGTAAGTGTTTTCTGGTGTTTCTAGTACTTCTGTGCTTTCAAACCTGGGATATTTTGATTGCCTGCTAGTTTTAATAATGGCACTGCTTCCATGATAAAAGCGTTTCCATGATAAAAGCGTTTCCATGATAAAAGCGTTTCCATGGTAAATGATAAAAGCATTTTTATGGTAAAAGCCTTCCCATGGTAAAAGAGTTTCCATGGTGAAAAAGTTTCCATGGTAAAAGTGCTTCCATGTTATAAGTGTTTTCCGACTAAATGTATGTAGATATTAACATAAGCTGGGTCGGCTATGATCAGCAACTATTGTCAAAAAGTTTAAAAAGCAAGTTGAATTGAGAATAAAATGCGGCAGTTTAAAAAAAATTATTTTAAAATGAGAGAGTAAAAGGCTCTCCCGCTTTTTAGGTAGGAGGAGAAAATGCACTTCTTTTCCGCTCGCAAGGATTTTTTTTTTTTGTTAAAGAAAAAAGATGAATGAAGTGGAGAATGCAGAAAAGTCGAGCTCGAAAAATAAAACGGTGGGTAGAATATCAAGATTATTTCAAAAGAAACCAAAGAAAAAGAACATGACTTCTTCACTTTCTTCCATGTCTTTATCAGACACCACATTGTCTTCGAAACCCACCACCTTCCAAAGTTCGTCCAGTATTGCCAGCAGTTCTCAAAGTATTAACAACGAACCGATCGAGACTCGTAATCTTCCTCAATTACCCACTCATCATTCCGATTCTGGTAATATGGAGATGAACCAAAGCAAAAAAAAAAAAAAAGAAAAGAACCCCTTTAATTTCTAAATACCCCTTTTTTATAAAAAATAATAATATTAGGCTCCATCCATTCGAAACTAACAAGGACCATGTCCATGTCAAGTACAACGAGTATTCAACAGCTAATCAGTCAACAACTCTCGGTGTTAAAGGACCTTGATTCACAAAAGCAAATGTACAAGCATGATAATAATAAACTCAGTGATCAACTGACGCGGACTCGAGAGAAAGTGCAACAAAGGACCAAAGACTTGGAAGCGATTCAAAAGAATTATCAACACCATTTACGGTCAATTCGTTCCTCTGATGATGATGCACAAACTATTGCTCAAAAGCTGGTCAAGATGAAGACAACGATTCGTGAATTGGCCAGTGAATTAGTGCCGTTTGCAGAAGAAGGCTTGACAGGGGAAAAGTTGAGCACGCTTTGGTTAAATTTGGGAGAGAGTATCGATCGCTTAGGCAAACCATTAGCACCAGAGAGAATCCAGATGCTGACCGAGAAATTCATGATGGATGTTCTTGTACGTAATTTAAATATCAATTTATTTCCTGGCTTAGCTTGTGATCCACAGTTTCTAGAATTGTCTAATTGGTTTGACCAATTTGATGATTCACACTTCTTTTCTACTCGACTAAGACAAGAAATTAGCATGATTGTCGTCAACAATATCCATACCACAGGTTCAGATATCGAACAATCATGGAAGAAAGCCGTAGACAGTAATTGGCATTATCTTTACAGAGGCCTTCAGAAGGCTTATCCGTCCTACCTTTCATCCAAAAACAATACTGAGAACTCCGCTTGTATCCAATACAGTAACAAGTTACGGACGTTGGTGGAAGATACCATCGCTTTGGGTTCTGCCATCAAGGGTCAAGAGGTCTCTATCACCGCTTCAGATGTTAGAGAAGGCATACAACTGTTTGACCCCAAATTAATGGAGGACCAAGACGGCCAATTAGAAGGCACCATTGCCTTTTGTATATCGCCTCCCTTTGTCATCAAAATAGCCAATCGTTATGAACCCCTCGTCAAAGGCCGTGTCCTTTGCTTTCCTCCTAAAATACCTCTTTAAACTTTTCTCTCTCTCTTTTTTTTTTTTTTTTTTTTTTTTTTTTTTTGCTAATAATTATTTAATTACTGTTACTGTCCTATGTGACGCCCTTTTTACCTTATTTATAAAAAAAAACCTTTTAAAAAAAAACTCCTTCTTATAATGTCAAAACAAGTAAAGAAAGAACCCACTATCCTTCTCGGTATTCCCGATGGAGAAATCAAGGACGACACCGATGCCTATATCACCAAGCTTGGTGGCTTACCTGTAAGCTTTACACACACACACACAAAGAAAAATGACCCTCGACTACTCACTTACATATTCAATATAGGTCTGGCTCGATCCTCAAACACCTCCTTCCACCAAAGTATGCACATGTCGTATCTGTGGTGAGGCCATGTACTTGATCTTTCAAAGCTATGTGCCTTTACCTGACTCGCCATATCATCGTGTACTCTACGTCTGGGGTTGTAATAAACGTTCTTGTATGCGCAAAGACGGCAGGTAAAACAACAACCTCTCTTGTCATTGTATATAACAAAAAGGAAACTCATTCTTCATGCATAGTTTCTCGGTCATTCGATCGCATGTGGTAGACCCAGCTTATTTAAAAGCACAACGTCAAAAGGAAGAGGAAAAACGTCGAAAGGAAGAAAAGAAAAAGGCAGCGACAGAGGCTGCGTTGGCCAACCACCAGAAATTTCAGTTGGGTGATGTGTGGGGGAATGCCACTGGATTCGGTAGTGGTAATGCGGGTACAGGATTTGGTATGAAGAAGGCACCAGCCACCCCCTTTGGCACAACACCCTTTGGCACAGTACCCTCTGCTACAACACCCTCTGCTACAACACCCTTTGGTGCAACACCTTTTGGCACCACACCTTTTGGTACAGCAACAAAGACAGCAGCGTCCGTTGTGGCGGGAGGAAAGGGACATCAGCAGAAAAAGAAGACGACAGTGGATGAAAAGGCATTGATGGAAAAGATGAGTGGATTAACAGTGGACCCCATTGAAGACACATTGTCACTACCCCATTTCCCGGGTCAATACCTTTATATTGATGAAGAGCGTACCGATAATTACGATGCTATGGGTATTGATATGAGTCGATACAAGGAATATTTAGACATGGAAAAAGATTTGATGATGGATGTGGAAGAGACATGGGGAGGAGAGACGTATGAGAAACAACATTTACCACGTGGTGTAGATAAACAATTCAAGAAATTCACAGAGCGTGTGGAATGTGCACCATCTCAATGTGTACGTTATGGGTTTGGAGCTCAACCCTTGTTTTATGGCTCATTACAGCCACAACAACAAGAGAAAATGACAGCGCCATGTCCTTATTGTCGTGGTCCTCGTGTCTTTGAGTTCCAGTTAATGCCCAATGTCTTGTCTATTTTACCTACTACTGATTATGCTACAAAAGAGCAAGACAGTGTGGGTAAAGGGAAAGCAAAAAATATTGATACAAAGACCGTATTGGAGAGTTGGAATGTGGGTATGGAATTCGGTACAATTTTAGTGTTTGTGTGTCAAAAAGATTGTCACCCAGGCCAATTAGAAGATGTTCGATATATAGAAGAAGCCATTGTAGTTCAATATGAAACCGATTAAGAAGTGAAAAATAAAAATAAAAAAAGATTTTATTTATTGATAGTTTATGTACAGGAGTTAAAAAGGATTATTATTGTTATTAATACTTGTTTTTAATCTCTTTGGCGGCCTTTTCTCTGGTTTCATCAACATAGTTAGCAGCCTTTTTAACACCTAATTTAGCTTCATCCTTAAGCTCATCGGCAGTATGATCGGCCTTCTTTGCACCAAGACCCACAGCTTCCTTGGTCTTTTCAACAATATTCTCTACAGTCTTGACACCTTCCTTGACAGTCTCAATGATGGTCTTTTCAGCATGAGGAGCCTTGTTGTTCTTGAGATCTTGAGCAGATTTGGAAGCTTCCTTCTTAAGTTCTTGTGCTTTACCAGTCACCACCTCTTCAGCTTCGTCCATAACATGGCTCACCTTGTTACCAAAATCCTTATTTACACTAGCAACATGTTGAGTCACGTTCTTCTTGAGATCGTCCTTTTTGTGTGTAGCATTCTTGGCAGCTTGTTCAGCACCATCAATGGTATTGGCAATCTTTTCTCCAGTACCCTTGTTCAAGTTATCAGCAACGTTCTTGGCCTTATCAACCACGGATTCACGAGAAAGAAGAGAAGTGCTGTGGAGAGAGGCGGCAGGGACATACACGGATTTAGCAGCAGTGGCACGACCAATGGCAGCGAAGAGAGTTTTGTTCATAATAGTAGAAGACATTTTTTTAATTTATATATATTTAAGATATAAAGAAGAAGAAATAATTTTTTTATTGACGCGTATTATTTATACTTTATGCAAACAAAATCTTGAGATAACGTCATGATGAGCTACTACCAAATTTCATACCGGTCTTTAAAAATTATCTCTTCTTTTTTCTCTCCATGAAAAATGACATAAGCATGATTGTATTTTTTTTTTTCACACTAAAAATAGATAGTGGGGACTCCAGAGATTATAGCAATGATGAATGAACAATTTAAGCTCCACAATCATACTAGTGTACAACAAGGAATTCGTTTAAAATTAATTATGCGGGGTGTTTGCTTATTTGCAGAGTAAAAAACAAAATCGGAACAAATAACAGCTCCCTCGTTCTATCATTGGCTTAGGTTAGACAAATCCGCGTTTTTAACTTTACCCCATCACGTACAGACAGGGTTTCGGTACTATTCAACAAAAGCACATACATCATTAGCTCGAAGTTAAAAATACGAAGTACATTTTATTTGAGATATTTAGTCATCAACTATAAACACTTATGGGAGTTTCAACTAAGTTGTAGCTTGCCCAATAATTTCAATCTTTTACTTTCAAGCATTCTGACTCATATGCGTTGCCATAGCATTTATAATTGACACTTTCAATGATCCTAGAGACGTAGCTTATCATCATCACCCCCCCTCGAATCCAAGATACAATGAGCTCGTGACAGGTCCAAACAGTTGGGTAATACCGCAATAAGGTATTAGCACATGGAGTCACTCGAGTTTTATTTGATAATAAGACCAAGATGGTCAAACTTGAAAAGAACGGAATATCTGGATGAGAATGAACTAGACGTAATTTTGAAAATGATAGTCCGAGACAATATGATGTGTGCTCAATTCGTCGCTCAAAATAAATAAATAAAAACAGAAGCTTGCAAATGCGGATAAGCTGTAACAAGAGTATACAACCCCCTGCCTTTGACGAAAGAAAACATGGCTCATTATTAGAGTGGACACACTAGATTTATATAATAGTTGCTTAAATTTAAAGTGGCACCAAAAAAGAAAAAAAAAAGATTAAAAATCTTGTTTACAGACCAAACACCCCTTATACCGTTATTGAAAAAAAAAAAAAAATGAGTGCGGAACTTAATAAAGATGGGATTGCCTCCCGACAACGAACGAATCAAAGCAACCAGACCATGTATAGAGATCTAGTTATTTTTGAAGAACGATTGCGTGGCAACATGACAAGACTTGTGAAAAGAAAGAGAAAATACGAGAGTAACTATGCAATGAGGTTAAATTATGGCATCTATAATTGAACTCCCCCATTTCTTTTCTAGCTTTGCTTGTCAGTCTATTTGTTGTACTCACCTACTTTTTTTATGCCGTCTTTTTCGACCCAAGCAAAGTACGCACATATACAAATGTATAAGTGGATACATACTCAACCATCATGTAGGTCTTTATGTTTCATTTGTTAAACACAGTGGCTCTATTAGCGGTTGCAGGAGGTCTCGTGTTCTTTTATCGGTCGGGAATGTACTCTGAGAAAATCGTATACGCACAAAAGTAAGGCCATCACATGACTCTAAAAGAAAGAATTAACATTTCATTTTTTTAAGATTTGTGCCCCATTGTAATAATGCGCTACAGGCATTTAACCTCGAATTCAACCGAGGTGGTCTCAGTTTTTTGGAAAGAATTCCTCGACAATTTAAAGAAGGATTTGAGTCCTACCGTAAGCAATATCATCAACGCAAAAAAGCTAGACAAGCCAAACTAAAGAAAGCTCGCACCTAATCCCTTTTCTTTCTTTCTTTTTTATTTTTATAATTTATATAATAAAACTTCTACACCCCCTCAATACCCTTCATTAAAAATCCGTCACTCTTCCACCAAAACTCCAATCGTTGTGTTTGACAGGTTCATTCTTGGGTCCGTTAATCTCTCCCGTCTTGGGATTGACATCGCCTTTGAATTCAGGCTCGACTTTTTTAGGAGCATCTTGATGTAAGGAAGTGTCGCCGGCAGTAGTAGCTTGCTTCTTGCGAATTAAGTCCAACATTTCCTTTTGTTGTGCCTTGTTGCCAAGTGGTAAAGGTCCTGCTCGGTTTAAGCTGGTGTATGTACGACGTGTAAACTTGAGCATATGTGTGTTAAGAAAAAAAAAGGTGTTTTATTTATGGGACCGCTCCGGGGGGTGGTGTATTTATGCGGGGTAAAAAAAAGGTTTGTTTTCACAACGATTGGATAAAATGTAAACCGCAGGAATTTTGTAAGATAAAACATTATCAATTGTCATTTTCTATTCGTCCAGCAACTATACTTTTTATTAGCCCTTCTTGATCTTTATAGCATAACATCTGATAGATTCGTAATAATTTGTATCACGGATATAATAACATGTACCTAGTCTTTTTTACCAAATAGCTGTTTTAACGTCTTTTCCAGACAGGAGTCGGATTATTTCCTGCTAATAGGAGTAAGCTTCAATTTCCTGAAAGGAAGTGAATCAGGATCACCTCTCTCTCTCTCTCTCTCTCTCTCTCTCTCTCTCTCTCTCTCTCTCTCTCTCTCTCTCTCTCTCTCTCCTCTCTCTCTCTCTCTCTCTCTCTCTCTCTCTCTCTCTCTCTCTCTCTCTCTCTCTCTCGCTCGCTCGCTCGCTACTTTAGAAACTTTTTTGCTTTTTTAATATATTGAACGCTACTAACATATAGGGCTTTTAAAGTTATTACTTTTGGAGATTCCACTTCCAATTACTTGAGAAAATAATCAAGAGAAAGAAGAGTAAGATAGAAATAGAAATATTTATGACATTTTGATTTATCTATGAGATAACAGACGCGCCGTTGTCACATCTATGATATTCAATCTGGAAGGAACTCTCTCGTTATACGTATACATAAGCCCTCTTATATCAGATATAACATTAAGCACTTCACTATTAGATATACAATTTTTTTTTCTTAAATGCAAAAGCTACATAGTTATCCTGTTTGATTGTTTTCAAGCCAAGATTATCAGTCTGTTTAATGTACTTGTGGAACCGTTTAGAAATACAAAAACAATCTCTGTAATCACGAAAACTCATATTTCCACGTATTTTGGTTGGAAGCAGTAATTTATGCTAAGTATGGTACTAGATGAATAACTCAAATCTGTACTCTCCAAACGATAATTCTGCTAAGATAAAGGTGAATTCAAATTTGAAAAGTTGATTCATCCAAAAAAGGTAAGCCAAATATCTGAAGAGATGTGAGCTTTTGTTTATGAGCTGTGTATGAATTCTTTGATAAATCGCCCTCCTTTTTATTTCTCCTTCCTCTTTCCTTCTTTTTCCCATACCATAATCCTTTCCTTATTATGAATATATTCATTGGTAAGTAGCATGTGAAGTTTACCGTAATCTATGACATATTATCCTATTCTAAATATATATGGATGTCATTCAGGTCTTTAGAAACTTGTTATTACCAGAAAGGAAACAGTTGAAGCTCAAAAAAGAAAAAAGATGAGGCTCTCTCAGTTGAACAGCCTACATATAACTCTACGATTCTTGTCTCCATAGGAATCGTTTCCCAAGTTCATTTACGTTTCCGCAGAAAAAAAGTTAATTGCAAGTTCATATCATTTCTCATCATCGTTTTTCTCACACAAGATGACGTCTTGTTTAGAGCAATGGCTTTCATGCCGTTTTGTTTACAAACAAGTAATTTATTACCTAATTTTTTCTCATGTTGATCAAACTAACTAAAAAAAAATCATTAGATAATTAGGATCCTATCCTGACCTCATTCAGATGAGTGGTCAGAAACCCTTAGTCGTCTTCGGGCTAAGATTCTCCCATGTGGTTACCCCATTTGAAGTTATGAACAAAATAGCAGGATGCTCTCATTGCTTCAAAAAAATATCAAAATTGCTCTTCTGTCCCTGTATTCAACTTACCATTGGTCCAGCTAGGGCATGGATATTCTCAATCCATCATCGCCGCTGATGCATCCCCCCCCCCTCCTTCCCTGGATAAGGATAATGACAAAAACCAAAAATATGTGTGTTACCAGAAACGATCCAAGGTAAAATTACACATGTTTTGCTAATTTCTTTGGTATCTTAGCAACTAGCAAAGAAAGGGAGTTATCTTTTAGTTATGGAGTAGAATATATTGAGTATTCTATTAGATACCATAAAGCTCATCGAAATAAATACCTTTAACACAACATTAATGGACATAGGCTCCAATATGGATTACAAGTTTGGATAATACAAAGCTGGCAGCTCTCGGCATACAGTGCGTCAAAAATCAGCGCACTTTGGCATGAACATCAATCCATCCTGATGATAATTTATTTAGCATTGTCAAACTCAGAAGTGTGTGCAATTCTTATCGGATGAGATGAACGCATTAAAGCTACCTAATGTTCAGGAGCTCTCCGTTTGTTGTTTCTGCGAGATTTTAAAGCCAAAAAAAAAAATGCTTGAAAGTATTTCAATGTGACAAAGCTGAAGAGTTTAAAGCTATACGATCCGTCATGCGTTATGCTTGTTTTTTTCTTTTTTTTTTGGGGGGGGGATAGCAATGTGACGGAAGTCTGCTTTAAATAAAGCAATCCATATCAGACTTCTGATATCTAGAAGGCTTGATCTACGTCAAAAATATGACACCGATGATATTAGCAGCTGAGGTGCATCTCGGAGACATATCTTGTCGAGAGCAGTTTAACGATCATGCTATTGTAGCCAATCTAACATAGCATCGATAATTCCGCTAGCCTTTACTTAATTAATACCTCGACTATAAATATATAGTTTAATAACCTGATTTTTTCGTGTTTTCTTTCGTCTTTCTCATCTGCTGTTTATCTTTAATTCACATCACAAAGACCTATACTACATCATCTAATTCTAGTGGAGCATGACTCCACTTTCTCTGTGTTCGGATTCCATTGCTGTAGTAAAAAAAAAAAAAATGTACGCACGCATTTGAGAGTATTGTTTTTTTCTTTTTTCTTTTTTATTTTTACATGAAATCGTCATAGTCATCATAGCCATTATCGGCATAAGAATCATCAGCAGCAGAATTTTTACCAGCAGCGGCTAATTGGGGTCTACCCTTACCCTTACCCTTCTTAAGAGCCTCCTTGGCCACACGTTGCTTTTCATTAGCAATGGTAGTTAATGAAGCAGCGACCTTCTTTACCTCAGTATCCTTCAAAGGGACAGCAATATCACGTAATAATTCATCGATAAACCAACCATAATTGATAGATTTCTATGTAAAATGTAAGTTTTTTTTTCCTTCTTTACCGTGATAGAGAATGTATATTACTTACAGAGGCAAATGTGATGACTTCTACGAGACGCTTGCGATAAGCGTCCATTTCAACACGGTTGGTAGGTCTCCATTCCTCGAGGGGTTTATCCTTCATGTCAACTAAAAAAAAATTTATGTCAACGGTCTCTCCTTTGCGCAAGATGGACTATGATAAGCTAACTTACCGACTGTGACACCGGAAAAGAGATCTGTAGCGTTCATCATATCCGCTTCCAACTCTAAACGACGCATACGTTCTTTACGTTCATAGGCGTCTTCCTCTGTTTCTTCTTCTTCGTCCTCACCAGCCAGCTTCTTGGCCTCGAGTTCCTTCTTCTTTTGTTCGTCGGCAGCTAATTTCTCTGCGATTTTTTGCTTAAGGGGAACCTTCTTCTTGAGAACGGGGGCAGGCTTCTTTTCTTTGGTTTCTTCTTCATCTGAATCTTCCCAAGATTCCTTGACATCCTCTTCCACGTCTTCGTCATCCCACTTGTTCTTTTTAGGAATGGCAACTTCTACCTTGACATCGATTTCGTCGTCCTCTGTACTTCGTGTTAGTCACTCTTGTCCCCCCCTTTTTTTTTGTGTGTGCATTTGTGTGTAGGTATGTGTTCCTTACCCCAATCACTCATTGTATATTCTAAACGTATTTAACAAGGAAAGAAAAAAAAATATTTCCCTAGCACTGAAATAATAAAAAAAAAAAAAGTATGACTTGCTTTTTTTTAAAATTTTATTTTTGCTGTTGCTGTTGTTGCGCTTCTTGTGATGCCAGACGAAATAAATTAGCTACAGCCTTTAATTTAATAAATGACAGGCAAAAAGATTGAATCTCTATGTAGTACTCCTTCATCTGAATCAAGTCTTTTTCTAACAGAGATTGAATGAAACGAGCTACTTGCTTCACTTGACGGTCCTTATTGCTGCATTGTTCACAGGATTGGATACTATGCGAGATATAATAGTGGATAAAGTCTGCAGGGACAGGCACACCATGATTAACAAGCACGTGATGAACCACTTCCAACGAGTTTATCGTCACACGCGTATTTAATAATGCTTGTTGGTATCTAGTGGTTATCACTGTTTAGTCGACTCTCTATTTTTTTTTTTTTTTATATCTTTATATAGACTCACAGGGGAGATGATTCGCATTGGAACAGGTGAGGTACGATATGAAGTGCAGAAAACTGGTTTATCTCAATCAAGTCCGTCAGTCCCTCAGGTGGAATCATGCTCGATAATGGATAATCCGACAGACGTTGTTCCATCCTTAGTTGCTCATTTTCTTTCAGTGTTAATGTACGTGTACATGCACTACTTAGTATACTGGAAATCTTTTCATCCAATATCACAATGCTCCTATACAATAACATACACATGTTTAATCTTTCTCTTCATAAATCCTTATTACTGTACATACGGGTCGTGGATGAGACGGGCTACTTTAAGTTGAAGCAGTTCCAGGTATTTTGGATCCTTTTGAATGTCGGGTAATTTACCTACATCCTCGCATATTTCCTTCGGGGAAAGATCTTCCAGCTAAAACATGCGGAGTGTAAGTTGTTGTCATCGACATTGGAAACATACTTACGCGAGAGACAGTGTCTTCCAATATGCAATATATAAAATGATCTTCTGTGTCAGAAAAAGGGTGTTCCAAGAGTTGTAAGAAAAACGTTAAAAAAGGATTACGGTCGATGGGTACCATGGAGTATTGACTATATAAAATGTACAGGATCGCTAATCGACTTGCTTGATCCTATGATTTCTGTTAGTGAGTAATCAAGCGTGTTCGTTTCTTTTTTTTTAAAAAAAAAAAAAAAAAAATAGGGTACTCGGAGGGTGTCGAATTGTAACCAAACGTTACATGCGGCTGTGAATGCGTCATGATGCTGTGATTCTTGTCGAGAAAGAAACGTTTGGTAAATTTCTGAAAATGATTTTTCTTTTTCGACCATGCTGAAATAATAAAAAAAAGTTTAAAAGGGGTGGAAAAGAAGGGGGTGTGGGAAGCGGGCGTTGTAATAAATAAATTTTGCTGGTGAGCAATAAGTTAATCTTTAAATAAAATAGTGTGTCACTATTAGAGAGTGATACCATGAAATAGTTTAAAATACATATCACTTTGGGATTCCCATGTCAAGCTGTCTACACAGATATAAAGTCTAGATTGCTTTTCGTTATTCTTGTGTGACACTCTGTGCTACGTTATGGTGTCATACACGGTGTTTTAAAGATAAAAAAAAAAAGCTGCGGACGGGTCAGGTAAGACAGGACGGATTTTTATGTTTTTAGTTCTGTTGAAGAACTGGTTCTGTGAGAAACCAATGAAATGATGTTTTTTTTTATTTTTGAGATAAAAAAAGGTATGAAAGTGAAAATTTTTGTTTTTTGACGGAGTAAAGATGTGTAGGGGGGTGGCTCGAAGAAAGCAATGGTATGTAAATGACCTCTATTACGCAGTGAAGTGCAAAAGGGAACATTGTTAATTATATAAAGTGATGATGATAAAGAAAATATAACAAGAGCTCTTTTCTTTTCGGAAAAAAAACTAGTGTGTTATTTACAGTCCTTCCGTTGCCTTTCAAACCGATTTTTTAAAAAAAAATTTACTGCGTGAACAATTTTTTTTGACTTTTTTGTTGAACAAAAAAGTTTTTTTTCTGGGGTTTTTGTACTGTTTTTCTGGTTGTTTTTTTGCTTGTAAAAAAGTTTTTAAGTTGTTAAAAAGGTGTTGAAGTTTTTTTGAGATTTGGCGATCGAGAGATTTATGTTTTTTTTGTTTTTTTTTTTGGTATTGATGAGAATGTTAAAAAAAGATGAGATTAAGCAATAGTGGTGCTAGTAGGCGTAAAAAAAGCGTTGGCGGTAGTGAGGGAACTGGCAACAATAGGTTGACAACGCTTCGAGACAACAACACCACGACGACGACGATACAAGGGAACCCAAGGATACGAGGAAACTGTGGCTGCACTTGAACGCTTCGTACGCAGTAATGTTGCAATAGGTAACGTGGGTTTGACTACGGCAGGTTTCTTTGCTTGATTAAGACTAAGTTGGTTGGTAATGCTAGTCATTTGATCTTTAAGTTGACAAGATTCTGAACAATAGAGAGAGGAATCATTCTACAACAAAACGTTAGTCTACAAGACAAGAGACTTTATGTTATAACTTACCAAGACATCATCGACACGGTTGTCACAGATAATACACCAAGAGAGATCCATATTAATAAGAAAAAAGATTTAATAAAAAAAGGGTTTTGTGTTGGTGGCCTTTCAAGGTTATATAGGAGAAGAGGAAAGAGCTCATGGAATCCCAAAGAAATTTGAATTTAAATATTTCACACACAAAAAAAAACTTTTTTTTTTTTTATTATTATTAAGAAGCGGAGATCTTTTAATTAAACTCCATCATTTGTAATTAGCGCTATGATGGCGTGTGCTACGCCACTGTTAGAAACTAAAAGAAAAATTAGAATCAGCTGGAAGTTTTTTTTAAAAAAAAAATGTTACCATCTATTTCAGGATCTTCAATCTTAAACTCTAACTCTAATTGCAGTAATCTTTTCAACTGATTAACAAGGACACCAATACGAGCCCAGGATCTAAATCGAATCCAACCATCTTCTCCCACTTTGAGACCTCTTCCCATATGATCCACATCAATCTGGCCTCCAAAAAATAAGATACCGTAGGAAGGTACCTCCGTACCATCTCGAATAAACGTCTTGCTCGTTGTCATTCTGGAGAAATACGTCAAAAAAGATGAGTTGTAATTGTTATTATTGAACAGAAGGGATGAAGGGTGTAAAAACACACGGCCTAAATCAAGAAAAAAAAATTTAGTGTCTATCCCATATGAAATCTTTATATTTTTTACCATCAGCTTTAGTCTTGTACTTTATCTCGCGTGCTTCCTTTTCTCGTTCCACAGCACCACTCATGACTTTATTGTATTTCGTCTCTGGTAAGATGATCTTGGCCACGTTGGGGTTTAACCCTGCAAACAAGATAGATTTCAATAAATTGGTATTGTCACTATGTTCGTTATAATGCGCGTGATTCGATTTCTTATAAAATCCAATCTCAGCAAGTGCATCCGTGTATTGTCGACGTAAATTTTGCACCTCGTTTAAGGTGGCATACGATAAAAAGTTTTCTTCACAGAAACTACGCGCTGCTCGCATTCCCTTGTTCTTGATCGTCTCGTACCATCCTTCATACGCCTTCATGTCCGTTAACCAATCACTCTTACTAAAATTGAACTTTTCTCTTGCACTATAAAAATAATAAAGTATTAAAAAACCCGTGCTTTTCCCATTAATAAAAAAAAACTAAAACTCACGCTTTGGCTTCAGCACGTTTTTCCATAGGAGAGGTAAAAGGACTTTTCAACGACATGATGGAAGCAATTGTCAACATGGGATCCAGACAACCGAATACAGACCCAAAAATTAACATTTTACTGATCCGTAAATCTGCAGGAATATTCGCCATGTGTTTTCCTAACGCCGTCAAATCTCCGCGTTCCGTCAAATCAATCGCCTCTACCTGTCGTAAAGAACGAATGGCACTATCCATTGCTGCCACTGATGGTGGATCCAATGCTTTGGAAAGGAATTGACGTACATCATGTTCTCCCATCGATTTGACTGTCAAACATAATTGTTCCAACGGAGTTCTTAATAATTCAGGCACCTGTTGAGCACGCATCTTGTTGGCATCCGTATCTCGTGTAAACAATTTAAAACATTTACCAGGACGTGTACGACCCGCACGACCTCGACGTTGTTTACAACTCGCCCGTGATGCCCATGTTTCCACTAGATGCATCATACTATTCGCCGCATCAAATTGTGTTTCCTTCACACGGCCCGAATCAATCACGTACACTACACCTTCAATCGTAATCGAAGTTTCCGCCACGTTCGTCGCCACCACGATCTTTCGCACGTGTCCCGCCACGGTCTTGAAAACACGCGTTTGTTCTTGCGGGGATAAGTTGGCATGCAAAGGCAAAATCTCATAACTTTGATCGTGACCCAAGCGATCCTGTAAGGCCTCCACACAACGTTTAATTTCCATCGCACCCGGCATAAAGATTAAAATTGCAGGTTCGCCTCCACCTGGAATCTTTTCTGTTTCCGTGTCCACAATGTATTGTACAGCGTTGGCAATCAATTCATAATCAATCTTGTCCTGGTTACGGTAACGAGCTAATGTACGTACTGTCTGTTCCTTGAATCCCTTTTCTAAATAAGGAATTTGCCAAGCGGCCCATTGACTATTGGAAGGCGCTTCATCTTCTTCAGATTTCTTGGGATTTTTCACCATGGGTAAATGCGAGACATGACATGTCATATCCAAGATGTCCTCTAAATAAAAATCTTGTACGGGATGAGTAAAACCAGGGATTTCAATCGCAGGAGCTCCATTGAAATAATTCGAAAAGAGTTCTTGATTAATCGTAGCAGACATCAACACCACCTTGAGATCTTTACGTTTTTTTAACACTTGACGTAAAATAATTAATAAGAAATCACTATCAACGGAACGCTCATGCACTTCATCAATCATAACATGACTGATACCGTCCAGGGTAGGATCACTTTGTAATCGACGTAATAAAACACCCGTTGTGACGAATTGTAATCGAGTCTCTTTGGACACCTTGGTTTCTCCACGCACAGCATAACCTACCGTTGTACCGATGGATTCGCATCGTTCGGAGGCGACACGTTCTGCCACACCGATGGCAGAAATCTTTCTAGGCTGTGTACAAATGATGTTACACGTCGACCCACGACCTTGTTCGATTTCTTCGTCCATGATGAATTGAGGTACCTGCGTGGTTTTACCACAACCCGTTTCTCCACTCACAATCGAGACTTGATGTCCCAGAACCGTGCGGATCACGGTGGATTTATAATTGTGAGCTGGTAAGTTCGCACGGACTTTGCCCATACTTTCATATTTTTTGGACTGGTGAAGTTGAATCAAATTGTCCTTGAGCGTTTGCGATATCTCTGCGTTGGGTTTTAAGGGTCCATTGTTTCGGTGTCGTCTTTGCTTATTATTTTTGCCTTTGGTAACGGACGACGATAATAAATCAAAACTGTTGAGACGTTCAGAAAGATCGCGTAATTTCGGTGGATGAGCAATCATGTGATCTACATGTTCTTGTAGCCATTCGGCGCACATGTAAATACATGGTGTACCAAAATTCAATTCGGCTTCCTCTACCAACCCTTTAATCAAGGCCAATTTCAAATAACTGGGTAATCCATCACATTCGATACTAAAGATCGGACTACTGAAAGGATAAAACGAGTGTTGAGGTATCATGACTTGCATCACCAGTTTCTCTCGTGTATTGGGCTGTGTCTTTGCACTAAAAGGAATACTATAGATCGTACGACCTTCCTTATCCAATTCATGTTGAAAGCGTGAGGATTCATAAATTGATTGAAGCACGGTGATCTCGTCTTGTCGGCTTTGTGTTATTTCTTCCGCATCTATCAACTCGGGATCGACCACCGGGAAAGGTTCATCACCGTGGACAAGTCGCCATTGTAAAAGTTCGATGGCTTTGGCGTCATCTTCATTGGCTTTGGAAAGAGCTTCTTCACAGATGGCTTCGGGGTAGCCGATAGCACACATGCGCTTTAAAAGCCAGTTTCTACCAAGAGATTGGGTCGTATGGGAAATGGTGGTCATGGTGGGATTGTAATTGGCAAGCATAAAATTGGCGGGAAGATCTAGGATAAAGGTGTTATTGCGTGTGATATAGATGGATGGGTGGGTGAGTAATGATTACCGTCTTCAGGTACATGTAAACCTATCATAATTTAAACTGTGATCAATATTTTTTTTTTACATATTCAAGATTAATTCTTTAAAAAAAAAAGAACTTACATAACCAATCCAAGGCGGATGTCTTGTCTGCACAATAGTCCAATGCTTCATCGGCATGAGCAGATCGAAATCCCATACGCACCAATTCCTGAATTAAATGTTTACGTTCTTCTTTTGTATGTTTTCTCGCTAACTAATGATAAATATAAAGAGATTAATTCCTGATGCTTATATTTCTTTCTTTTACACTAAACATCACTTTACAGGTTGATAGACAATGGTAGATTTTTTAACAATGCGTTCAACCAATTCACGATTCTCCGACCCCATTTGTACAGCAGGCAAGTTTTCCCAGTCTTTACGCATCTTTTCCGTCATGTCTTCTGTAGGTTCTTTGGCTTGTTTGGGTGCTACAGGCATGGGTACGGCAGAAGCAGCATGTTCCTTGGTAGGGCCTTGACGACGCTTTTTTTCGGGTTTAATGGGTGCATGTGCATTGAATGGATCGGAGTCATATTGCCATGCGTTGGCAGCAGTTTTTAACATGTCGAAGCGTTTCCAGTAATCACGATGCTCTGGTGGCATGACACGATACAATGGCATGTCGGATTTAAATCGATGCAAAGCATAAGTAGCAGCTAAATGTTTAGCTTCAATGGAAGTAGGTAAAATAATGTCATCGGGCGGTGTGAATGCAACGGTTTGCATTTGTGCTGTTTTTTTATTTCGCATGGAAAGTGTGACAGTGCCTAGAAAACCGGATGATCGCTTCTTGATGTCAAATTCAGGTTTTTCCCAATTGTTCTTTTGACATTGCTCATGTAAAAGAGAGACAGGTGTTTTACCTGTCCAATCGCCAAAGATGGATCGTTGTACGGGGACAGTGTCATCGATGGGTTTGGTGCTAGTGGATGCATTGCCGTTTTTAACAATGCCTTTTCTTCCGACTGGCTTTTTGGCTGGTGCTGCTGGTGGCGGTGGTGGTGTAGCCTTACTTTTGTTTTTTTTACCAGACATTTATTATGTGTCAAATTTTTAAAAAAAAGGGGTAAAAAAAAAAGTTTTATTTTTTTGGTTGAGGGGTGACAAGCACCGCAGCGAAGAATGATTCATATCCCGATAGCTTTAACTCACTTATACCGCGAAAATGGGTAAATATTTGGGTATTTTTTATTACGCGTTGTTGCACTACATGTTTATTTGGTTCTACAGATCCGACATATCAAAAATAAGGGCTGATTAAATAAGCAATCCTGACGTAAACCAGTTTCCTCTTTTACTATAAATCAAATAGCCATCTTTTCCTTTTTAAAAATCTTTTTTTTTCTCTTTCTTTAACAATTATTCTAAACAGGTAAACTGATCTTGATTCATGTTATTATAAAAACAAAAAAATAAATTCACGCAAATTTAATGTTTTTTTTTCTATAATCTATATGCACACTCTATTCAGGATAGAATGGTGGGGATTGTAAGCGGGTCAATTGACCCTTGCCTATGAAAAGTACAAGAACAGCCTGATTCTACTCCTTCAAAGGTATAAAGAATGGCGTGACGAACATGATGATAATTGCATACATCTTAAATTTAACAGCATACAATGACAAGATATATACAGAAAATAAAAGTTGTGTGCACGCGAGTAAGTCTTGTGTTTTAAGGATTAACGTGATTTTGTCTTGCAGATACAAGGAGTGATGTATAAAAAAGTGCATTGGGAAAGATCGTAAACCAAAGACGAAGACTAAATTACTGAGACGAATTAATGCAAGAAACTTAGTTGAACCTGAGAGAAAAGGATCTTAATAAATTATTTATTATGAGCAACTCAAGCATTCGTGTCATGATTAGGAAAGTATCAGTTACTCTTCCAACTTGTTTTTTTTTATTTTTTTTATTTTTTTTGCTTTATGGTAAGCCTTTCTTCTTTATAACATACACAGTGATTCATGTAAGGTTTTATTATAGCACTACAAACCCGTCACAGTATATACAGTACGCCTTTTAAGGTATAGTGTTTGCTTCATATTGTGGATAGTCATCGTGCCAGTCTTGGTTTATATTACACTACAAGCTACGGTGCAACTGAAGGAAGCTTCTCTTGTATTCATTTTTTTTATGTCCTCGCTCCGCAACACGCTATGTCAACACTCAGGTTCTACTACCATCTCACTAATACAATCGAAGGGATATAATTGACAACATGGGTTAACATGGCAACCTAGGTAAGAGTTCATTTGTTTTGATAATATCGTTGTTATTTAGAAACGGACATAGCCGGGATTTATTATTTGCCATTTGTATTATTAAATCTATGTCGGCCTGTAATATTTGGATTGTAAATTGGCTCTCATATAAAATTTTAAAAGTGTTCATGGGTGAAGACTAAGGAAACCCTTGTTTACCTCTTCAATAAAATGATGTTATAAACCTGATTTGATAGACAACACATTATCTTTTTATAAACCCTTTACATAGTTCTTTTAAACCATACACTTGCGGGTTTAGCTTTATGCTAATTGCTTCCAGTGATCGAATAACACTCTTTTTATCACTTCATATAAATTTTTTCAAAAAAAAAAAAAAAAATCGTCATATACTGGTAAATACAAGAAAATCCATGCCTCGATGGTGTATAGTATAGGTAGAAAACGTGTTTACTCGTAAGCTATTGCTAATGTCTTCTACTAGCTCCAGATTATAAGCTTCTTTATCGCCATATATTACTGTAATCTTTGTAAAAAGTTGTCTGAAACTCCCTTTTTTTTTCGTTTTTTTTGTAAAAAGTCGACTTATCCCGAATCAAAAGGTGCTGATTAAAATTCAATATAATTATTTTCAAAAGTATCTATGGTATAATTTTGAAGTAAGGTTTATTAAGACATTTTTGCTACATCTTCAACTTATTCTGATTGCTTAAAGTCCCTTTGCTAAATGATATGTTCTTGCAAAAGAGACACCCTTTCCCTAACTGTTGCTGACAAATTCGATACGGATTTTTTCAAGTCATATTAGACATGAATCACGATTTAAAATATGCGGTTATCGGAAACCTTTTTTCGATTTACAAAACAGCTTTTTTTTTTTTGTAAAGAAAAGAAAACCAAAGAAAGAAAGGAAAGTGTGAGAAAGTACTTATATGATAAACAAGAACTAGTTTACGTCAGCACAAGATTATTTAAAATCAGATCGCTTTTTATAGACAACATCAATTAACCTGTATCAGATTGCTTAGTAACATGAGACTATGGTATTACCACAGACATAAACCGGGTAGCACTACACACTATGAGCTCAGGCTATTTTTACTTGGCTCAACTCTTAACCATAAATTCTTAAAAATGAAAAAGTACATATGTTATGGATGCCGTTTTACTTCAGACGCGGTCCTTTATTATTTATGTGTCTGAGTAAATATCGGAAACAAATATACGGCTATTGAATAAATATAGCTTTTAGAACCCCCTTTAATATATGATTTCTGTTGAGAGCTTTTAGGATATTAAATGTGCAAAAAGCTTTTTATCAATAATTTAAATAGAAAGAATTTATTTTATTTTTTTGCTTTGCCAAGACTAAGTTGGTTTGTGATTTCGTTATCACCCTAATATAGGCTCTGATGTACTTGTGCATTCCCCATGGCTCATCTTCTATCCCATTTTCAGCAACTTGGTTTCAGATTTATTGTTAAAAAATTATCCAATTTGAGGTTTATCCTTTTCATTGGTTTTTAATTTTAGTCCCGTCATCTTTTTTCGCCCCATTCAATGCACCATATTCAGGCACGTTTGGGCGTTCCATATTGTTTGCATTTCATCCATAGAGCAGCATCCTACATTTCTTCACCCCAAAATGCTATTTAGATTAAATGCCGGTGGAGTTGCGATATTGTATAAAATTTTCAAAGTGTTTTGATTGTCGACATCCCCAAGTGATACTAGCATTACACTATCATTTTGGTATCGCCCTTGTTGGCCCGATATACTGTTATGGAGGGAAACTAATGTACCGCCAACATACACCATAACTGAAAGACAGCCCTTTTTTTTTTCTTGTGTTATTTCCGTATCTCTTAAGAGTATTTTCACGTGATAGAATGAATTTGATATTAGGGCGTCATGATTAGCTACCAATCTCTAAATGTATCATTATATCACTTTTTTTATATTTGTTTTTGTATACTATTAGTCGTTTTGACATTTTTGATAGTTTCTACTGATAATTACGTCTGGTTCTCTTCCTTCCCCTCCCCCTTTTTCTGGCAATTCAGCTTTCTCGGGTTTTCGGTCTAAATCTGCGGCTACCCACAATGGAGTTTTCGGGTTGGGTTGAATTGTCTTCGGGGATAGAAAATAGAGAATAGACACACATACACACACACACACAAAATTGTATTCGAACGTTCCAGGTACACATCTGACCTATTCAATTGCGTGTGTGTGTGCTGTTGCACTACAGGTTTATTTGGTTATACAGAGATCTATACACACTAGTAAATCACATTGATCGCGAAAGGCCGGTCAATGTAATGCGGCTTTTTTTTTTTTTTTTTTTACCTAAGATTCTCGCAGATTTGCTTATATTGTCCGTGTACATTTTTCTTTTTGTCCTTCGATCATGATCGAATTTAATCTGCGATGGGTTGCTTGTGTTAGATTAGTTACTTTATATGGTGTTTATCTAGATTTACAAACAACGTAAGGTAGTTTTCTAAACAGAACAAAAAAAAACGTGCTATTATGGTGGGAAATATGGTAAGAAACATTTAATATCAATCGTGTGCAATTGTGTCATTTTTGCAACCCTACTTTTGGTACTAGACAGGTCACGAACTGATTTGTCATTTTATAAAAAAAATGTGTAAATAAGTACTATACTATACAAAGGGGCAGAAGGGGATGTACAGGTCGTATGAAAAAAAAAACCAATTCTAATTATAACGTTTGTTAGAGCTGTCACGGGAGTTTTTAATTGACGGAAAAGCAAGCTGGTCCCAAACTACAAGGATGCGTCCATCCAGATATGACGAAATAAATAAAAAAAAGAGAGTTTGTTGACACTAAATGCTAGACTAGGTTCATTTGATGAATAGGCCTTACTAAAAACATAAATGTGTACTGTTATCTAAAAAAACATGACAGATAGACGCATGATAGTGTTATAAAAAAGTTTACCCTTGATTAAGCCTAGAAGAGAAAGTAATGTTTCAATAAAATATCAACAAAAAAGCACATAATGTATTGCATACAGACATTGATTGATATGTCTATCTCTACAAATACATATACAACAACAATGTACATAAAATTGGGATAAATACTTTACCTACCATTTGTCATCTTAAAACTTTTTTTTTTCACTTCTAAGTACGCATTTCATCTAAAAAAGCAGGTAATTAGACGAAATTATTCTTTTTTTTTTAACAAACAAAAGCAAATGATCGATTTTCTTGGGGGTTTGCATCATTCTAAAAGCAGCTAATATGTTAAGGCTTCAATTCATACAATTATATTTATAAACATGAGATCAGAACGTCACTTTTGGGTCTTCTTGTTGTTCCTTACCGCATTTGATATCCCTTGTCCTTTGAATTATAATGGTAGTTTGTTTTTATTTTTTTACAGGATTACTTTGAGTAATTAGCTCGAAATTATTTGATAAATACTATAGATATCGTTCATCAGTACATCGCAACAGTAAATATTTACCCCTCGCATCTTTCACATCCTCGGGAATCGATACTTGCCGAGATAGTCCTCCCCCCACAGGGTCTGAATACTATCAGTTGGAATTAAACGATTACAGGATGTAAGGAAAATAAGCTTTTATTTTTTTTATTTTTTCTTTTTCATTCTTTTTTTTTTTTCGAAATCATATAAATATAACGCGTCTTTGTCTCTCCTTTCTTTTTTCTTATTTATATATAAAACTCTTTTTTTTTTTTTTTACCCTTATATTTTAATACTTAATTTATCATAATGGGCTCCTCCGCTGATGACACTTCTTTTTCTGTTTTTAAACAAGATGGAAGTCATCAATTCTACTGTCGTTGGTCTTTGGAAGAAGACATGTTACTATCAAAAGCCGTAGCAGATCATGGGCCTCACAAATGGACAACAGTCGCTCAATGTATTCCAGGACGCACTGCTGTTCAATGCTCCACCCGATGGTTTGGTGCACTCAAGTAATTTATCACTATTTTATTATTTTTTTTAAAAAAAAAAAAAAAAAAACTCATTTATTTATTTATATAAATAGTCCTAATGTACATAAAGGAAGATGGTCTAAACATGAAGATAAAGCACTTTCAGAAGCTGTCGAATATTATCAATTTATTACCAAGGATACTGCATTACCATGGAACAGAATTGCAGAAAACATTCCACATAGAACGGGTATCCAATGTCAAGCAAGGTGGACAGAAGCACTGGATCCAGCTGTGCGTAAGGGTCGATGGCTCTTAAGTGAAGATAAATTACTCGAGAAAGCAATCCAGAGATACGGTTGTTGTTGGATCAGAGTCGCTAGTATAATTCCAACACGTACGCAAAGACAATGCCGTACACGATGGAACCAAATTCATACACAGCATATGAAATCGGCATCGAATAAGCCAAATAAGATCTATTCTCCCCCTCCTCCTCCGCCGTTACCTCCTGTTAATGATCCTACACCACCACCACCATCATCAACAGCAGCATTGGACTTTTATTTGCCTACCGATGATAAAAGCATGGATGATTTACTGGCACAATATGCAATGTCTAGTAGGACATCTTCGTTATCTTCTTACTCGCCTCATCTGGAGAACAATACAGCTTACATGAACGATCCATTTAGAGTGGAAAGTACAAGTTGCTGGGGGATGCAAGATCCATTGGATCTGCAGGGATTTTTATCCACTAGCTCAAACAATAATTTGTTTCAGTCTAAAGAGTTTACTCTCGGCCACAATGGTGAAGATAACTTCGTGGATGGACTATTAACTGTACATGATTTCGAGTTCTTGTTAGATCTGTAATAATAATTACAAGTGTTTACACGACACTATTCTTTTTTGTTATTATTATTAACTGTATTATGCTGGACAATGAAGGAAGAAGAAAAAAAGACATATTTTAATAAAACCAAATGGTCATGATGATTTTCTGTTTGCCTTCTGTTGATTGCAAGATTGTGCATAAAAAAACATAAAAGATGTATGAATGTTTTGTCGGGTTGAAAAAAGAAAGGTGTTATGCATTGATGAAGCTAAAAGATTACAATCAGTTGATAAAAAAATCCTTAAAAGGGAACCTTTCTGATCATATGCATATGACTCCATCATCCAAAGTCATGCACTGGTTTCAGAACTATTGAGGTTTTGCATGAAAAAAGGTTTACCGTCTAGCTGGGACCCTTTTATTATAATTTTCCTTTTTTTAAACAAATCGAGGTAAACAATTGAAAGAGATAATAGGGCTTGTATCACTCAATTTCAAGGCAAATAATAAACAATGTTTTGCATCGGATAAATTTTCTTGGTGTTTATATACTTGGCTCAGCATGTACCTAAAAAAAAGGAATTAGATTAGTCTTTCCCAAAGAAAAACAAGGGAGCTCTCCCCTTTTTATTTTCATCAATTTTACCATGACTCAGTTTCATTCCAACCTAGCCCTTTTGTCGATCTTTCAAGTAATTGCTCAACCAATTCAAATTGGCGCATGCTTAAATACACGGAGGAAAGTGAAATATGAGTTGCTATGTGCTCAGGATCGATCGATAAAGCTCTTTTAAATGCATCTATGGCTCGGTCCCGATTTCCCTCGTGTAAGCTATTTTTACCAATCTGATGCCAAACATGAGCGTCAAGTCCGGACGTCAGTACATCCGCTTCCATAATGGCCTTGTGAGCGTCTTCAAAACGTTGCGCAAGAGCATAGGTTGCACTGGTCATGACCCAGATCTGAACAAGTAAAGTTTTCCAGCGGTCTTCAAACGCTTTGAGGTTGACATTGACTTGATTGGTGAGAGAAATGATGGAAGAGGATGGTATGGCGGATTTAACCGTATTGTTACTACTACTATTCTGACGACTCATTTCTTTTAATGATGACGAAGCAACCTCATCTTTGAGTTCTAATGAAACGAAGGAAAATTAGTCTGTATTCTAGCGAGTGATTCAGATTATCTAGTCTACCTTTTTTAGTGGTGGAGGCCGATGAGGATTCTGATCTTTTTATTCCAAGGAACGTACTCCTTTTACCCGTTGTAGACTTGATCTTCTCCTTTTTTTTATTGCTATTGATAGGGAAACTCATGAGAGGATCGTCCATCAGCTGTCTTGATAAATTAAAGGAACGTCGATGTTTCTTTCTTGATTTCGGCACAAAATCCTCCTCCTCTTCCTCCTCTTCGTCCTCCTGCTCTTCCTGTTCTTTGGTCTCTTCTACTACCTTATTTAACGTTGGTCTAGATTCATTGTGGTCTTCAAGCGCAAACCCAGAGTCCAAACTTGACACTTCTTCAAATAAGCTATGAACACTACTGTTGGCTCGAGACCGAGGTCGAGAACGCACTGTCTCATGCAACGAAGAAGGTTTTCTGAATACTGTTGCTGTCTTTTCTAGATGCATCTTTTTTGAGAGCTTGGCATACATGTCAAATAAATCAGGATACACTTTAATTACAGCTTCAGGCCCTTCCAATTCCTCTAGTATCACCGCTTGAGACATGCGTAATTTCATGTACGCTTCGGCACGGTCAAAGAAAACTTTGCCTTCTTCTGTATCCAATAAAATATTTTCCACAATATCCTCATTATCCTCATTATCCACCATGTTTAAATGATACGCAAGACCTGCTTGAATCAGTTGTAAGGACGTGGCCAGACTATGGTTATATTGTCGACTAGATTGAATTAATGCTAATAAGTGCCAACTGGGAATAAAATCACCGCGCAATTTAATTGAGCGTTTCAAGGCGCTGGTAGCCGAGACCAAATCACCTGTGATGGCCTGCTGTAATCCCAATTGATAGAATGCTTGCCATGAACGGGAGTCGAGCTCAGTAGCTCTTTTTAATAGCAACAGGGATTCTGAAAGATATTCCGACCTTTTCTCTTCATCTTGACCTAAAATTGCAATGCATGTTAAAATCAACAAGGTTTAAAAAAAAAATTATGTAAGCATTTTACATTGTGTGGCAAATACGCCATAAGCAGTGCCACCCAATCGTTTTGCTCTAGTCATTAATGATTTCCATTGTGATGCCTTCTTTTTTCTTAGCAAGTCGCATTCATTTAATATAGCCACGGCAAGATCCGTCAACATGGCTGCTTCTTGACCTTGCTGCATGTATAAATGTTGTGTAGCAGACAGCACCAACCGTACCACATCAAATTCCGTGTCGCTTTCACATGATCCAGTGGGAGGTTTCTTTTTTGTTGTAGGCTCACCTTCCCTTTCTATATCCGGAAAATTGAGTGATGCTGCAGAAAGTGATGATCCGAGATTAATGTCCAGGAGACGTGCCTGTAACGTATCTACAGAGAATTCGTGGTCAAAGAAATCAGGCAAACCCAGCAGCTCCAAATAATGCAATAAAGCTCGTTTAGCTTCATCCATTTGCTCCACACGGACCAGAGTATAAAAGATATGACGGGTGGTACACAAACTATTGAATGTGAATTTTCGTGTGCGAGTAAAATACTTCAAGGTACGTTGTATGTATTCGGGTGGACCCCAGCCGACAGTCTCATGAGCAGATACCAGCAAATTGCTCAGTTCAAGTGTGCGATGATTGAGGTCAATGGGATTGACTGTGATCAAAAGTGGGGCAAAAGTAGCCAATAAGTGTCGAAATTGTGTCATGAGTTGCATGATTTCATCCAATGCGGCCGCTGAACGTTCAAATAAAGTAGTTTCGCCCGTGTCGGAAAAGACGGAACGAGTAGGCGACATGATGGGGCTGGCAACATATTCGTCTTGTGGTGTAGCAGGTACATACACACCCTTTTGATAGGCTCTTGTCAGGTATCGAATGTAATGTCGAAAGATGACCCATCGTTTATAAATACGCCAATCAGATGGCCATACGGTGCAGCAGTAATTTAAATAGGTACGCATCAGCTTTAATGTTTGTTTGACAGGACCTCTATAAGAAAAAATAAGGGTTTTTTTTAGTGCCCGTTTGCTGTATATATATAAAAAAAAACTGATGATGATTACTTTTTACGTAATTGTAATAGAACAGAACGGTAAATACAATCCTCTAACCAATACGACAATGCTTTATTCTCTTCATCTGGGTGTTTCTCTGCCACTTCCAAAGCAGCTAAATAGGAATCCAAGGCATCCACATCATTTTCTTGCGATTCATAGCAGATACCTTTTAAAACTCTTGCTTGCACTAACAAGACAAGCCCATAACCTGATTCGACATCCTGCGTTCTCAGGGCTAATTGTTGTAACCATTCTAATGTTTTATCATAACGCTTTGTTTCAAAATAAATTCTTGCCAAGATGATTTTTGAGAACTGTGCTTTTTTTCATGAGTGGAGTTTATTTTACAAAGCATGTGTGTATTACCTGAGCTTGCCAATCATCAGGTGTTTCTAACTCGCCTGATTTGATTTGTCGTTGAATTACGTCTAGTAAGCGAACTAAAATCAATTGTACCTCTGCAGCCTCGAGGTGAACGGGAATGACTACATTGCTGGGATCATCAAACTGATGAATGGCGTCGGATGTCTCGAGCGAAGGTTTTTTAAAAGAGATAGAGTTGACGGTGGTTAAATTCGTAGAGCTGGTTACATTGCTGTTTAATTGTCTTGTAACTCGTTTTTGTTTATTGTTTGTGTTCGTGGATAGATCCACCTGGGATGGATTGGGTGAAGTAGGTGTAGATGGCATAGTTTCTTGGCCTTTCTCTTGACGTGCCTGCCGTAACAAGAGAATGAACTCGGCTTCCATTTTGGCCGTGAATTCGAGGACTTGCGATACGTTAGTTTTTTATGTAGTCAATTGGAGACAAATAGTGTGTACCTGATTCATAAGGATGATACTTTTTGTATCGTCTGGTTAATTCGGGTATGTCATTGTATCGTTCGTTACAACGAGCTATTTCGAGGTCCAGAAAGGTTTGTATGGCCTTTGGACTACTCATAAGAAAAAAAAAGGAATGTATAAGAGAAAGAGATGATAATTCACTAAAATGGAGATCTGCCACTTTCAAATGGAAACTATTGTGTGTGGGATATTTTTTTATTTATTTTTTATAAAAAAACACGTGTCATTTATAAGAAGAGGGTTTAAACAAACCTCTCTCAATTTGTTGGTGTGTATATGTTTTATATAAAAAAGGGGTTTTTTTTTTTAGGGTTTTTGTTTTTAATGTATTCTTAATATACAGCATTTTGGAGGGGGGATTTTAGAGGAAATTATTTAACTACGCTTCTTCAAGTTGGCAGATAACCATTCTAAACCTTCATAAAGACCATCACCTAGAAGTAAAAAGAAAAAGGTGTTAAAAAAGATACAGAGCGGAAAATGAAAAACTAATAAATTCCTTACCACTTGTAGCACAGGCAGTTTGGATGTACCAATGTCTGTTACGAAGAGAATGGAGACCGAGTTTATCAGTGATCTCAGCAGCGTTCATGGCGTTGGGTAAATCTTGCTTGTTAGCAAATACGAGTAAGAGAGCATCGCGAAGTTCATCTTCGTTCAACATACGTTGAAGTTCATCACGAGCTTCTGAGATACGATCACGATCATTAGAGTCAACCACGAAAATGATGCCTTGAGTGTTTTGGAAGTCTAATAGGAAGAGAGAGGTGAGCACGCATGCTATACAAACACAACACAAACAAAATACTTACAATGTCTCCAAAGAGGACGAATCTTGTCTTGTCCTCCAACATCCCAAACAGTGAAAGAAATGTTCTTGTATTCAACGGTCTCAACATTGAAACCTAAAATAAAGCCCAGATGAATACATGTCGTTTACAGATGATGATGAAAAAATACTTTACCAATTGTAGGAATAGTTGTCACAATCTCACCCAACTTGAGCTTATACAAGATGGTAGTCTTACCGGCGGCATCAAGACCAACCATGAGAATACGCATCTCTCTCTTACCAAAGAGCTCTGAGAAAATTGAAGAAAAACTAATGCCCATCTTTTATGTATATATTATTTATTTATCTTTTTAGTATAAAAGGGAAAAAAAAGAGAGGGTAAGGAACGCACTTGTTTATATCTTGGCTGCCCCGCCTGCTAAAAAATTTATTTTTAATTATAGGTCCGTTTTAACCAATCAATAGCAGGTACATGGGATGTGACTAGAACGACCCAAAAAAAACATTTTTTGTGCTTTACTACCACTATCACTACTATGGGATACACGTAAAGTAATTTGCTTCGTCCAGCACTCTATTTTAGAAAAAAAAAATTAAGCCCATTTATTAATAGAACGGCATCCCATGACCAAGTGTGTGTACCAGAAACACTATTGAAAAAGAGAAGAACTACGGAAAAGACAGATGCAGAGAAACAATTACAAAAGAGCCAATGCCAAAAAGAACAAAAGAATGTACGAAAGATAATCTTTAAAAAGGCCGATGACTATGTGAAAGAATACCGACAAAAGGAAAACGACGAAATTCGACTAAAGAGACAAGCCAAGAGTGGAGGCAATTACTACGTCCCAGCACAACCTAAATTATTATTTGTGATTCGTATCCAAGGTATCAACGATATTCATCCCAAAGTACGCAAAGTATTACAGCTGTTCCGATTATTGCAGATCAATAATGGTGTGTTTGTACGCATTAATAAAGCGACACTTGCTATGCTTCAAATCATTGAACCGTACGTCACCTACGGTCCACCTAATTTAAAGACAGTGCGAGAATTGATCTATAAACGTGGATATCTGAAATGCAATGGACAACGACTTCCTATAACAGATAATCAAATAATTGCAGAAAACCTAGGTCAATTTGGCATCATTTGCATCGAGGATATCATTCATGAAATATTCACATTGGGTGATCATTTCAAACAAGTCAATAATTTTTTATGGCCTTTTAAATTAAGTAACCCAAACGGTCATAAGAAAGTCTCTTGGAAACCTCGTAAATTTATCCATTATGTGGAAGGCGGTGATGCTGGTGATCGTGAATTCGATATTAACAAATTAATTCAGTCCATGAATTAACTCTCCTTTGTACAATAAACCCCCCAATCATCTTGCCCCCTTTCTCCCTTTTTTAAAAAATGTTGTCAGCTAAATCGAGAATGTGACTGCTTTTACAGTGTCTGAATGATGTTTTTTTTTCTGTTGTTGTTGTTGCTGTTGTTGTTACTCAAGTGCGCGCGCAGTATAACGATAAAGATGGAGTTGTTAAAGTCAATTCTTACCGACAAGACCCGTTTTGTACAATATGCACACCAAAAGTTTTCGAGAATTCTAGAGTTAGAAAAGGAACGGTCAGTCCTAGATGCTCATCAGTTTGAAAAAGGGAGACGGAATGAAGCTTATAACCGATATTCGAATATCATCCCCTATGACAATAATTGCATTAAATTAACGGATAAAAGACTAGGCAATAGAGAATACATTAATGCAAGTTGGATTTTAGGACCATATGATATCCCTAAATGTTATATTGCTACTCAGGGTCCAATTGGGTCCACGTTGGTTGATTTCTGGAGGCTGGTGGTAGAAAAACAAGTGCCTGTGATTGTCTGTTTAACACCAGAAATTGAAAATAGAATTGAAAAGTGTGCAAGATATTGGCCATTAGGAGATGAAATTAAAACATTAAATGATGGAGATATCACATTAAAAGTATCAAATATCAAGACAGAAAGAAAAGACAATGAATCAAACTGCATCGTCAGAACCATTCTGGTGCAATTTTATCAGAAAGAAAACAATGAATTGATTGAAGAAAAGAGGGTTACACAGTTACATTTCTTGGGCTGGCCTGATCACGGTGTCCCTAATGATACCAGACACGTTATTGGCCTCATTAAATTAACAAGGCTTTTTCAAGAAGATTCGAAACCAGTTTTGGTTCATTGTAGCGCTGGTTGTGGAAGGACAGGTACATTTTGTGTGATTGATTCAGCCGAATATTTACTTAAATCCAACCCAACTTTAATGATTGATCCTGTCTTTCTATTGACTGACACATTTCGTAAACAACGCACAACAATGGTTCAGGCTCAAGCACAGTATAATTTTTGTTACAAGGCTTTAAAAGACTTTATGGATGGAGAAGAATGATGATGATAAAGAAGGGGATACACTTATTTTTTTAAAAAAAGAATAAAACCCGCTTTTCCCCATACATTTATCTTTATAGGAGTCTACAATGAAAAGAGTAACGTGGGCACCCCTATCATTTTATTATATTTTCTAAAGCCTACACACATACACAAATACACACGCGGGACCCCTATTATTATCATTATTATTATTATTATTGTTTCTGTCTTTGTCTCTTTTGTACCACTCTGGATGTTTCCCTTTATTTCTGATTCGATCGATTATATAATAGGGAATGCAGATCTAGCGTGTCCTTTATAAGTGTGTTTAAATGTTGTCATTTCTTTGTGATATATATATATAAAAATAATATAAATCTAAGGAGCACATTCCATATAAACTCTCTTTCCCGCAACTCTAGTAATAATCGTGTGTGTCTATCTGTCAATCTCCTTTATTAAAAAATAAAAAAAAAAAAAAAATGTATATATATATAACATGTCGGATTATTTCCATTCTTTTTTTTTTTCTTTTATTATTTTAATATATCATTTCAACATTTAATATGTCAGCTGAAGACTTCAATACATCTATTCCAGTATCAAGATACTTGACACATTATCAATTCCATCCATCATTTTTATCCAAATACATCATCGGAGAAGAGTTAGGATCTGGCGGATATGGATTTGTGATTTCAGCTCGTGAAAAAGCAACTGGCATTGAAAGAGCCGTTAAATTTATTTTTAAAAACAAGATTCCTGCCCATAGTTGGGTTAAAGATAGAGAACTTGGAGTAATTCCAATGGAAATTTACATTTTGAAAAATGTTTCCCATCCAAGTGTCATTAGCTATATCGATTCTTATGCCGATGATCATTTCTGTTATTTAGTCATGGAATTACATGGCACTCAATGGTCTTCTGCCATTAATAATTTTGAAGCTTCCACAAGATCTCCTGCTTTGTCTGAATCTTCTTCATTTGGTGGTAGCACAAGCTCATACTGCTCTATTTTGGACTCCCCCATCGATGAATACCCCGCAGCCAAAGGTGAATTCTTTGAGCAAGAACATGTCATCAAGAGACGTACCTCTTGTGATTTATTCGAATGCATTGAACGTCATAATAACTTTGAGGAACCACTTGCTAAAATGATCTTTAAACAAATTGCTTCTTGTGTCGCTCATCTGGACTTAATTGGTGTATGTCATCGTGATATTAAAGATGAAAATATTGTAATTGATGATCAATTTCAGGTACAAAACCATAAATTATTACATTTTGCTCTCTTAGTCAAATACTAAATTCCTTTTTATTTATAGGTCAAACTAATCGATTTTGGTTCTGCTGTATTATTGCCTCGTCATTTTGGTGATAAGAAAAACTATTTATTCAAGCAATTCTATGGCACTGTTAACTTTGCTTCACCTGAAATCTTGATGGGAAGACCTTATAAGGCCGAACCCGCTGAAGTATGGTCTCTTGGTGTCTTACTCTACACCATCTTATTTGGCGAAGTTCCTTTCCACGATCAACATATGGCTATCAATGGTCATTTCGCTCAACCCAAAATTAATATCTCCTCTAATTGCTATTCTCTTATTTCTTGGATGTTGAACCGTTCACCAGAAAACAGACCTACCATTCATCAAATATTATTACATCCTTGGTTTGTTGACTTTTAAATTATGCACCCATCCTCATCTCAACCCCCCATATCTTACTGAACCAACACATTTTGCATGACTTTTTTTTTCTCCTCTATTTCTCAACCTATTTATTTTACACACTATATTATTCACTCTTAAGCAACAACAGCCCCCCCAAAATTACATACCACAACATTTTATTTATTCTTTATAATCTTTCTTATTATGCAAAAATTAATAACTCCCACAAAAAAAATTAATCATTATACAAACTACACATCCCATCTATGCTTCTCCCCCCCCCATCAACTCCCCCTTTTTAATACCCTCTTAATTGTAATTATCTTTTTTTTTTTTTCCCTTTTTTACTATGTACATAAAAACCAACCACACAAACCAAAAAAAAAAAAAATCATATTTTATCGAGTCACATTTATAAGCAAAACTCTGAAAGTTTTGAATCTCCGTTTACATTAAATTTTGACAGGGTTCCCTTTTTCCCTTTCCTTTTCTTTTTTTTTTTTTCATCATTTTTCGTAACCATGTCTACCGTTGTCGAAGGAAAGGATACTGTCAGATTTGTTGACGAGGAACAAATCGAACAAGCTGCTGCTGCTTCTGCTGCTTCTGAAGAAACGGCTAAGCCCGCTGTTGTGGAAGAAGAAGAACCAGCTTCTGCTTTCAACCCAGAAACCGGTGAAATCAATTGGGATTGTCCTTGTAAGTTTTTTTTTTTTTTTTTTTTTTTTGTTTGGCAGATATTCATACCTAAGGGAGAGAGAGCTCATATATGTTTTTGGGAATTTAGGTTTAGGAGGTATGGCACAGGGTCCTTGTGGAGAACAATTCAAGGCTGCTTTCAGCTGTTTTGTCTTTTCTGAAGCTGAACCTAAGGGATTGGATTGTGTTGATAAATTTAAGGGTATGCAAGACTGTTTCCGTCTTCATCCTGATGTATATGGTGATGAGATTGATGATGATGAGGAGGAGGAGGTAAAGGCTGAGGAAAAATCTACCGTTGAACCTACTGCCGAAGAATCTACTTCCACCACCAACAATGTCGAAGAAACCGTCACCGCTTCTTCTGCCAATGAAGAATCTTCATTTTCTTCTTGGGTTTCATCATGGTTTTAATTTTGTTTATCGCCCCCATCCATCCTATTAATAATCATAGACTCTTTCTACTACGCTTGTACAACAATAAAAAAATATCCCCCCTCATTCAGCATCATCTTTCACTGCCGACAACCCCGAAAAAAAAAATTACGCGAAAAAAAAAAAAAAAGATGCATTACGTTACACGAAAAAAGAAAGTTTGATGGGACAGAAACCCACGAGCCTCCACGCAGCTGTGGAAAATAAACGTGTGCATATAATCAATCAAGAGAGAGGACTTCTTAATTTATCTCTGTGCATAAAATAAGGAATAAGGAAATTTTGGGTTGATAGTATAATATCCCTTCCCCTCCTAATTTATCAATGTTATGTAAACATACCCTTAAAAAAATAGTAACCATCAAACCGCACATTATGTCAAAATATGAGTATAAAAAGTAACCCATCCCATTGTGCCCTTTGTTTAAGTAAAAACAAATGGAATCGTTATACAAGGCTCTCAACAAAATATTTGGTCACGTTGAAGAAGAAGCACCACCTCAACCCGTCAACACTCGTTTACAAAATCGTAGTAATGAAATGGCCGCTATCCATAGCTCTGAGTTAGTCACCTACCCTTTGTTTAATAATTTTGATGATCTGGATAACTTCTTACGTCTTCAATTCAACACTGGTGCTCTTGCTCCTGGTGGGATTTTAAGAGACATCGGAAGAGCCAAAGAGCATAACGGGCTCATCACACTCGAAACCAAAATCGCACAATGCGAAGCACAAGCCTCCAAAAAAGAAGCCGATGCGTCTTGGCTTGAAAGAGAAGCTGTCAAAAAAGAGATCAAATTCAAAAGTTACAGATTACAAGCTTCATCGCATCCAGATATTGTAGCTGAAACCAGTTTGCTCATGACCGAAATCAACAATTTAAAAGCAGAAGCCAGGCTCGCTCGTGATGAGGCTCAGAATATCAGAGATCTTACCCGTTACGATGTAGAAGATTACTTTGCTGAAAAATATAGACGAGAACTTACGGTTAATAATGATTTTGATAAGACAGCTACAACGGTTTCTAAAGATGCGGAGCTTACCGTTGCGTATGAAGAAGATGGCGAAACATATTATATCATCTAGTCTAATCTGTTTCTGTTCTTCTTCTTATATCTAGTTATCTGCCTTTGAAGACGCTCTAAGTTTTTTTTTTTCTTAAACATCTCATGCTGGCAGATTTTGTCATTGCCAGTTATACGCACGTACTAGTAAAATGTAGACAATAAATAAAATGGCATTCGCCAAAATAATCATATGCTCCTTTGTACCTATAATATGACATACTTGTATCAATACATATATCCCCTTACATTGTGTCATATTGTTGACATACCATCCTTGGAAGAAAGAACTGTTTAACTTCATATACCATTTTTCTCTCTTCATGCAACACTGTATAAACATCCTTTGTGTTGCCATTTATGCTTCAAACATATATAAATATATATTGATGGTAGACCATTGATCACTAAATCATATAATGAAACCTATTTTGAATAAATAGCAACACGTTAATTGTGAAGTCCATATTATTGTCTCATGGCTCTCTTGGCTTTTTTACTTTACATTCTTAAATATCGCCATCATGTCGTTCATAAGAAGAACCAGTAATGGCTCAACACAGTCCCGAAAAAGTGGTTGTAAGCTTTGGAGACAGCTTAAACAAGTATTCAGACGGTTCAAGCTGCAAAGATCTAAAAATGCTGTTCATGCTGAATTTAGACGTCAAGAGAGTCAAAGAGCTGCTCATGCTAGACGGGTAGATATCATGCGGGCTTGTATGGAAGAATATTGCGCAAAATATCAAAACCAGGGCTCCACTCGTCATCCTGATGACGTGCTAGAACGAGTGAATCTTCATGTTCGCAATAGAAGACCTGATAGTGAAGATACTGTATATTTTACAGACGAGGATGTAACGCCTGAATTGAATCAAAACCCAGTGAAAGCGAGAGGTACAGAGCCATTCATAATAAAAACAAGAAGAAATCCCAGTGACTCTCAAAGTGCTCAGTCTCCTCCAAATAGAATTGACACACCTGATAGCCTTGCAAATCTTGACCAAGATACAGACCTTCCTAACCAAAGAAAAAACAGCAAGACTTTGGTCGAAGATCCAACCACAAAGGAGGTCACTGATATGATTGATGAACTTATTCTGGTCGTAGAAGGGTCTGAAAAGCAATTGGTCGAGGATCCAGTTACAGATTTTGTAGCTGTTCATAAAGCAAGCCATATCAGATCATCTTTTGAAAGAAAAGGAGGTACCATGTCTGACCCATAAGCTCTCAGACTGTTCTTTGTAAATATCATTTCATAAAAACCTACAATCATCAAACGTGTCCAAAGCATTTTCTTTTCGCAATTAGGCTGATTTACAACTTTTTTTTTTCCCCCACTTGAATAAAACATTTTTCTGTCCAAACTTACAATCACAGTTTATGGTGACATGCACTTTGTTTTCAAATATCAAAGAGACGATACACAACAGTTGGATGTGTTGAGTATAATTAATAGCCGATATAACAATGTCCGTTGTCACAATAGCAGACATAAATTCCAATACATGTTATGGTTCCATTATACTTCATTTTTCATATAGTCTCATGATGCAATAATAAGCCCAATCGGTCATTTGATTGATAGTAGTTTTCATTATTGATTGGTTTTTTTAAGAAAGAGACCCCATACTTGTATATATATACTTAACTCAAAGTTAAATTCTATCATATTTCAATAAGAAACTTCTACTTTGAATTTCACTAAAAGCAATAATGGAGTACTACTTGTCAAAAGTGGATGTAAGCAAGCTTACCGCTGAGGAAGCAAACAGCTACATGTTTAGACTTAAGCGATTCTTCAGACCACCTGCTTTTCTTGTAGATACCGAGCCTATTTATTCAGAGGAGGGAGAAGGGACATCATCTCAACAAGAAGAAACAACAGGCGAAGAAGGTCAAAATTCGGAGGAACAACAAGAGGGGGTAGCCTTGAAGGACCAAGAACCAGATAAAAATCAGGTTTTAGACGAAACAACACCCTTACGAGGTACGGAAGCTCAGAAGGATGAGAAATTCGATATTCATAAAGAAATTATGGATGCTTATAACTATGCATGGGCTCCATTTTCATTCCATTAATTTGCGTGTTGTTCTACTCGAGATAGTCAACTTTTATATATATATATATATGTAATTCAAAATAAACAACAATGCTTTTTTCTTTCAATGTCAAGTTTTAGTTTGATCTGTGTACAATATGTCAACGTATAGCGATGTTCAAAGGAATCGTAGCAATTCGGGAAATATGTGACTAACTTCATTTGGAGAATAATAAAATAAATTTTTTGGAAATAGACAGGACTGGCTTTGGGTGTGAATTCTCCAACTCGCGTGACCATGAAAAAAAAAAATTAATTTAATTTTTTACAACCCCAGTTAACAACTATAAAAGAAGAAAAAGTTTTTTCAAGCAGACAGATTTCTTCTTTACTTAGCAACACTTTATTAAATCAATTATAGAAAAGGTAAATACAACTCCAAACAATTTCTATTGTTTCTTTTTGGGAAAAACACAACGTCCTTTCTGTTTCTTTTATGTTTAAGGTGCAAATCTTAAAAATAAAGGAGAGAGTTGGATTGTTGCAAATGATGATTAGTACCGCTATTGGCATAGTTCAACTGAATCTAGGTCTACTAGCCTTAATATATGTTGACAATACATTCTTTCGCCCCTGTCTGATTTTGTTTTTTCATGAAAAGAAACATAAAAATTACATTATCATCTTGATACATTTTTATTAATAATTTTTTCTTCTTTACAGATCTCTACTCGTGTTTATTCATTGAATGGCTCTTTTCTATAATTTTTTTAAATAAATATCTTTGTAAAATCATAAATATGCTGTCTTTTCTATTACTGTCATTTTTTTAAAAAAATTCTTATTGGGAATGTCTTCTAATACGCGAACTTGATGTTCGAGACTTACAGGGGTGGCTTGCGCGCGGGGGTTTTATTCCGTGCCAGAAAGTAAACTAGTCGGTTATTTTTATTAGACTATTTTCATCAGGGAGTTCGGACTATCATAACAGATCACACCTCTTTTGTCCTGAACTAAAACCCTAATCTTTTGCACCCGAATATTCCTATGGAAACACGAGATTTCAATTATCTGGATGTAAACATGTTTAACGCGCTCCCCTTTCATTTGAATACGATATTCCCTTATTATTTTACGATTTGAAGCAATTCATGCAATACACATCATCTTGGTTTGCCAACTCTCTCATAGCATTTACTCCTTACATTATTCGAAAAACCTAGTTGGCTACACAATCTATAGCGTAGTACACGTTACTCTAATTACTATGCATTAATCATTGACAACTTAAAAAGTGACATTCACCTATTTAATGTCTGTATCTATCATACTTGGCAGAACACGAGACATATCCATCATCACGATTTGTTATTCATCCTATGTTTGCATTTTATCATGTATATTTAGTTATTGTGTCGTTTTTCTAACCTCAAAATTTCGTGTCGATTGCCTTGCATGGCTGAACCTTTCTTTCATACATGTATTAATCAATATGAAATGCCTTTTGAGTACTACATACGCTTTATACCACTGTACCTTTTACTGTATGTGCAGACATAAAAAACCGACTGGTTGATTGTGACTGGCTTAAGTTTAACCCCCTCAAATTTTGAATTTTTTTTCCCTCTACTTGATACCCCTACCGGCCTTTTTTTTTTTTTTTTTTTTTTGTAAATTGTTTGACACCTCTACGAAAATGAACGCACTCAAGACTGCCGCCTCTAGATTATCAGCAAAGGCTCTTCGACCATGCCTCAACAGTCAACGTAAACATAAATACTATTTGGACATGGTCAAAGTAACGCATTGCTAACCCTCCCACCGCCCTTTATTCTTCTTTCTTTTTTTATATATATGTAAATGTAGTTCAATACACCACTGCAGCAGCTGTTACAAAGACACCCAAGGTCAATGTCATGGAAGCCATTACACAACAACAAATTGAAAAGTCTAATACGGATGGACGTCGTGAATTATTCTCAAAAACCAACCAACAAGGTGTAAAGCCTGGATCCATTGTTTTAGTGGAAACCATGAATGGACCTGGCGAAACCACCTCTTCTACATTTATGGGTGTCTGTATTGCTATTCGTAGAAAGGGTATTGATACCAACTTCACTCTTCGTAATATCGTGATGCGTATCGGTGTTGAACAAAGATATTCTCTCTACTCACCATTGTTAAAGAGCATCAAGGTGATGCAAAAGCCCAACGAAATTAAGTTCAGAAGAGCCAAGTTGTGGTATTTGAGAGATCAACCCGGAAAGGCTTTCCAACCTCTCCAAGCATTGTGGAAACAAGAACAATTGGAAAAGTCCAAGAAATAAATTTTTCATATTGTATAGAATAATAAAAGATATATATTTATAACCTTTATCCCTTTCTCTTTTTTTTTTAGTTTAATGGGATGGAAGGGAAATAATGCACTTGGGAAAGACCTACACCGCCCTTAATCGTTAATAAATTTTGGATGGGTAAATCATCTCTTAATTTTGTAAAAGCGGGTAATTCTCCTTGTGTCCATTCATCATACATGCAGGTAAACAGGACCTCACCAGCGTCTTGATCATCATCAAATCTAAAATTCCATTTCACTGTGCTAGCCTGGGTATTGGAATAGGTAGTAATCGCATGCATCGTTCCATTCTGATCCGCCTTGATCTCATGCTCATTCACAAGCACACTTAAGCCCTTAATATTCTGGTTACTGAACTTGAATTGACACAATAAGCTATTTTGCACTTTGGTAGCGATATCCACACGACACACACCATCAAAGCAGATCGGGGGAGTAACAATCACTTCCGCTTCCTCTTCTGGGGTTCGACCATACACTGGACTTAACGCCGTACGATACGTACAACGCGTTTGATAGATCAAATATGGACTACATTCCATGCTTTCATACTCTTCCTTGGGTAACACCTGTTTTAACGTCTTTTGAAGAACACCAAAAGATGATCCAGTAATAAGTGCTACAGTGGATAGGGCTTCTGTGGCATTATATTCTTGGTTGAAAACAATACGGTTGGGTGAGATATCCCCATTGAAAGGACTCACAACAATACATATCAAGAACAAAACAATGAAAATAGCAGTCGTCCAAAGTGCCATCTTTTTCAATTCTCCAGCTGCGTGTACCCAAGGTAACAAATGAAGAATGATCAACACAATAGGCACAGAAACTAAAAAGTAGACTGAAAAAAAGTGGGAGGGGGGGGGGAACGAATGAGTAAATGTGTATCACTACCCAAACTGAGATGGATAATAACTTACTAGCAGATTCGGGAGTACCATCAGCAGTGGTATGACGCATCGAATCCATTGAAAGAAGCATAAACTCGGTCATCAAAGTAACAGGTAACAAGACCTGAACGACGGAAGCAAGGAAACAAAACTTAGTTCTGGGATGACTTGTCTCTGAATCTGTTTCGATTGAAGGGGACGATGTAGTCACCAAAAGAACAGTTGCCAAAGTGCTGCTGATAAAGAAATAAATAGCAAAATAAATAGCTGCAATCTTTTGAGACCCCAAATAAGTAGCAAAAGCAAGCAAGATCCACCAGAAACTCGTCAAACCGTAAAATCCAACCTGGATATTTGAAAGATTGATTCTACTCACGTTGGACAATCGAACAAGCGCAAGTTGGGAAGCAACCAAACCTAAAAATGCAGCTACAGTTAAATAAACAGCAACGGATTTAATACTTCCATAAGTAGCCGATGGATTAATCAGTAACATAATCCAGGCAGCAAAGGAGACAAACAGAACCATAAATGCTAAAGCAGTAATTGTAGCAATCAAACCTTGCGCAGTGAGTGCTATATTGCGCTTTAAGGAACTGAGCTTTTCACCCACATCTGTGGTTTCAGTACCAGAATTAGAGAACCAAGACCAAGTAAACAAGGCAAGAGGAACAAATATTAAGGACAAGATATTGATCAATTGGCAGGTAAAGAAACTATAGACCAACATGACACGACCCAGAATATCATAATAAATGATGGGTTCCGGAGCTCCTGCTTCTTGTAACATGGTTTCACTAGAATCAATACTGAGCACAGAACCTAAAGCCATTTGACCCATATGCTGAAGCGATTGTGGGTTTGTATGAGCTAAATCATCTCTTTGTGTATGATAATGAGATCTAGGATAGTAAAAAGAAATATCCAGACCGGGTACACCGTGTTTTGAGAATACAGTATAATCGGTATCACTCTTTAAAAGCTTTGCTTGTAATAAATCATTTCCCAGAGGAGATGCATGAAACAAGTGGGTGCCCGATGAAGCTAACCCTTTTACGGCAGCTAACGTATTACTTCGAAACAACAATGCACGGCCACCAGCACCCGTACCTTCCAAATTAACATACAACTTGATGGAGGGGAACCATGGATGGTTTACAAACGCATCTGCTCCAATCAGTCCGCCTTCTTCAAAATTATTGAACAAGAAGATGACGGTGTGCTTTGGTGGATGTTGTACAAAATACCGGAGTAATTCAATCGCAACGGCTGTTCCCATACCATTATCTGTGACGCCATTACTAGTAGATACGCTATCTTTTGTATGAACAAGGATGAGAGATTAGTAATGATAAAACTCTGTTATATATATTTTAAAGCATACCATAATGTGCATTCACCATAAAGGCTTCATCTGTGTTGTTTGATCTTCCTACCAGACGAATAATCACGTTTCTCGATTCAACCAACCAATATTCCTCTTTTAAAGTACAACGAGTTTATGTAAGTTTTCAGCAAGGCTTCTTTTTATAAACACTATAAGTTACCTGTGCTGAATTTGTTTCTCTTTGAGACAAGGTCTGTAGGGTCGTCAGCAATAATTTCCATATGAATACCATTTTGTGTAGCTTCTTGTTTAAAGCCTTGAGCTAATTCGACAATCCAGTCCTTAATGTAGCCATTCTCTCTTTGGTTTGCAGAATGAGGAGCTGTAAAACGCGAAAGGTATTCATTGTAGCAATGAATGCCGGGAAAGTCGTTTAATTCGCGAGCTTCCGTATCGGATAATGGTGTCGGTAAGGTATTTCTGATACTAGCAACAGATAAGACCAACAAGAGAATAAAGCCAACGACACGGACAAAGGTGAAGTTAGTAGAAGGTTTTTTGACAGGTGTCTCTATTAGTCTTGATAATAGAGGAGTTTCCTCATTGGTTTGGGAATTCATATTTATCAAAAAAGTAAAGATAAAAAGAGATCAAGCGTGAGATTTTGAGGGAAATTATAATTTTTAATTTTAAAACTCCCAAGTGATTCATGCTTGTTGATGTCAAAATGCTGACTAGTTAAGCACACGTGTATTTAATAGAAGGGGAGAAATTGCCTTTTCTTTTCTTTTTTTCTTCTTCTTCTCTCTCTCTTTTTATTTTTATATTAATATCAATGACATTACATTACATTATAGCTTTTTTGATCTTTTTGAAATTAATTGTGAGCTATTTGAAGAGGAATACACAACCACCCACCAATGACGAGCACGAAAAAAAGGAAATTGACCAGAGGAAAGCCAGAGACAGTGAAAGCAAAACTAGAACAGTGAATTATTTATCAATATAGGTTACATCTAACACTCATACGCCAGTCATTTGACTATACCCCCCATCTTTTATATATATATATAGTGCTTTGTTTATTTAGCATGTGAAATAATTAGCTATTTTATGCGCTTATTTGATAATCATTTGTAAAATATTCCTTTTCATGATCTTGGATAAACCTAAAATAAAGAAACGTTTGACCCCATATATATATATATTTGTAGTTTACTTGTTTTTTACCTTAAAAGATCTTCAAACTTTTCCTTTAATTCTGTTGATGTATCTGCGTCTATATTTGTTTGGCTGACTAGAATTGGAATTTCCACTGCAGTTAAATAATGTTAGCTTTTAAATCTAATCATGCTCGACTCAATCATATTACCAAACAATCGTAGTAAGTGCTCTATACCGTAGGTGCTACTAGGTTCTTTGTCAACACATACTTCATCATATTGTTTACGCTCCATTCGATATAATAGTGATGTGCTTAATAATTTATTGAAATATAATTGGATTCCTTGTATAAACTCATCCAGCATTTCATCCTTTCTGTATACATGATATTAGTCCTGACTTGCCACACAAACCTTCCCCCTTTTTTTTAAAAAAAAAATTCAATCTTACGAGTGATATTGGTCTTTAAAGCTGTCTAATATATGATCTACGGTGACTTCACGTGGAAGGTTCAAAAGCTAACAAAAAAAAAAAAAAACTTAGTTGCTGTCCACTCATCAATAGATGCTATCTCTACCTGTCTATTTTTCGTAACGTTTTCCCAATCGTCCACGAGCAAACCTTTTAATGTGTCTGGTATGATTAATTTAAACTCTGGTTTTTTAGTCTCTTCTTCCTATTTAAAAAGTTCATTAATATCCAATCTAATTTGCACAGCCACAGCTTACTAGTCTTGCTTTATCTATACTTGAATCGCGATGTCTTTTTCTACTTCTTGATTCTGTATCGTGTATTAATGCTACATTAGCCGCTGTAGATGAGGCACGGGAAGGTTTTCTTTTGGAATTCATTTCTTTTAATTGTCGTTGTTTTTGTAAATTGTCATCTGTATATTTCAAGACTCTGTCTTCTGATACCCACTCATCCCAGCTATTTGTATCTTTAAAAATTTAATTAAACTGTATAAAGGGGGTTGTCTGTAGTTATTCAAGGGGGGACTAGATATGTGTTTGACTTACGTCTGCTTCCAGCCTTTATAATGAACAAAATACTCTTCTTGTTCATTATCCTCTCTTTTGTCTCTTTTTAAAATCTAATTGATGAAGTTTTAACCATCTCCATGAATTCTTTATTTTTTTTTTTTTTTTTTTTTTTTTTTTACTTTGGCTTCATAAATAAATGGCCCATGATAACATAGCACTCTTTCATCTCTTTCAAAGTTAAACTTTTCGTCTTTCACCATTGTGTATGTTTACATTAAAAATAGATTTTACTTTTTTGGGAAGGGATGGAATTCAGAACGCGTATTAGCAGTCATGATAATTCCATGTTTTTCATTCCCCATTCAATCATGGGTGGGGAAGATGCAATTTATTCTAGGTATCCGTTGTCATGTATCATACCCAACGCAACAATAAACGGAGGAATGATATTGTTTTGACTTTTTGTTGCCAAAAATAAAATGTTCGCATCGTTTTTGGGCAGCTTCCGTTTAAATGGATCGTTCCCCTCCAAAATAGAGCATTATTACACTTGTTTCTATAGATTTATTCTTATTTGAAACCTTTGACACGTATGAAATGTCAAAATGCTTAATTAAATATATGGAACTTCCTTCTGATAATCCGAGATCTCATTTGCTATATGACGTGTTCTGACATTCCATGAGAATTAGCTGTAAATGATCATATCATCCTGTTAGAGACATGTGTGATAGTATAAATTGCTCAACAATCTTTTAATTATGCCTTTGTGTGATGCATACTTGTAATAAAGTTACAGGCAGAGGTTGAGTTGCTTTAAAGTTACTTACAATTGTGATTGTTTTCAATCTCCGGTTTCCGTGTCCACAAACCCCCCTCCCCCTCACTATAGGTGGGTGTTTCGACTTATTCACTTCGTTTCTGCACGATTGTATCTATGATTGAGACCCTTTATATTTCAAACAACGCCCAACACTCATATCGTGCGATTTCCAGTCTTTGGTTCTTTTTCCCTGGGAGATCAATATTTTATCATTTTAGCCAAACAAATTTTACAAACTTGACTCAATACAGCATGTAATTACTTGGACGCGCATAAATACCAACGAATCGATCAGCTGAATTGTTAATTGTGAGAGAGGATACTAAACTATCCGTATCACAGCTGATAAATGGTGAATGTAAACTGCACACATGATTATTGTGTGATTGATGCAAAGCAACCTTGTTTTTTTTGTAACCCATCAAATAAATGCATGCATCTTGTGCCAAACCCTGGGAGAAGGGGTCATGAGTTTTGGGTTGTCGAACGAAAGAAGAAAAAAAAATTTGAATAGGCAATTCTAATTATTGCTTAACCAAGGTAATAAACATAGTAATTGTATTATTCTGTATTATATGATAACATTGACGTGGCACACAATAAACACTCTTTTGGATAGTGTACTCTCATGTATTCTGACCATGAAGGTTAACTTTGAAATTCATCCTGAACTATAGGACTGTCAAAGAGCAGCAATCCGAATATTAAAATAAGCCAGTATATTCCAATCTCCTGTCCCTTTATTATATACCGATATAATGAGAACTCGTACAAAAATATACCAAGGCAAATTTAAAGAGTTGCTTAAAACGCATGCTTGTCCAGGACGATATGCTTTTTCCCTTACACTTCCCTATCTCCCCAGGAATATCTCCTTTTCCCACCTGATGATGAGTAATCGACTACCACATTCTATTCACCTATCCACTTTGACGCCGCAGTTCAATCAAACCCCCACCAGTGTGCCAAAGAAAGCGTTAGAGAAAAGAGCGTTGACACATCAACTCATGACATTGACCTTGACAATGTCAGTAACGCTACCAAAAAATGGGCATGTATTCTTGATAACTTGGTTGAGATTTTATCTTGTGCATCATGTCCGTATATATGGTGAGCCCTCTACCGAGATTGTTTCAATTTTTACTCTTTCTGGTGATTGTGGACCGATCTAGCAAAGTACAGTTTAGTAAGCCTGCCCGCATGTACTTTTTTTTCATGGTAATTTGCACCTTGTCTATTTTTGTTTGTACAGCTCTATATTTAATAATAATTTTTAGGCCAAATAGACATCAAGGATGTTGTAGTAACATACCGTACTCGTTCGCAATAAACTAAAAATACAAGATTGTGCTACTATCCGTTAAGCACTTACCAGTAACAAGCCCGTTAATAAAAAGAAAAGCGTGGGATCTTGTATAGTACTTGGATCAATACAAGTGGTGTTGCTACTAAGAATAGGTTTTGACTGATCGAAATACTGTATTGCATGATATATATAGTAATATCTAGGGCAGGCAAATCACAATAATTGACAATTAGACTTTTTTTTTGTTTTGTTTGTAACTGTAGCAACCCTTAAAAGTAAAACCTTTACCCGCATTTAGGATATATAATTTTTTTGTAGCACAATTATTTTATGACACCATTAAGTTTTAGCATGAATAAATCAGGGGATTTCTGAATAGAGTCCATTGAGCCCATCTTTTCACTGAGAGAAGATAAGCGCTTCATAACATGCTTTAAACCACAGTTTCAGCCATACATGCGAAAAAGCAGATGGACAGAAAAAGATATGGGATCCCATATCACGCATGATTCTATTTTCAGTCCGATGACCCCCTCCCAAAAGAAAAAAACAGATTCTTTTATAATAATAAACCCACTTCTCTTTCTCTTTCCAAGGTAGAGATAGACCTACTAGAATAATCCTATAGATAAAAGAGTCATCCATTTATTTTTCAGGCCCAGTTCCATCTATTAAATTGAAATTTTGAATGTTTCTGTGTTAAAAAAAAAAAAGGCTCGAGGCCTTGCGTAACCTACATAAATAACCCCCAAGCCCTTTTTGATATAAATATATACTTGGGTATGGAAAAGCAAGAGAATAAAGAAGGACGGATATCCTATCATTGATAACCAAAAAGAAAAGAAAAAAAAGGGTATCCCTCAAGAACATACACAGCTTTTGTTTGTGCCCCTTTCGGTGTTTGAACCCAAAAAGTGATATAAAAGGTGTTTTCAATGTGCATTATTGAGTTTACTTTGAAACCCCTTCTTTCTCTCTCTCTCTCTCTGTCTTTACGTAACTATGGTTCAAGATAGCAATTATAAGGTAAAATCATTGTCGCCTGCCGTGTCTGCTTTTCAGTTCCATGTCAAGACCCCAAGTGCTACCTCCTCATTAGGACAAGGAGATGGGTTATTAAAGATTTCGACCACCAGCAACACCGCCACCACGAGTAGTAGCAATAGCAATAGCAGCAATAGCGAGGATTATTTTAATAGCAGCAAAAGTTATCAATCTTCACCCAGTACACCGACTATTTCAGGCAAGGAAGGTTATGTGTACAAGGACCAGCTTATTATATTGGATGAAGAAACAAGATTGAAGTTGACACACATGGGACAACTTCCATTAGATGCTGAATGGACCTTTTGGTATGACAAGTAAGTCTTCTTTCAAGTGTGTCTCTATCTTTATTGACCCTATGGGGCATTGCAGATTTGTGCCTAATTTGCCTGCCTCTGACTACGAATCGAATTTAAAAGTGATTTCGACAGCAAAGACAGTACAGGTAAAAGAGTGGTTTTATTTTTTCTCTCCTTTATGTGTAAGCTAACCTTGATAATAATTAGAAATTCTGGTCTATATATAACAACATTGATGGTCCAGATAGACTCGGATTCAGGAGTAATTATCACTTTATGAAAACGGGAATCAAGCCTATTTGGGAAGATCCTCAGAATGAATACGGTGGATCGTATAATTTCAAGATCAATAAACAGCAATCATCTCTAGCTTGGCGAGATATCTTGGTGTTGCTGATAGGTGAAAAGGTGGAAGATTGGATAAAGAATACAGTGTTTGGGGTTTCAGTGTCTTCTCGACAACATGTAGACAATTATCAGATCTGGACAGCGCATCATAATAAAAATATCCAGGATAGCATTGTGCGTGCCAAACTAGAAGAATTACTGTATCCTGCTGATATACAGTCATTTTACTTTAAAAGTAAGTAGTTATTTTATGCATCTTTCATACAAACATTCATCTTTTTTTTTTTTTTTTTTTTTTTAATTTGTAGTGCACAAGACACACGCCGACTTTCAAAAACCCACCACACCCACATCTGCTCATTCACCCAAAACAGATATGGCGGCTTCTTTATCAAGACCTATAGAAATGAGAAGGAAAATCACCGAAGAAAGTATAGAACGTGTTGTTCAAGACATCGAAAAGTTAAAACTGAGAGAAAGAGTTAAATAAGCCACCTTTTTTTTTTCGTGTTTTTTTTATATATATCTTTTTTATTTTCTTTTTTTTTCTCTCTTTTTCTTTTCATCCCAGATTGTAATTATACCTTGAAATAAATAATGAGCAGTGCATCTGTTATTGAAGCTAAACTTGAAGCCGAGTCAAAGGCTTTCCAATTATTACAAAAAGGTACTCTCTAAACTCATCATCATCTGCATCTGTTCTCATCTCTTCTTTAGAACTTGCTCTTGTCATCGAGTCAAGACAACGTTTGGAATCACAACAACAGGAAAACGAACTTGTCAACACCGTAAGACAAAATATAAATTAATATAGAGCGAGCTGTCAATCCTTATTTATACTAGGAATTCGAGCATTTGGATGAAGAGAGCAACATTTACAAACTTATCGGACCTGTCCTTGTCAAGCAAGACAAGTCTGAAGCTTCTACCAATGTCAAGAACAGATTGAACTTAATCTCGAGTGAAATGTAATGTTTATATAATTGTCTTTTGGACTGTTGACTGAATCTTTACATAGTAAACGTGTGGAAACCCAATTAAACGATTTAACGAAAAAATCAGAAGCCAAGAAGAACGAGGTAATCATTTTAATATTATATTTACATTTCAAAGAGAGAAAAAAGATGTACTTATTTAAAACTAAAGATTGGACAATTGCAAATGCAATATCAACAAGTGGCTGCTAAGAAATAAAACCAATAAAGACTATTTTTTTTTTTATGCCATATTTCTCATTGCGAAAATATCCGTCATTTCAAACGTAGCTTCACGCTCTTCTTCTTCCTCTTCTTCCTCTTCCTCTACTTCTTCATACCAATCGTCGTATCGCTTCTTCTTTTTATTTTCGAATTTACCTCCCTTTGTAGTTGCCTTTCCAAATCCAGGTAAAAACTCAAATGTTACTTGACCTGCTTCCGAATTGATGTCTTTCAAAATGACTTGTTTCCAATCGGAGATCTCTGGCGTGTAAGCTGCAGTCAATTCCAAAGTCTATCATTTCTTTTTTATTCAGTCGCGATTTTTTTTTTTTTTTTTTTTTTTTTGCATGAATTTTTTTTTTTTTTTTTTTTTTACCTTGATTGCCAGTTTAGTACCAACCGGTGGTATATTTTCAAAGTTAACCTCAGGGTAATCTTGTTCATAATTAATGGGTTTCTCTGGCTCTTGTGTTTGTTGTTGGTAGTAGGTGGCATTCTCATGATTCATAGCATCATCTTCTTCGTGATGTGCGGATTCCTCTTGTTGTTGTTCATCACATGTAGTTGCCTCCGGGGCATTGAACTGCTGCTGGTGCTGTGCCATTTCATCCTCAGTTAAACCCTGATCAGCATAAAACAAGGTAGGCATGCGGTGAACAGGATATTCTCTCATGGGCTTCTTTCCAGGCGTATTGCGTGGTTTGTGATTGCGCTCAGATTCCTGATGCGTAATAAATGCGCGTCCATAGGGGTTCTTTGACACAGGTTTGGTGTCTACCACTTGCAATGGTGCTGTTGCTGCTAGTGCTGTTGCTGCTGGTGCTGGTGCTGCTGGTGCTGGTGCTGCTGGTGTTTCTTCCTTTTCTACCAACATGGGTTGATCGACCACCACCGCATCCACAGTATCCTGAGCATAATGCATATGGGATCGTTGCTCCATTTGCTTCATATGGTTCTTTTTCTTGTTCTTGTTCTTCTTGATCAGTTGAAGAGGCTCTGCATGAGAAATATCGAGGTTTTGAACCTGAGATTCATGATCCGCCTTGGGTTTCTTTGCCAAGGTTTCCATTGGGGTAACGGCAGTGGTGGCCTTGGATGCTTCTGCTGCTCTGCGCTTTCTCTTGAGTTCTCGACGACGTAAATTGCGTTGCTTTGTTCTGATTTCACCTTCAAAGGGAAGTGACTTGTTTTTGTTTGTCGCGACTTTTTCTTGTGTTGCTTGGTCCTCTTTTGCTGGTTTAACTTCTTTCACTGGTTTGACCTCTTTTGCTGGTTTGACCTCTTTTGCTGGTTTGACCTCTTTTGCTGTTTTAACCTCTTTCACTGGTTTGACCTCTTTTGCTGGTTTGGCCTCTTTCACAGGTTTGGTCTCTTTCGTCTGTTTCGCTTTTTTCACTGGTTTGGCTTCTTTAGCTAATTTGGCTTCTTTAGCTGGCTTGGCTTCTTTAGCTGGTTTGGCTTCTTTAGCTGGTTTCACCACTTGCACAGGTTTGGCGGATTGGATTAATTTAACGGGTGCGGTGATATCTTTGGCCTTCTTTTTCTTTATTGGTTCCACTTCTTCTTTTGCTGCAGGATAAAAATGAATACTCGTGTCTGTTATTTAAAGAGGAATACTTACGGGTACTACTTCTTTTTCTTTTGCTTGACGAAGGTGTTGCCACCGACTTGTCTTGATTAATACTAACAGAAGTTGAAGAAAAAAGAGGATGAGAAAAAAGGGGAAGGAGGGGGAGGGGGTGTAATATAAACAATAGAGCAATCTCAATTTTTATCTTACGTGATAAGATCACCGTCACGCACCAGATCCTTCAATGCAGTTTGAGGAAGTAAATGGAATCCATCCATCGATAATTGAAGGTTGGAAGGTTGTACATCAAGTTCCAGATCGTTTGTAATCTTTTTACGTAAGTCGTGGATCGTTTCTTTTCCAGCCTTTTCCTTGACAACAAACCAACAATTGATTTTCGGTAAAGGTGAGCTCGTTTTAAGCTTGATACGCATTTTGTTGTATACGGAAAGAAGAAAAAAAGATGCAATATGGTCAAAAAAAAAAAGTTGTCAAAATAAGCGAGAGAAAAAAAAAGGTTTTGTGACTGTGTAAAATAACTTTTATTTTATTAAGGGGGGGGGAGATATGAAAGAAAGGAAAGGATTTAAGCATCCTTGATCTTCTTGGTACCACGGAGGAGACCAGTACGACGAGCAGCAATCAAACCAACCTTTTGACCAGCAGGAGAGTCACGAGCCATAGTGGAAGCCTTACCAATATGTTGATGGTTACCACCACCATGGGGATGGTCAACGGGGTTCATAGCAACACCACGAGTCTTGGGCCAAGAGTTACGCTTGACTCTGTACTTGTGGAAAGCACGACCAGCCTTCAAGAGGGGCTTATCGATACGACCACCACCAGCAATGATACCAATAACGGCACGAGAGGTAGAGGGAATGACCTTCTTGGAACCAGAGGGAAGACGAATACGGGTCTTACCATCATCACCATGACCAATAACGGTAGCGTAGTTACCGGAGGTACGGGCAATGGATCCACGATCACCAACCTTCTCTTCGACGTTACAGATAACGGTACCTTCGGGCATAGAGGCCAAGGGCAAAACGTTACCAATGTTCAAAGAAGCCTTCTTACCGGCATAGATGAATTGACCAGTGTATAAACCTTCAGTGGCAATGAAAGTCTCGGTACGGAGCTTGTACTTGTAAGGATCACGGAAGACAACCTTGGCAAGAGGGGCACCTCTTCCAGGATCGTGGATGATATCCTTGACAATACCACGAACATAACCATGACGTTCAGCAAAATCAAAGACTCTGAGCTTGGCAGCACCCTTACGACCAACGGTGTGGGAACGGAAAATACTTCCGGCACCCTTTCTCTGAGCACGAATGACACGACCCATTTAAAAAATAATATTCTATAATTTACACAGCGTTAGATTTCTTTGCTCTCATTGGCAATTCGGTCATGACACACATAGAATAATAGAGACTGTCCACACTGCTCGTAGTTGTCATGGTTTCTCGTTCAAATGTTGAAATCGTTTAATGTCTTTCTTTTTTTTTTTTGTCATCGTCGTTCAGCAAAAGTTTAAAAAAAATGTATCCAATATCCATTCGTTCCATCCATCCATCCATCCATCCATATGTATATTTTTTTAAAATCATTCATCATCACCATGTGTCCATCTATATCCTGTGCGTCATGACCTGGCTTTTTTTTCTTTAATGAGACCTACCCTACTTGGGGGGGAGAGAGAGAAGGAGTTGAACGGATTGGCTTGGCTGAATGACTTAAATCCCACTTTGCTTCCCTCCCCTCCCCCCCTTACCAATTGACACTCCGCCCGTAATTTTAAAACATGTGCCTCAAAAAACTCGGCCTTATTTAAGAAGCTTGATCATCATACGGCCTATACATAGCATTGTATTATCTCGTAAGTAGGTCTTTCCCCTTCATCATCCCTTAATTTCTGCTATTTATCTAGGAATGCTTTTTTGAAGGAAGAAAAATCTTGCGGTAGTTAATAATATTAGCTGCGACCAATGCTAGCAAAAAGCTTAGGCTTTAAAATTTAATGGAGGTCACTCCACTCGTCTAGTATATTACTGTTGAAAATAGCTACGCATTAATGGTGTATATCCGCTTCCTCTAGTATTTGTCGTCATTAAAGATAATCAAACAAGTCAATACGACATATCTGAAAGTTTAGATTTTATAGATGGATGAAATATTTACACGCTTGCCGCTTAAAAGAAGAGAGTCTTTCTCGGGAATAAATTGTATTTATGCATTCACAGTCAATTTTTTCTGGTTACAGATTTATCTTAATGGTATGAGGAAGCTTGTGCTTGTAATTTAAAAAAACAAAAGATATGACATACCCGTATCAGTTACTATTTAGGATGACGCTTCATTATCTAGTTTAGTGTATTTATCCCAAGGACGTTTCTTAATGTCGCTGTATTCCAATTTAGTTCTATACACTTATTTTTTACATTTAAAGGCTATTGTTAGACTCTGATCAAAAATATCTGTAAGAGACCACTCAATTCTCTCTAGATTGCCCCCAGGCCATTGGAATCTTACAGTCCAACCTCGCCATAAATTGGCTTATTGTTTCAGCCACGAAAAAAAAAGCTCTAATTCATGTGAAAAACATTCTTTTACCATGTCGTAAGAAGGATAAATACAAAACGAAAAGAATTTCGATACAAGTAAAGTTTCCTAAATAAAACTACCCCTACACTTGCATCGTAGTCAGATATATAAATCTCTTTTTCTTTTTACCAGTGACCCCCATCTTATTGTGAAATAGATTCATTATCCTGTATAAATCCTTTTCTCTTTCTTATGTTTAGTTTATGATGTTTTAATCAAATATTTCTATTCCCTATTTTAGTTTGCCTTTTTGTTTGTCTCTCTCTCCCAAAAATATAAAAGAGATACCCTTAACACAATGTTTAACCTCAAATACAACTTACACGTGTGATTATACTTTTCAATGGTATCTTATTTGCCCTCTCACAGCATTATAAAGAAGGCTAATACCGTGTGTCAGGGCTAGTGTATACAGATGCATTGAAAGAGCTCATTACAAGACTTTGCATATATTTCTCAAAATATTAAAAGACACTAAATTGAGCGAATTGATTGAATGTTATAACATAATACAACTGAAACATCCATGAATACGATAACGACAGTTTATTTGACACATTCGCTATACAAACAGGCAGGTCTTGTACACATTTTTTTTTCTTGCTTTAAAAAAGCAATATTGTTCAACAATGACATTACAGCAAGGAATGCTTATAATTTACCCCTTTTTGAAAAACAACTGGCGTATCTATTGGGATATAATAAACAATATAATATGTAGACGTCGAATGCAAGCTTACGTACCCAATCTTAGCGCTACGTGGACAGAAATACCTTTGATATCTGCTACGCACGCCTATTTCTAGTGATATAAAAGATATCACCTACACCCTAATATTATAGACATAGAAGATACATACATATAATACTTTGTCCAGTATCTTAGATACGCATAATATTATACACGCCAAAAAAAGAAAAGAAAAACGGGTCTAAGGCTTGAACAACTAGGCTAGACGAAGTAAAAAGGCCACCCTGTTAAGGATGATTTGGTTGAAAAAAAAAAGTATGATCCAACAAGAGGTAAAATAAGAATAATATTTTAAAGACAAGGAAGATGTAATATTTGATGTCTATAAGACTTTGATTTTAATCCGATACGAAATTATTCTTACAACCTACTACATAAATTGCTTTGGTATCTTATTGGTTATGAATGTTCCGTATTATATATTTAAGACAAAACATAATAACTGGGCAGTAATATGACAGATGAGACCTGGATGTGATAGCTAGACAGATATATGATAGTTAAGACCTTGATGTAATAACGGTCAAGCAAGTTTGTGATACACGAGAAGAGAAACTCAATCGAGCGAGGAACAATTTTTAAACGTTTGGATCATTTTTTTTTTTTTTTTTTTGATGCTGCCTCCGAAAACAACAAGATTGTAAATGATGTTGACTAAACGATTTCCAGTTCCAATCTCAGAATAAACGTGCGGCCGTGTATTTTTAATATTCTCTACAGTCAGTATGATTTTGCAGGACTACGAAGTTGTTGGGGGTGTAGTTTTTGATCGACGTGAAAAACAGGTAGATCAAGCAGAAGACTAATACACCGAGCGGTTTATATACATACCTATGTGCGTATCTATACATACATACTGAAAATATACGTGTAAGCTTCTTTGGCTGACGGTATAAATGTAGTAAGGGGCTTTATTCGAAGATTCTAACCGAAATATTGCTTGTTTTGCGTAACCGTGCGATATACGGATACCGCGGGTGATATGCTTGCTTTTAAGTAGCGGCCCTACCCAATTGGATCAACCAAAATACATGTGGGAAAACAATTCCATGCTTTTACCTGGTTCATATTGTTAGATCCCTTCCTTCCTTCACAAAAAGCCTTAATCCTCTCATATCTATATAGTTTTCTTATTCATATTTTAAATATCGTTTCATACGCCATTTGGCTCTAATAATAGCATAACTGAGATGAGATTAGCTATAAAACTGCTTTGCATATTGTCGGAAATGAAAATTTAATTTTTATCTTGGCAGTAACATAATAACTGATCCCTAACGACATGAAAGATCCTATACCAAGACATTTTTTTTTCTAAAGGAGAGAGCGATCAATTAGCGGCCATACAATTTTAAAAATAAACATGTGTATCACTGCATGAAAGCTGTCATATCGGACTACCTAGGTCCCGAACAAACTTTTTGGAAAAGGTATATAAACGTACAAGTTTGGCGTCTCAATTTCATTTTATTAACAACACAAACAATCCAACCCACCTTCCTTAACCATCAACATGAGACTCTTTATTGCCGCTTCTGCTGTACTTGCCTTAATCGGTTCTTCTCAAGCTCTTCCCACTCCTTCTTGTCAACAGACCCATCAAGGTTTGTTTTTGTTACAATGGATCGAATATCATACGCTAACTCTCTTTTTCATATTAGTTGTTGCTGGTGAGACTTGTAAAACCATTGCCTTGAAGTATGATCATTCTCAAGCTGATATCCAGCAATGGAACAAGAAGTTGAATACTCAATTTAACTGTGACTCCATCAACATTGGCGATGTTATCTGTATCAATGTAATGTTATTTTACCTTAAATTCATATGAAGTAGAAAATTTAATCTTTTTTTTTATATACTTTTAGTATGCCTCCATTGGTAAGCGTGATGTCAACGACAATATGGTCAAGCCCAAACCCAAGCATACTACTACCAAGCACCACAAGAAGCCTTTCCATACCACCACCGTAAAGAAGCATGTCCCTGCTCCTACTCATGCTGCTGAGGCTCCTAAGGATAACAACAATGCTCAATCTGGTCAACAATCTGGTCAGCAATCTGGTCAACAAGCTGATATCAACAAGCGTGGTAACAAGGATGATGAACCCAAGCCTAAGCCCAAGCATACTACTACCAAGCACCACAAGAAGCCTTTGCATACTACCACTGTTAAGAAGCATGTCCCTGCTCCTACTCATGCTGCCGAGGCTCCTAAGGATAACAACAATGCTCAATCCGGTCAACAATCTGGTCAACAAGCTGATATCAACAAGCGTGGTAACAAGGAAGATGAACCCAAGCCTAAGCCCAAGCATACTACTACCAAGCACCACAAGAAGCCTTTCCATACTACCACTGTCAAGAAGCATGCTCCTGCTCCTACTCGCGCTGCTGAGGCTCCTAAAGATAGCAACAATGCTCAATCTGGTCAACAGTCTGGTCAACAGTCTGGTCAACAGTCTGGTCAACAGTCTGGTCAACAATCTGGTCAACAATCTGGTCAACAAGCTGATATCAACAAGCGTGGTAACAAGGAGGATGAACCCAAGCCTGAGCCTAAGCATACTACTACCAAGCACCACAAGAAGCCTTTCCATACTACCACTGTCAAGAAGCATGCTCCTGCTCCTACTCGCGCTGCTGAGGCTCCTAAGGATAGCAACAATGCTCAATCTGGTCAACAGTCTGGTCAACAATCTGGTCAACAATCTGGTCAACAAGCTGATATCAACAAGCGTGGTAACAAGGAAGATGAACCCAAGCCTGAGCCCAAGCATACTACTACCAAGCATCACAAGAAGCCTTTCCATACTACCACTGTCAAGAAGCATGCTCCTGCTCCTACTCGCGCTGCTGAGGCTCCTAAGGATAGCAACAATGCTCAATCTGGTCAACAGTCTGGTCAACAATCTGGTCAACAATCTGGTCAACAAGCTGATATCAACAAGCGTGGTAACAAGGAAGATAAACCCAAGCCTGAGCCCAAGCATACTACTACCAAGCATCACAAGAAACCCTTCCCCACCACCACTGTCAAGAAGCATGTTCCTGCTCCTACTCGCGCTGCTGAGGCTCCTAAGGCTAACAACAATGCTCAATCTGGTCAACAATCTGGTCAACAATCTGGTCAAGCTGATAACAATAACCACAACAACTAACTAAAATATTTTCCATCAAAATCTGTATAATCGGCATTCGTAGACTTGCCTTAGAATATGTACCAACAAGCAAACACAAAACCCAAAAAAAAAACATTAACTAGGCTTTGACTCTTTTTTTCTTGATCGTTATAATCTTTTTTTGAAATAAAACCTAGTTCCAAATAATTTATATCTGTCTATTTAAGTACGCCGAGTATCCCAATTAGGAAAATCTGAATCTATCATTAGCCTTGATATGTACTATAAAAGTATACGCCGATCTTTCATGTCATTACACGAACAATATTTTAAGTCACAAAAAAAAAAAAAAAAAAAAAAAAAAAACCATGACGGGCATTTATATTACTAGCTACTAATAAACCTACAAAACTAAAGCTATTAGAGGATTATCTAAGAATACCATACCTTGTTGTCACCTATATAGAGTTTAATAAGTACTTTCAATAAAAAAGATGTTTCATAAAATTGACAGCAAAAAAAAAAAAAAAAAAAAAAAAAAAAAAAGAAGAAAAAAAGGCATTCGTAGCAGGAGGGTGCTGTATTTTTAGGCACTTCATTTACAGAGTGCAAGAGAACATTATCAGGGTACTCCAAGAGGCTATTACTGATACTCGCCATTCTTTTCATCTCTAAATTGTACTTTATAGAGAGAGACCTTATCATACAGAGTGTGCCAAATATATCCGAAAGTTCTTTCATTCCATTTCATTTTCTATCCGAGCTACTTTAGCAGGCGTACCATTCCGGTTACTGATGTTTTTGAAATGAAGGATCTATTCGATTTTAAATCAGTATGTCTCATTTTGAAAAAAAGGAAAAGAAAAATGAATAGACAGACAGATTATTTACTTTTACGACGAGTTCCATTGTTCAGAAGTGTTGGTGTATAGTATTCAAACACAAGTAAAGAACCTAAGTGAAAGCAGATATTATCCAGAAAAGAAACAGTTTGAAAAGGGCACCCTTTATATACCTTAATTTAAAGTGTTTGAACCTATTCAAAAAAAGGAAATAGATCAATTAGTTACATAACATTTGTTTACAATAACAATAAATATCCCATTTTTTTTTTTTAAATAGACTGGCTTCATGTTGGGCCACCTTAATAAAATGTTACAACACCGAATGAAAGAAATGAAGAGAATAGTAAGCTCAAAATATATCCACCTGCAAGAACGTTTGTTTTTATGATAGCAAAGCATACTTGGTTGATAGTGAAGCAGGTTTTAATTTGTAGATAAAAACACATTGCTCACCCAAAAACTAATAATTTTTTTAGATTTTAGTTGCCGCCCGCTCGATATAAGGGTGAAAGTGAATAAAACCCTTAAATCGAACGGTAATCTAATCCGTTTTTTTAAACATTGGATGAGGTCCGACTTTTATTTTTTGAAAAACACAAATTTTTAGCAGGCAAACTTAATAAAATGCGTAGAAGCTGTGACGGACCTCGTCCATTTTTTGAATATTTGGATGACCTGAAAAAAATCACAACGTCTTTAGACCCTCAAAGACCTACAATGCACACACACATAATGTACAACGACATTTTCTCAAGAAGTCCTTTGTAATTAGGAGCCAAACTCTCTAGCCTACATGTTCTTTACAAAAGGCATCACCCAAGAACCTTACGTTCGAGCTTTGGGCTACTAGAGGGCGATGAGACCACCTGTATTCTCCATCTGTCTGATTGAGTCATGTAAGGATCGTCAAACCCCATTGGTATACTTTCCAATGACATGTACTAAAGCGGGATCCTTTGTACCCTTAAAAAAAGCTTGCTTCATGAAAAGATATTACAACAAGTGTTTTGAGGTCAACAAAGAGGTCAAGTTGTATATGTAAGTGTCAACAATCATGAGTATCACAAGCATGATTGAAAGGATATTTTTGTTTGTATATGTAATTCATCTTTTATTTATTGATATAAAAAATGTAGAAATGAGAATATATATGTAAATTTACAAGATATGATTTTTTTTTAAATGATTTCCTAGTTTTCAAGTGTAGCATCGCTATCTTCAGAAGCTTGTTGCTTATACTTTTGTGCATTGGCGACGAGTTTAGCAAATCGATTTTTGCCATGGCCTTCTGTATTTGCAGTAGCACCATAACTTGTATTGGGTGCACTGAATGCTGCCGATTCAGAGTTACGAGTAGAAGAACGGCGAGGAATATCACGAGAGTTACCACGGTTACGACGAAGAAGAGAATATACACGAAGTTCATTACGGACATCACCAATTGCACCTTCCCAATTCATACGAGAGTAACTAGCTAAAGGCTTGGCCTCTTCATTGTATTTACCTTCACAACCACAATCAGGAATTAAACGGATAATGGTACCAACGGGGATAGAAAGAGAGCCAATCAAGACGGTAATCAACCATTGTTCACCTGTCAAAGGGACAGTCTTGAAAGCAATACCACCAAAGGTAACAATCAAGTATTGACCTACAACTACAACAACTTGAATAGCAAGGAAAATCCAGTTGTCAAACATATCCTTGAAGACATTGATAGTGTTATCAATACGTCTACAGTTAATTTCGTTAAAGACTTGAAGGAAGACAAAGATATTGAAGACCATGGTACGCAAAACTTCTTGATCATAGGTAGAGTCACCAAGATGGAAGATACGAGGACCGAGATAGATGGCAACTAAATTGATAATAATTTGGAAAATTGCTTGTCCCAAAATCATCTTAGCCATGCGGAAATTGATCAAGTGAGCATTCTTGGAGATGGGTTTACGATGAAGTAAATCTTGGGTAGGGGGTTCAGTAGCCAAAGCCAAGGCAGCCAAGGTATCCATAATCAAATTGACCCAGAGTAATTGAACGGCACTCAAAATACTTTCAGCATTTTCAGAACCAATAGCAGAGATGAAGGAGAGAACCACAGCGGCAATATTCACGGTCAATTGGAAAGTTAAGAACTTACGAACACCATCATTTACAGCACGACCCCAGAGAAGAGCCTTCAAGATGGAATTGAAGTTGTCATCCATCAAAATAATATCAGAGGCTTCCTTAGCAACTTCAGTACCAGCAATACCCATGGAGAAACCAACATCGGCCAACTTGAGTGCAGGACCATCGTTTGTACCATCACCAGTCATACCAACCACTTGGTCTTGTTCTTGAAGACGGGTCACGACCACAGTTTTATCAGTAGGAGAAGAACGGGCCAAGACTTGAAGACGAGGAATTACCTTGCGCTGTTCTTCAACAGACATGGCACGAAGTTCGGGACCTGTCATAGCAAGACCACCCTTTGTCAAGATACCAGCATTACGAGCAATAGCTTTAGCAGTATTTAAATTATCACCAGTAATCATACGAACAAATACACCGGCATCACGGAAAGCAGCAACAGATTCAACAACACCAGGACGTAAAGGATCCATAATGCCGACAATACCAATCAATGTGAGATCCTCAAGAGGAGGTTCTTCATCTGATACACCTTTATAGTCACTAGAAGAGACATCACGATAGGCAAGAGCAATAGTACGGAGAGCTTGATCGGCATAACCAGAAATAACCGTGTTAAATTTAGTAGCTACCTTTTCAGTCAAATCTTGAACTTCGCCCTTGTTATCGATATAATGTTTACAAGTACCGAGAACAATTTCAGAGGCACCTTTGACATGAATACGGTATTCGGATTGAGTGGTAGAAGAAGCAGAGTTTTCCTTGGTTTTGGAAATAGTAGTCATGGTCTTTCTCTTGGAAGCAAAAGGATAGACTTTAACAATATCAGCATCATGACGAAGATCCTCGTACTTGCTACCTAATTTTTTACTGAAGCCTAACAAAGCACATTCGGTCTTGGAACCAACAAATTCAACTTGTCCATTTTCAGTCTTGTCTTCGAAAGCGGTAGAATTAAGGGCGATGGTCTCTAAGATTAAGGGCAATACATTCTTCTTGTCTACCTTCTTGCTCCAGTCCTTGGCTTCCTTTTCGGATTCGAATTCTTCTTGAGCTAAAGTACCTTGAGTAACGGTCATCTTGTTTTGAGTCAAGGTACCGGTTTTATCAGAACAAATGGCGGTGGCGTTACCCATGGTTTCACAAGCGGCCAAGACACGCACAAGATTACTATCTTTGAGCATTTGAGTAGTAGCAAAGGCAAGAGCCATAGTGACAGCCATGGGAAGACCTTCGGGTACAGCAACGACAATGATAGTAATAGCTTGAATGACGATACTAATCATGGAAGCAGCAATATCACCGGCAGGAGGGAATTCAGGAGCAAGGAAAGCAGTAACAAAATATTTAATCACTAAAGCGATCAACATGGTAATAGCAGCAGCAAAACCTAATTTGGCAATTTGCTCAGCAAGGGTGTCCAACTTCATTTGAAGGGGAGTGCCTTCTGCCTCGCCACTACGCATGGACATCATGGTTCTACCAAAGAAGGAATTCTCACCCACGGCAATTACAACAGCACGACCTACACCTTCAAGTACCTTTGAACCAGAAAGAATGAAACAATCACCCTTTTCTTCAGGTTGCTTCTTCATGGTATCGGATTCACCGGTAGCAGAAGATTCATCACAAGCCATGTTATGACCTTCCAAGAAGAGACCGTCAACAGGAATAATATCTCCAGGTTCTAACATTAATACGTCACCGACGTTTAAATCATAAACACTAATTTGTTGTTCACGTCCACTTCTTAAGACTTTGACTGTTCTATCTTCCTTCTTTGCATTTAATTTTTTAAATTGTGCTTCCTTTTGATAATCGTTGACGGCATTTGTAAGAATTACAGCCAACACAGCCACAATAATTGCTGTGCCTTCAACCCTAAAACGATAACAATAAATCAGGTTTTAATATTAATTTGAAATTCTATATTTGAACAAAAATATTACCATCCAACACGAGGTTCATCTTCAGGATGACGAGGAGAATAATCTTCCCAGATACCTACTGCCAACGAAACTAAAGAAGCGATACTTTTTAAGAAGTTAATATTGACGTCATTTCGAAACAAACAAAAAATAAGGTGTTACCTCAACATGATTAAAGTCTTATCGTTATAAGCAGCCCATAAGAGTTGTAAAAAGGTCTTGCTTGGGGGTTCGGGTAAAACATTACGGCCGAAATGAGCTTGACGATCAGCAAACGCTTGCTCACTGGAAGAGCTTGAGCCTTCATCGGCAGAAAGACCAACCGAGGTATCAACGCCAATCTTTTTGCAAATGGCTTTTACACCACCAATCTTCTTTAGTAAGTCAAAGTTCTTTGGGTCAATAAGATCACTAAGTTCTTTTGCAGACATGTCGAAATGTCCATTGGAGCCTTCATGTAAAAGTGCGTCACTTTCACTTGTCGGCATTTTTTTGAACAGGAAATTTATTTAAAATAGGAAAGTTAAAAAGAAAGGCAGAATTTATTTTTAAGAAAAAAAAAGTTGTCACTTTTTATAGTTTATCCCAAGCAATAAAAGAAGGTGCAGATCTTTCCTAAATATATATTAGCGCTGTGACACTACACCCTAAATAACTATTTTATTATTATTATTTTAATGCATCATCTAATATATCCACGAAATCATCCAAAGAACCAAGGTCATCGTCTGTCGTACATTGTGAACTAGGCGCCGTCGTAACTTTGGATAGGTGAGACTTGCCTCTTTTCGTTACCCGTGCACGTCTTTTCACTGCCAAGATGATCGAATCGCTATCATCATCTCCGCCACTCTCTCCGCCACTGCCCTCCTTTTCTCGCTTTCGCTTCCACGATTTGCGCATTTGTGGGCTATCAGTTCCTTCTTAATTAATATGCATTACCCATTGGATTTATAAAACCCGCGCGCCTAATTATTTTTACCTGTCCGTGGTGGTATCTGAGTCTGTATCCCAGACATCATCAATTCCGCTTTCATTGATAAAATCTTCCACTTCTCTATCAGCATCCTCCCAATCTACCAGCACTTCTTGCTCTTCTTCTTCATCTTCTTCTTCTAAAAGTGGTGTGGATTCGGTATCACTCTCGTCCGAATTGGTTAAAGCGTAATTCTCTTCGTTTTGTATCTGCCATCGCGCGGTGCTATCAAGTAACCAGGCAGGTGTGACAGTGTGGATTGAATGTCCATATTCTCTTGCCGCTTTTACTTTACTACCGGACTTAACTGCAATTAGGTGTGTTGTCTTTCCGGTCAAATCCATGGAGCACACCGCGCCAAAGGATGTGGCCATTTGCCAAATCCAAGAGAAGGTTGGATCTTTCATGGGTGGTATCACATCTGAAAATGCAATGATGACACCTTTTAAAACATCTTTCTTTAGTCTTGGTATAATGTGTGTCACATCCGCTTCTTTATCGTGGGGGTCTCTGGCATAAAAATCATGATGAACCAGTTTTAAAATCTAATCCCTCGTTGTAAGTATAATATATAATAAAAAACGGGTTGGGGGAAGGGTGATAATAAATCTATATTTACTTTCAACATTGTGTGCAATTCATTGTCGTCATCCTTAAATAATGGGGCACCGTCATTTCCTATGAGTTCCAAATTTAATCATTTCCGCACCCCTTGTAACATGTATTCTCTTTTTTACCTGATGTACCAGCCACGATGAGAGCGGAGTCTGGTGTAACTTTCGGCATCATCTATATAATCGTGTTAGGCTTAGGGTCAAAATATACAAACAACACCTTGCCTTTTTAAAGGGACAATTAATGTCTCCAATTCCCACAAAATATTCGTCTTTTACAGAATGATCAGCCATGATGTCATTTTCTTTTTAAGCTTTCTTTCTTTCTTATTCTTACATGGTTTAATACGAATTAGATTGGGTGAGAAACTCCAAACATCAGAACGATCATCTAAAACCACTACCATCGAAGTATCGCATGGAAATAGCCTTTGAAGCTTTTTTTGGGTTACACCTAAATAGTTTTTTTTTTAAAAAAAGTGAGAAAACCTAGCCAACCACAACAACAACAACAAAAAAGCTTACTTCCACTTTCATCTCTGGATAGTATTCTTTCCTTAAAAATGGTGCCCTTTGGATCAATTTCTTTGGCTACTGCCTCCGCATAATCTCTGGTACCCATGGTATAAATGTGTAATTCATATAATTTCTCAACTTCATTCAGAAATTCATCTAATCCCGGTCTAAGCTTGATATAATAAGTGGTATTATCTGGCAGTTGAAATTCACGTATATCGTCTGTGTTTTCTCCCTTAACAAGTTCTCCCACACGCTGATCCCAGGAAGCGTGTACAATTGTCTGATCCAAATCTAATATCAAGGATAATTTCTGACACTTTAATAAGCGTCTGGCATTTTCTGCCTCTAATCTTTCCGCTTCCTGTTGATTTAATTTTGTCAGATTTTTTTTTTCTGTACATGCATTTTTTTTTCTACCTCACGACTGACAGTGAGTCCTAATGTGTCGTATCCCATATTAATATGACTATTGCCTAGGAAACCTCCTCCTCCTCGATCATCTGAACTGATAAAATAGGTAAGTATGAACTTGTATTTCTTCTCTCCTTATATTACTGTGCTTTCTGCTTACCTTTCTAGTAGTGTGCCACAAACAGCGCATAAACCATTGTATTGTACTTGATGAGTGCATGCTTCCATAATCTATTGTAGACACCGGTCATTCTCCTGAGCGATCCACATATATTTGAAGAAAAAAAACGCGTTTTTTACCTTAATTTTTTTAAATGGTAATAGATGGTTTATATAGATTTCAGTAATGTACAATTGTTTTTAAATGAGGGTTGAAATTCCTTTTATATGGGTAAGAATGAAGAGAATAAAAATAAGAAATCTTTTTTTATTGCATGACAAAATGACAGACCAATCAATTATGGTTTAGCGTTAAGTAAAGCATAAAATTGATGCAAAACTTGTACACAAAATAACCCAATCACGATGCTTGTTTTTTTTTTTTTTTAGAAACTGTCATGATGACAATTGATGTTAAAACTGGGTTTTTATTATGAACGAAAAAAAAAAAAATTTAAATGCAATTAAGGAATGAGTTCGGGAGTGTACAATATAATATGTGTGTAAATCTATTAGTGTAAGTAGTGTAAAAATGACATGCTTTTATAAAACAATGCCCAGTTAATTTTTGCTGAAAGCTTCTTTTTTCGAGCTGATGGCGAACTCGGTGGTCACATCTTTTTCATTCAGAGTAACACCAGTCAGTGCCTTTGCATAACGTAATAACGAGATTCGACGAACAAGAATATCACGCAATTGCAAACGTCGCTTCATATTCGACAAATTATGTGCTTGAATCAAAACAATCAATAAGAATCCCTCGAGAATCATGGTAGGCGTGTTACATAAAAGTTGTCCAGTCTGGTTCCAGCCCATACTGCTCGCAACACCAATCAGAGCCAAGACGATAAGGATAGAAATAGAGACAGCAATAGGTTTTGCACAAAGTACGCCCATATGATTACTGATCTTTTTGATTAACGAAGTCTTTTGTGCTTCAGCTTTGCTAGGGAGGGTCACATTCAAGTATTGAAATAAGGATTCATCCAATTCCGACAGCACCTCAAATTGTTCATCCAAAATAACATCTTGACGAAAGTATACGTTTCTCAATACAAATCCATCAATGAAACCAACAAGACCGGTGTAAGTGCCGATAATAAGCCACCAATCAGCGCTCCAGTTCATCATATTTCCCATACAGATCCAAACCGTGAATACCACTGTTGAAACAGACACACCCACACCAGAACCAATCACATCACCGTAATAATCAATGGCACGAATGGCACGAGTGACCGGATGAGGATCAATGGTAATCACAGGATTAGGCTCGTTATCACCTGTATTTCGTCGAAGTAAGGTTTCTAATTCGCAATCAGTCAACATGATTGATTTGAGACATTTTTCGAGATACTCCATATGTCGACGACGCGTATTTTGCAAGAACATGGAAGTAAAGGTTAACTCCACGGCAACAGCTGTATTGATATAAAGCTGCCATAAATCGGAATATCCCATCATCTTACCAAGTGCTACCCAAACAATAATACCACTCCAATAAAAGACCAGTGCATAGATAGAACCAACCGCAATAGAGACCCAGTTACAGCACTTGTCGAACCAATGTTCGTTAGGCAGATGGATTGCATTTTCAAGCTTGGCTTCAGCAATGGATGAATGATCCTCTGAATGTTCCTCCAGCTCTACTGCAGTAGGAGCTTCCTTATGGATATCGTTAGATCGCAACAGTCTACCTACGGTGGTAATACGAGAACGAAGTTGAGAGATAATAGTCAGTAACTTTTGACAATGATTTTGTTGTTGACGCATCAGCAGAGTATCACTAATATAGCATTGAATAGAGCCAGCATTTTGCATAAAGATTTGCCAAAATTCAGGTGCACCCAGTGCGGCACCGACAGCAGCCCAGATCAACAGGATAAGCAAAGTGGCAAGAAAACTAATACGAGAGCCAGCATATTGAGTAATGTTATCGAATAAACGACCACCCCAGGGCTTTCTTTTTTCGCTATTGTATAATGCTTCTGGAGAGATTTCTTCACCTACGACTTGGTAATCGTGCGATTTGCTGACAAATTGAGTAGGAGCGGCAAATTGGATTTGATGTTGTCTACCGGGAGAACAGAATATTTCTTTGATTTTTAGGCCGATACTCATTTTAAGTAATAATAATAAGTGTTTAAATGGAAAGAAAATCAGATAACTATCAAGGTTTATATACATATCCATTTGCATATATTATTTGAAATAGAAAAGCTACTTATCTGCTGATATTTTTGTCTCCTGTTTAATAACTAATCAATGGTATGGCCACTTTTTTATTTTTTCCTTTTAATATACTGCATATCAAGTGCACATTACTTGGTTTGATATACTTATTTTTTAAAAAGTATACAGAGATCCACAATGGTTTTTTTTCAGGAATACAAATGAAGGTACACAAACACCTTTTGATTTTTTTCTTATTTACGGTATCAGATCTACTAAAAAAAGTGTTCTGTCATTATATTCGAAAATAAAAACAAGAAAGGAATACAAAAGAAGAACAACAACGGTGAGAGATTTACACTAGCCAATGATTATGTAGTACTACACTAGACCAACCAAAGAAATATTGCTTGTGATAAATTTTCATTTATCGATAGCATCCGAGATTTTTTTTTTTGTCGAAATGTTACACCACTCATGTTAAGCCTCAGTCCGAGTGAGTCCTTTGGTTGCAGATTATCTGATTTTCCAATCATTCCAATGAGAATACAAATAATTATCACGTTTAATAAATTGCAATGGTGGCGTCTGGTGAGCATTTTTTTTTATTATGGCGCCATTAAAACGCAAAAACATTTAAGAGGCACCTACATTTTTAAGTGTAGGACGGAGCCTAAACTACTAAGGAGGGTGGGGAAAGTGCCGGGTGAGTAGAGCTTTCCACATCAACACGTCAAAAGTCGCTTTTTTTTTCGTTACCTCAAATTTCTTTCGAGATTTTGTCTACACATCTGATAAAAAAAATACTGTATAAATAAGAGGTTCTTTGTAAAACAGCTTTTTACCGATCATTCCCCGATATATCAAGACAACTGATACCATTAGCTTACAAAAGGCAGAAGGTAAGGCTTCTCGGCCGGACTTTTGGTCTGTTAATGTAAATAGACGACACTAGTATCTCACTCAGAAACTATTGATACAAGAATGATTTTAGTTGCAGAACTTAATGTTGAGTGATATCATTCTCAAATATCCCACACGTACCTGTAATGCTTCCGAGTTTTATCATATAGAATTATAAATATCGATTGGTATTTTCAAAATAAATGACTGATATTGTTCTTCTAAGTATGTAGAGAATATAACTACTTATGTTTCATGTAGTCGTATAGCTTAAATTAGCACCTCGCTGTTGTAAGGTAACAACCAGAGGAGGTTGATAACATGTACGTAAAACTTCGTAAAAACAGACTTAAATTTATCGAAAATGTTATAAAACGTATTTATACTGTCTGATATCACAACTACATTTCTACTAAATGAGAGTGTAATACCTGTCAAAGCATATAGGTATCGACATTACTTTTTGATTTTTTTTTTATTGTCATTCTTCTTGTAAATTTATATTTCATTCCCTTGAAATTGGTCAACGTGTAAAATTGATGCTTAAACTGAACGCATTACTTACTGGAAATTTTAATCATCAAGTCGTCGTATAACTTTATTTTCCTTATATATTAAACCAACCACCTCTTAGCAATTTATCACTACTCAAAATCGTGTAAAGTACAATGAACGAGGTCCAAAAGCATGTTAAATCAGAGTATGTATCCTAACCAAAGTCTTTTTTGATTACTAATTTTTCTTTTCTTTTTAGCACTTGCTACCTCCACTTCTCTACAATTGAAGGAGCTGCATATTTTTTCAATTCTTATAATGAAAAGGGTATCAACTTGAACAACCTTCAGTTTACCGTTAATCCTATGCAGTTCCCTAACGGTACTGTTGTCAGATATCCCACCACAGCACCTACACCCACACATACAACCACCCACCCACCCACCCACACACCCACACAGACACCCACCACTTCTACCAATAATGAGTGGAAGTTAAGTACTAAAAGGGCAATAGAAGATCTTGATCAAGAGATCGAGCGCCTGAAAAGGGCTCGAAATCTTTTACAAAATGCATTGGACAACGAGTAGCGTTGACCCCCCCCCCCTTTTTTTTTTTACGTAATAAATTTTTATAATATGGGCAAGAAACAAAAACAATTTAAATGCTTAACTCAAAAAAGATACTGCCATGATTACCGTGTTTACAGTTTTTTTATTATCAGATAATAACAACTATTAAAAAAAAGGCATTATTTTCTCTCTCTCTTTTCTTTTGCCTTGTGTTGCATACAGAGTTAGCCCCGTGGTCTAATTCATACTCTTTTACCTTGAACTTGGGTCTTGCTCCCCTTAACCATGTGCTATGCTCTTTCTTACTATACACACCCAGTGTATTTTTCTTCGAACGGGGGTAAAGCGATGGGGGGTGAGGCTTTTTGTAATATGCATCAAAGAAATGCTTATAAATTCACATGCTGTATTTACGCCATAAAAACATGTTTTTATTGTATTGCAAAGATTTATAACATAAGCCATAAAGAAAGAAGAGAAATACTACGGTAACGGGAAAAAAACAGATACTGATATAAGTCTGTTTTAGAAAGATAACCATTAGAAAAACTATCATATTTTTAAGATGAACATCTGATATACCTTAAGTTTGATGATGTGTGTAATTTAACCATATTTTAAAAGATAAAAAGACTGTGTTAAAGAACAAATGTAAAAACTAAAGAGTAATAAGATCCACCTTTCCTCCTTTCAGTATATCCTGATCGATCAAGTTAATTACAAAGTACATGTTAATAAAGCCAAAAGCGATGTGAAGATCATTTATAAAGACTTACAACAAGTTGATTTTCAATAAAAGTACAGAGTAGCCCTATGAAGTTTCTAGTATCATTATCGTTTGCTTTGTTTGAAGACTTCGTTACTTACCAACACCAATAGACAACGGTACATACCAAAAAAAGAAACTTTCTGATAATTTGCATCTATTGCCTTTTGTTCTATTTTTTGTTTTGATTTCTAATCGTGAACATGTCCTCTCAGTTTTCACTTTCTTGCTTTAAAAAACCTTCAACAAAGTGCTTCATTTGTAAAAAATGATTTCTCCAATCCAGCGAATGCGAATCGCCATTTAAACGTAGCACATAACTCACGTCTTTCGCAGTAAGATTTTTGTTATGGCTTTAAAAATTTATATGTGTTAATATCCATTTGATAGTGACACAGACACTGATGATTCTGGTATGACAAATGATGATCTCGCTGTCGAATCTTTTAACGACATGGTAGGATTGGAAGATGGATCTAGTTATTTTGATGATAATGACAATCATGACAATTATGATGTTTTTGAAGAAAATGATCTGGTAGACAGCGCCAGTCTACCACATGAGGAACCAGCTCAAAAATAAATATTACAAAAGGCAATTTAAATTTCCTCTCTAACTCTGCTAAAAGAATCAGTCAAGCTGAACCTATAAAAGTTAGATATCTTAATGATATGTATAAGTTTTGAATTTTGTTTTGAAGTGGTTGAGTTTTTAGATCCACTTGATACAGAATATGACATACTGTTAGGCACAGATATCCTGACTCATTTAAATATTGGTTTAACTAATGTAACACATAAATATCCAGATGATGAAGAATCTGAAGATATTCAATTCGAAAACGCTAACTATGATCCTTCGGATAAATATGATCCTGAAAATGCTGAATTTGGCACAGCGATTGAAAGAGAACAATTTATGAATTTTATTGAACCTTCTGTAAAAAGAAACGCTGAAATTAAACCGGGTCAGTTTTGCAATATTCCTGAAAGTATCGCTAGAATACCTATAAAGAAGGATGCCACAAACTGTTACATCCGTCAGTACCCGTTACCTTATCATGCTCGACCTGAAATAAAGAAAAAATTAGCCGAATGGTTAAGTTCAGGGGTTGTAGTAAAGAGTAAACCAAGTAACAAATTTAATTCACCATTATTAGCCATTGGAAAAAAGGATGAAAATAACAATCTTACCAATACAAGAATCTGTCTTGATCTCAGAAGACAAAACATGAACATAGATGATTCGTTGGTAGAAGATTTTTCTGTCCCTAATATCCAAGATATTTTTGACAAGGTATCTACTGGAGTTGTATTTAGTCGGCTTGATTTAAAGTCTGCATACAATAGCTTCAAAGTGGATGAAGCCAGTCAAGAAGTACTATCTTTTATGTTTGATGATAAAACCTATAAATGGGTAGGAACTTGTTTCGGTCTCAAATTTGTCACTAGTCAATTTTGCCGCGTTATGAATATCATTTTTAATCGTGAAGCACAAATAGCCACGTACGTTGATGATTGTTGTATATTCTCTGATACTAAGAATCATGCCAGCATTGTAAAGAGAGCAATCGATAAATTAACTGCTGCTAATCTAAAAATTAATTACGCTAAATGCACATTCTTTAAAACCAGTATCTACATGCTCGGGTTCGTTATTGGACCTGGCATCACAAAAATTGATCAACGTAGACTGTCTAATATCCACGAATGGGCTATTCCTAAATCAGCTGAACAAGTCAGAAAAATCATGGGTGTCGTCTCATATCTGAGAAATTACGTACCAAAGATATCTGACATAGCTGCTCCTTTAGATAAATTGCGAAATGATAAAGATGTGAAAAACAAATGGACACAATTTTATACTGATCGTCTAAATAATATCAAGCAAATACTACTGTCTAAAGCTGTGTTACACACACCTCGTATGGAAAATAAAATGTATCTTGAAACAGAGGCCTCGCAATATGCTGCATCTGCGGCTTTAACTCAACGTGATGATAAGAATAGAACCATCATCATCGCTATGGCAAGTACATCTTTACCTACATCGGCTCAAAACTGGTCAGTCAATCGACAAGAACTATTTGCCATTTATTACGGATTCCAAAGATTTCGGTCCCTATTACTGGGTCAACCAAAAATAGAAGTCTGGACCGATCACCATGTTATTACATTTTATTATACCATGCACGTTCCAAATCGAACAATTCCATCTTATATGGATGTTTTAGATCAATTTTCATTAACGGTCACCTACATCAAAGGAATTGATAACGTCTTGCCTGACCCGCTCAGCAGACTATATCCACCTTTAGATGACGATAAAGAACTTGAAGAAGAAGATAAAAAGATCAAACAATTGAATCGAATTATATTGGAAAGAAGAAAACGAAAATCCCGTTGAAAGTTTTAAATCTACCGATAAAATCACATCGACAGATAAATTTATTTACAAACGAAGCATTAAGAGCACAGACGCAAACCTTAATGTATTAGCCGTGAAAATAGACTCTCCACAGTACAAAACAAATCCTACCGACTATATCGCTCCACCGATTGAAAACAGACATAAACTATTACGTGATGCACATAATCCGGGACATTTCGGTACAGAAAGTATCGTCCAAAGATTGCACGAAGAAGGATTACACTGGACTGGGATATTCACCGAAGCTAAACAAGTTGTCAGCAGTTGTATTGATTGCGCACGACACAATGTAGCTCGAAAAGGGTATCATCCATTTAAGTCTATAGTAGTTGCCGAACCTTTTGCACACATTGCATCCGATATGGCTGGACCCTTCAGTGTAACTGCTAATCAAAATGTCTACATTCTCATTTTCGTTGATATCTGTACTCGCTATATCGTAGCAAAGGCTCTCCCGAACAAACAAAGTGATACTGTTGCAAATGCTCTCTGTCAGATCTTTGGCGACTATGGTTTACCTAGAACCGCAATTTTAACAGATAATTGTTGTGAGTATCGGAATGGGCTGATGGCGTCGATTACAAAGACCCTCGGCATACCTCATCACTTCTCCACACCTTATTACCCTCAATCCAACGGTTGCGCAGAAAATACTGTGAAAAATATCGTAAATACGGTTAGGAAAATGTGTGGCAATGATACAGGCAAATGGGACACGATCTTACCAGCAACACAATTGTGTTGTAATTTAAAAATACGCAATAGGATAGGCAGTTATCCTTTCTCACTTATGTTTGCTCGACAGTTCCCTACTATACAGGATCGTAACGACCCTTCAACACAATCTTCTCTTCCAAATAAGGTTTCTACAGTGGATGACTTGATAAAAAAGGCTGAATACATGGCTGACATCGTCTTTCCCGCTATACACCAAAGAACGAACGAATTAATGAAATTACAGGGAAAAAGATTTGATGATAATCACTACCTTATTGATAGTCCCATTGGATCAACTGTCATGGTGAAATTACCGTCCCGAGCAAGTAAACTATCTCCTCTATATGAAGGTCCATTTACCGTCGTCATTAAACCCAAAGCTGGTACAGATGTGTTAAAAGATAAACTGAAAGAGATGCTCCACAGAGACTACGTACCATCAGAACTGAAAGTTGTTACCATCGACGAAAGTGCCATTGAAGATAAATTATATGAAGTGAAAGAAATTCGCACGCATGAAGGGCCAGTCAACGATAGACAGTATCTCGTAAATTGGGTAGGCTATGGTGAACGAGAATATTCCTAGCTTGACGCAGCTGCATTCTCCAATCCCGAAACAACTCGCAAACACTGGGTTAAAGTAAATGAACAAAAGAAATTAGATCAAGAAAGAAATGCTAAACTAGTCGCGGATTCTAATAAACAACAACGGAAATCGGTTAGCAATGCATCGTCAACAGACAATGAAGTTATAAACATACCATCTAGTAAAAAAAGGAAGCACAACAGTAAAAAAAGGAAGCACAACAGTAAAAATAGTTCCAGTCAACTACGTGAACATGTCTTACGAAGTAAAACAAGAAAGAACTGATAAGAGGAAACCCCTTGTACAAACAATAGGCGAATAATTTTTTTTTTTGTATCTCAGTCCCACTTTCTGGATTTTGACATTCATGCATAATAATTATGGTTACTACAAAGTATAAAAAAAAAAAAAATGGTACTTAAGAAGTAGTAGTTGTATTTTGTTATACATCAATTAATAATTCCTTATTTCGCGAGCTACGCTAACGCTGGTGGGGGAGCATGTACTAAAATCGCATATAAAATCATTTCATCGATCCTTGATCGACAGGTACATAATATCATAAGACTCATAAAAAATAATAACATAAAAAATATCCTGAGTTATACATTATCACAACTTAGGGTTACTGGATACTCCAAAAGAAGATCCCATTTCGAATAACAGATTGGCTACACTGATAAGGCTCATCAGTCACTGGTAAATACAGCCAATAATACCAAGTGAACACAAACTAGCCCATAATTTTACCATTCACTTTTAATAAGAATAAAAAAGCCTACAAGCAATATTAATCTTGTTCTTCCTGTTTTTTTTTCTTTTATTTTTCCGTGTCAAACAACCCGTTTTTCCACAGTTTCAACAAGTAAGCATCACTTTCGTGTCTCATATACATGGAAAAAAATTGATAACTTCGAACAATACAAAAATATGCTAGCCGTTTTAGTAACAGAAACAATAGCAGCTATGGATAATTTTCAGCATACATCAATACAAAATTTACACTGTAGATCAGCAAATCCTGGACAGACTCCCCTAGCAAAAATGAAATATTCATCATAATGTAACAGACTAAAAGTACACTTGCTAGTCCACTTATCAGACGACGTAGAAAGATATGTTGGTGGTCCTCGCACTGAGGCTGAACGTTGTGAACAACACAAGTTTATGCGAGAGCTACTGTGCCATACTAATTGCCATAATGGTTCAAGAGATGAAACATCAAGATTTTTGGAAGAATATATGCTACGCCATATGTGCCAACATGGATCGTTTATAAGAGATTCTTCAGCACCAATGTATGAAATGTGCAGTGAAGATGTTCTTTTGTCTTATGATCCAATGCTTTTTCTAAAGCGAGCTTGAACTGTTAGACAATAATAAAAGTAATAATAAGCTGACTGTTGGTCTCGCTACTCTATTCAAAAACATCAACAGCCAAAAAAATAGTCAAACTCTTGGAAGGATTTTCCAAAAAGCAAACGGCTATTATTTCGTTGAAGCTTTTGAATTTGTGCTGATAAAAGATGAACATCTTGGTTTGGCAAGCATTTTCAGCACATGCGCAACTGACCTGACCGGAAACTTTGTAACCCGTAGACTGTCATCCCAAGGTTTTTTAATCGAAGCTACGAGTTCAGAAGACTACGAAGTTTTAAATGTTTTTAATATGTCACAAATGCCTATAGATGCACAGATCAGAAATAACCCACATTACTCAGTCATCAATAAGTCCCATTTTGGAACTTTATGGTGACTTCATGATACAACTTGTAGATCCGATAAAATTATCTACTAATTTTTCTCCATAAATATTCAAGTAATACCAAATGATGTCTCTTTTGTATAAAGTGGAAAATTCATTGATTTCATCCAAACCAATGCGAAATGGGGGGGGGGTTTATGTAAAAACAGCGACTGATTTTTGTTTGGGGGTGGAAACAAACAATAAACACAAAAACATCGTACCATACACCATTTTCATAAACTATTCGCACAATCTCAGAAAAAACTACTCAATTTCGGCACACTTTCTTCTTTTTTTTTTTTTTTTTTTTTTGCTCACTTCCAGGAATCTTTTTTGCACAGTGTGTGCGAATTATTTTAGAGGGGATTTTTATTTAAACAAGTTTCGAACTTGGACTAAGAATACCGGCAAAAGCCCTTCAAGTCGCTTATCAAGACATTTTGGCATGCTTCAGTGATTCTGGTGTTCAGAGTTTCGGCCTCCAACAGTTTTTCACGTTTCAGTTTACTCTTAGCAACAGACCAAAACTGCTCAATAGGGTTTAGTTCAGGGGAATAAGGTAGTAGATACACACACCCATACCCACGACTTTCGATAAACATTCTAATCTAATCTGATGTACGTATGGGCGCATTATCCATGATAATATAATGCCCTTTAAATTCCTCATGAAAATCCATCCCATCGATAATGCTGGCAATAAAATTGAAGTAAAGTCCCGTAACTGTACCAATACTTTTCTGCATCTTACTACCACCAACCATCTTTCGTTTTTTAGAAGCGGCTGAATAGGGTGTACCCTTATCGTAACATTGACAATGCCATACGGGAATATAGCACCCACAATTGTCGTGTCAGTGGTTGGATAACCTCGGCTCGAGTGCCTTTTTTTAGACTAATGAGAAATTCGAGAGTGAATTAAGAATAAAATGTAAAATTTAACAAAGTGAAATTATCAAACTGCAAAAATAAACTAAAGCTTTATTAAACAAATAAATGGGGGTCTTTATATACACATTATTTCAGACATTGATCACAGATGGGCTGATGACGGTTGTGGGTAGATTTATCCAGATAATACTCGGATGTAATGATCCCATATAGAAAGACCATAATGAGATGTCAATAACAATAACAATAACATTCATTCTTAAACCGTGTATATCTTGTAGCACAACATTCAGGGGAAAATGTAGTTCTTATTAAAGATAGCTGTGGCACCTCAACGTGGCTGATGTAACCTTCATATGTTTTCATATTCATGTTATTATTTAAATGTATGCCTTATACTTGTATGAAGGATGATATAAGATCAAGCCTGTACATAAAGTAAATGATCAGTATTTAATATAAAGTACCAATAAGAATTATATTTAGGATTATCAAATGGAAGATTTAAGAAGTGTAGATAGAGTCATATATTAAGTATATAGCCTCGATCACGACAACTAAGCCATTGTTCGCTTCAAATTGATGTAAAAGGCGGACTCGTCGATGAAAACACAATTATTGTTGTAATCCATGTCGGTTTGAATCCATCTTGTAAGCCAGTCGAATCTTTTCTCAATGCTTACGGACGAGTTTCTTTCTTTTGAATGAAAGTGCACTTTTTTAAATGACAAGGCACACTTCTCCGTCGTAAAGTTGTAAACAGTTGTTTTGGTTACTTTTAATTCACTGAACTGGCTGGTAAGACTTTCTATTGCCTGATCCAAAGTTGCAGAAGGGTGGCCGATAAATGTTTCTTCTAATGCTTTTTATTCTCTTCATTCAATAAAGCAGGTCTAGCAACTTTCTTTTCGTCTCCAATCCATCCCGCGATTCATTAATCAAATCTTGGTATTTTTTTCAACCAGTCGTAAGCAATTCTACGGGTAATATCTAGCTGCTTTCCTGCTTTACCTACAGTCAGGCCTTCTTCATAAACCAGGTAGAAAAAATGGCCCTTAACAATGTCTCCATGTTTCTTGTAATAAGAAACTGGTTCTGATGCAGCAGCAGAAACCATCTTGTTGACTTTAATTGATGGCTCAAGCTTTTCAGGTGGTTTAAATTCCATGTAACTATCGAAGTCAACAGTGTCAGCGAGTGAGTAACTATCCATTTCAACTGGTTCAATTCCAAGCTCTACCACATCAATTCCATGTCCATCTTCCTAAAAGATACGAAAGTCTCTTGGATTATATTGATTTTTCTAAATTTGTTCGAAATGTACAAGTTAAAGTGAGCAAAAAATATTTTGTTAAGTGAGCAATTTTTTTCTTATTGACCCCCCACCCAATATAACATAAATGGTCACTATGGCGGACATACCAGCAGCTGTGAATTAAATGGCAACATAACTGCCATTTTTTTTATTTGCTCGATATCCCCAGCCAATAAGATTCGAGCAAAAGATTGATACAAATGATCATAATATCATAAAAAAACAAAAATGCTTCAAAAACATTTCTGGAACCGTCAATATGTAGTTTAGATGTTATAGAAACTATCTCAAAGTTAAAATTAGATTGCTATATGCCAAAACATCGATGCAATATTGATCCGAATTTGATGGGTTACGGTATAAAAAATGATTTTTTGCGCTTGTGAAGCAAATGGTAACAAGTTGCCATTTTTTTTACTTATTTTTTTTTTAAAAAAAAAAGATATTGCGCCTGGAAAAACTTGCGAATGACAAGGGGCTCAAAATATACCAGTGTAAGAGAATGTGGTGTGCCAAAAGCTTGTTAAGGGAGAGCTTTAAAAGTGACAACCAAACACACAGAAGAAGGGTAACAGTAAAAAATTCTTATGCGGTTTATTTCATCAATATCGTTAACAAGGTAAAAAAATGTAGAATCAACAAGATCCCGATAGTTCAGACTCTATCAATGAAGCTTTCGAAGATATGGGTCGCGATGAGTCCCCCATCATAGCAGACGTGCTGTAGGTTTTTTTTATTGTTTTTCATGCATGATATATGTATACTCATATGCGATACTTTATTTTTATACATTTCTCCTCCACCAGAGGTAGCGAATGAACCTTCACGTAAAAGAACCAGAAGAAGATAATAGTCGTGTCTGGTCGACATGATTGGTCCATTCTGGTTTTTAGCTTCTTTATTAGTGTGTATTTTAGCGTTCTTTTAGCTTACAATTTTTTCTCTCTTTCTTTTACTTTTATTTATCTTTTAAAATAAATAGCCTTCAAATAATAATGGTAAGGGTATATAGCCCCTTCTAAATAACGGAATGTGTGAAAAAATATGTTGGAATTGAGTATGTTTGCAATGACTGAAGCAATGACATGTAATCTGTATAAAAAACTAAAGGGTTTTTTTTTAGATAAAAATTTAGCCTATTTTTTTTTATTTTGATCAAACTGAAGTACGCCTGTATAATATAACCATTTTCCATAGATAATGGCCCTCATCAATAAACGGTTCTATCTTTACAGGTAAATAGCCTTTAAAAAGTTATGTTTTATTCTTATTGATATCATACTGCTTACATATAGACTATTTATTCTGTGTACCTTTCACTCAAACGACGACATTTTAGGAACACCACCGGTCAAATAATCATCGACATCAGAACTTAAGGCTGGTAATAAAATACAGAATTAATAACAATATTACTATTTTCTTACAATACCTTTGTAGAGTGTTAAGAGAATCAAAGGTAAGCTAAAGTAACATCCAAGCATTATAATGGTATATCTTATTGCCATGTATACAACCACAAACCTAAATAAAAAGGTTAAAGTTATATCAAACTCTCCTATACACCACTGAAATATAAATAAACAATCCAATAAAACGTGCTTTACTGCCAATAATAACAATGAATAAGAAAATGTGAGCCTACCAAATATAAAAGAATGGGTCTAAAAGAGAGGTTAAGGGTTTGTCCGTTTAAAAAAAAGTGGCAGCTGTGAACGTTTTGTTATTATAGAATATCATAACTGCCACTTTTACAAGCCAGGAAAATGGAAGCTGTGAATGATTTGTCTTCAACAAACTAAAATAGATGCCATTTTTTAAAACCAAAAAACAGCAGCAGTGAACCTCTTGGCTTCATTCAACTGTTAAAGGTGCCATTTTTGCCAGCCAAAAATATGGCAGTTGTGCCTCTTTTGTTATTATAGAATATCATATCTGCCACTTTTGCACGCCAAAAAAATGGCAGTTTTGTGAAGTAAATGGCAGATAGTTGCCATTATTTCCGCCATAGTGGGTATTGTTTACTCTATGCGTGTATAAATTATTTTTTTTTATCACTCCTCCTCTGATAACATGAAACAGCGAATTTTTTTTCATTTTCATTTATTTATAAAGGTGTTTAAAAAAAAATGCCCTAAGGCGAGATGCCCGAAGGCTGAGATGCCCTAAGGCGAGATGCCCGAAGGCTGAGATGCCCTAAGGCGAGATGCCCGAAGGCTGAGATGCCCTAAGGCGAGATGCCCGAAGGCTGAGATGCCCTAAGGCGAGATGCCCGAAGGCTGAGATGCCCTAAGGCGAGATGCCCGAAGGCTGAGATGCCCTAAGGCGAGATGCCCGAAGGCGAGATGCCCTAAGGCGAGATGCCCGAAGGCGAGATGCCCGAAGGCGAGATGCCCGAAGGCGAGATGCCCTAAGGCGAGATGCCCGAAGGCTGAGTCACCCGAAGGCAGAAATACCCGAAGGTAGATATACCAAAAGGCCGACAGAAAAGGATAAATTAATTGAGAGAAAAAAAGTGGGTTTTTATACCTTTTTTTTTTTAAAAATTTTTAATTTTTGTGACGATACTTTTGTGACGCTATCTTTGTGACGCAATAATTTCTTATTTTTTCATTGTCGTCATATTTTTAGATTTGGTGCAAAACACCTTCTAAATTGAGAATGGGCTAGTTTTTTATTTTTATTACAAAAAAAAAAAGTTTAGATACAAATATTCATGCGAAACTGTATTAAAAAACCAGCGTGTTTTATTATTGTAACAAAAAAAAAAAAAATGAATAAATGGAAATAAAATAGATAAACCCATATATATTTATATATATATTTGTTTGTAATCGAGTAATGGATTGTAAAATTTGGATAAAAAATAGTCAGAAGGATGTTCACGAGGGAAAGCTTACCTGTGATTATATTTATACATTAGAATTATTAATAAAAAAAAAAAGAAGTGAACAAGGGCATACCTTTATATATATATATATGAACAATAGATCACTGAAGAATGATGAATGTTGTAATACTTTTAATAAGGCGTATACTGTAGAAGTTACCGTATATATAGTCACAACATCTAAAAAATAGGATCAACGATGAGATGATATATAAAACTTGACTGACAGCTTTGTTAAGGATACATTATCATGCTATATATTAAACATTGAGTGTTGGAATAATGGTTTATACTTAGCTTTCGTCTTATTAAAAAAAGGAAATTCAGAAAAAGTGAGGGTCTCCCAAAAAAAAAAATCGGACATACAAGAGTCTTTGTCAGAAGTACTTTTTCACTACCACAATGGCAATCGAATGCAACTGGAGAAACAATCTCGGTGGATGGCAAGCCACCTTGCTCACCAACAAAAACAAGGTAATTGGTACACATGTTTTTGAGAACTTTGCCCATTTGTTGGCCAAAGCCTCCAGTTTTCTCTGGTACCCGATGGTCCTTTCATTCTTGGCTTCAGCAGGACTGACTTTCGCAGGTATGGCCTTAACGATAGGTCCAGGAGAACGGATACGGATTCGTCGACACTTTCGAGATGCTGGAGCCGGTGAAGGGTCCATGGTGCAATTATGCAAGACGACGGTCATAATGTTTTCATCGTCTGGTGGGTATTCAAACATAGACATAGGGTTGTAACTCGGTGCCTGAGCTTTTTTACGTGGTTAACGTTTTGGGGGAGGAGAGGGTTGAAAGGAAGCGATTTCACTCTCTGAAAGTTCGTAACCGGGATTCAAAAGCATTTGTCGTTTAAATTGTTCCATTTCTCGCCATAAGGCGATTTTCGATTTTCCCATTATAAAGTTTTTGTAATAAGGTGAAAAGGAAGTGACTTTTTTTTTTTATTTGGACAATTTAAAATATCAATGGCGTCCCCTTAAAAAAAAAAAAAAAAAAAAAAAAAAAAAAAAAAAAAAAAACTGAGATATGTCGATTGGTTAATGTACCTTATATGCCAAATCATACAAAATAAACAGACTGTTTTGTAAAGTCTTATCTGTTAATGAAGCTGTTAAACGTAAATTACGCATGTTCGAAGTCGTCATTTAAGGAACTAATTTAGTGCTTCTTGTAGCTTTCATATCTCTGAAATAAACTACCAGTAGTATAGCATTATCTTACCTATTGTTGATGCATCTTGGAGCTATTAAACGCAGAGAGTGCGTGGTCAGGCTTATGCAGACAATTTTAAATCTCAATGAAAAATAAGGTCGACTCAACCGACCCTTCTAGACTGGCTGTAGATTGTTCTATTGGGTTCTATAATTCACACTTTGGGAAGCAGTCCTATTGATAAATATTTTATTGTAGTCAGATAAAATACGTTGGACGTTTTTTTATGGCCTTTTTTATTCCACAATTCTTAGTACAAAATGCTATGCTCTGGTTGCAACAAACCCACCAAGCAAGTGCGTCTAAAAAGCCCCAGTATCAAAAACATGACGGTAGGCCAAGTAAAAGTTGTTAAAATGAAATCCAAAAACACATGAAGTCAGAGTATGTATCCTTACCAAATTCTTTTTTGATTACTAATCTTTCTTTTTCTTTTAGCACCTGCTACCTCCACTTCTCTACTATCGAATGAGCAGCATATTTTTTTAATTCGTATAATGAAAAAGGCATCAAGTTGAACAACCTTCAATTTACCGTCCTTCCCATGCAGTTCCCTGACGGTACTGTGGTCAAATACGCTACCACCACACCTACACCCACACCAGCCAAAAAACAAGTCGCACCTGCTACCACTACTACTTCTATCAATAATGAGTGGAAAATTAGCACAAAAAGAGCAATAGAACACCTTGATCAAGAAATCAAGAGACTATCAAGTTCAATTTGGGTACTTTAACTATTTAAAGATGTTACAAATCTATACTAAATCCAATTTTTTTTTTTTTTTTAATCAGCATGAACTTTGAAGGAAGAAGATCCGCCGCCTTGGAATATGCTTTATCATACGTACTCCTGATAAACGAGCTTATTCTTGCTCGTCTATCTTGGCTTTTTACAAGCCTTTAAAAAACACGGCGGACGTTTTTTCTTCATTTATTTTATCGAAATGGTCTGCCCCGGTTGTTATATCCCACAAAAACAAGTAAGATTAAGAAGCCCGAGCTTTAAAAATATGACAAAAGGGCAGGCACAAGAAGTATTGAGTGGTATAAGGTTCAAGCCGTTGAACGAGGTACAAAAACATGTCAAATCCGAGTATGTATCCTAACCAAATTCTTTTTTAAATACTAATTTTTCTTTTCTTTTTAGCACCTGCTACCTCCACTTTTCAACGGAAGAAGATCCGCCGCCTTGGGGTACTTCTGATAGACGAGCTTATTCCTGCTCGTCTATCTTTGCTTTTTACAAGCTTTTAAAAAATAATTTGGACGTTTCTTCTTCAGTTATTTTTTTTTCCAGAATGGTTTGCGAAGGTTGTAACAAACCAAATAAACAATTTCGTATGCAAGGTCTTGGATCCAATAATATGGCCAAAGGCCAAATTAAAGAGGCGTTAGGTGCCATTAAGTTTAAGTTGCTTAAAGAGGTTCAAAAAAGCTATAAATCCGAGTATGTATCCTGACCAAATTCCTTTTTGATCACTAATTTTTCTTTTCTTTTTAGCATCTGCTACCTGCACTTCTCAACAGTTCAAGGCGCAGCATTCTTTTATAACGCTTATCATGAAAATGGTATTATTTTGAACAACATGCATTACACCATCTTACCCGCCCAGTTCCCTGACGGTACTGTGGTCAATTATTCCGCCGCAACACCTACATAACCAAGTCGCACCTGCTACCACCACCTCTACCAGTGATGAATGGAAGTTGAGCACAAAAAGGGCAATAGAAGATCTTGACCAAGAGATCAAGAGAATATCAAGTTCAATTTGGGTACTTTGACTATTTAAAGATATTACAAATCTATACTAAATCCAAATTTTTTTTTAATCAGCGTGAACTTTGAAGGAAGAAGATCCGCCGCCTTGGGGTATGATTTATCATACGTACTCCTGATAAACGAGCTTACTCTTGCTCGTCTATCTTGGCTTTTTACAAGCCTTTAAAAAACACGGTGGACGTTTTTTTTTCCGTAATACCAGTTTTATAAAAAAAAATGACGTGTCAAGGATGCAACAAGCCTCACAAGCAAGTTGAACTTAGAAGCTCCACAATTAAAGACATGCCTAAAGGGCAAGTCCAAGAGGCCATAGGCCAACTTAAATATAAACCATTAAAGGAAATCCAAAAGCATATTAGATCAGAGTATGTATCCTGACCCAAATTCTCTTTTGATTACTAATGTTTCTTTTCTTTTTAGTACTTGTTATCTTCATTTCTCGACCAAAGAGGGCGCATCATACTTTTATAATAGCTATCATGAAAAGGGGCTCAGCCTTAACAACATCCATTTTACTGTACACCCCACTCGATCCCGCGATGGCACTGTTGTCACGTATCCCGCCGCCGCACCTACTACCACACCTACTACCACACCCGCCGCCACACCCGCTACAGCCTCCACTAGATCAGTATCTGATAATACGCCCGTAAATAAAGAATGGGCCGGCAAAACAAGAGAGGCTATTGAAAGATTATCCAAGGAAATCAAAAGACTGTCAAGTTCAATTTGGGTACTTTAACTATTTATAAATATTACAAATCTATACTAAATCCAATTTTTTTTTTTTTTTTAATCAGCATGAACTTTGGAGGAAGAAGATACGTCGCCTTGGGGGTACTCCTGATAGACGAGCTTATTCCTGCTCGTCTATCTTCGCTTTTTACAAGCTTCTAAAAAACACGACGGACGTTTTTTTTTTCGGAATGGTCTGCCCCGGTTGCAACAAACCACAAAAACAAGTTAAACTTACAAGCCCCAGCCTAAAGAATATGACCAAAGGGCAAGCCCAAGATGCAGTTAGTGGTATAAGGTTCAAGCTGTTAAACGAGGTCCAAAAACATGTCAGATCCGAGTATGTATCCTAACCAAATACTTTTTTAAATACTAATTTTTCTTTTCTTTTTAGCACTTGTTACTTACACTTCACCACTATCGAAGGAGCATCCTATTTTTATAATATATATCATCAAAAGGGGATCAAATTGAACAACTTCTAATTTATCATCCATCCTACCCAGTTCCGTGATAGCACTGTGGTGATTTCTTTTTTCCTAGAAAAAATAGGGGGTCCCCGATTCCAGGATTATTTTTATGTGTGGGTGGCTAGCTAAAAGTACCCTTTTCTTTCCCGAGATATCTCTGGCATGGTTTTCCCAAGATACCATCTCTGGCATGGATTTTCTGGTATCTACAAAAAATCTCGGGGCACGAATTTTTTTGTTTGTTTGTGCCTGCCAATGGCAAACCCATTAATTTGTACATATAAATACTCACTTATTGGACGTTATGCCCATAGTCTAAAGAAGAGCATATCAAGCTACAGAGGACTTTTTTTTATTTGTTTCTCATATAATTAAAATTAAGAATAGGCAGATTTCCTTTTTTAAAAAAAATGTTGGTTGTCCTTATCAATACAGTCATATGTTCGTACACATGTAATATAAAATACATAATTTCGAGCATCACGTTTCTTTTATCTCTCTTTCTCAATGCACAAGAATAGAATAATTACGAAACAAGGCTAATCCCATAATGCATTGAATCCATGCATTTAGACAGTGAGTTTATCTTCAAGCTATCCTTGCAAAACAATTTTAATGATCAGCACCAATGATAACATCGTTCGAATGATTTTGAACTATAATTTTCTTTCCTTCTCTCGTAACCTCAATGTCGAACTCGAGCGAAAGTAACCAAAGACTGATTTCCAACAGAAACATAAAATTGCTGAAATACAGGTATTGGAAATCTAATTTTCATAAAAAAAATCAGAGAGAGATGAGTCGTATGTATGTGTGTGTAGAAAGATAGGCTTTACCATCGCCATGTTTTTCGGGATCAGCTATAAATCCAAGTACGGCTAAACGTACGACGAAAGCCACGATGGATGTGATTAGCCCAACATAAACATAAATTTTTCTTGAGGCCTTCCTCTGATCTTTGTTTTCACTAGTGTACTTTCTAGTGATTGCATTTGCCACATAAACGACAATCAATGTGTGAAGAAAAATAAATGCATCCTGAAAAAAAGACAAAGGATGAGAAAAAGAATAATGGGTCTATCCAAGAATAGCAAGCTGGTATGTACCGGTACATAATCTGCAGGGACAACATTCTTTTCGAAGTAATAGTAAAATAAAACTGTATCTGTGTACAAAAGTATACATATATATAAAAATAATCAAAAGCTGTACAAAAGGATTTTTGCTTGGAACTCACGAAATGAATAGGTAGTGATACTCACAGAGAGTATACAAATCATCAACATGCTCACATCTTTAGAATTCCATAAAAATGGGTTCGTACTCGCATCGAATTTAGCAAAAGGTTGGCGCCTCAATCGCATTTTAATTTTCCAAAATAAAATAGAATAGAAAAAAGTTTTTATTTTTGGTTTATTGGCCTTTACTTTTTTTCTTCTTCTTTTTGGTCATAAGAGTACAAGAATGAATGTGTAACATGTAATATTTTGTCATGGATTTGTCAACAAAATGCTATGGTAACAGAAAAACTTGTGAGCTGAATATATATATATATATTTTATCATTATGTCTCAAATTCGCGTCTACTTTGTAACTGAGGCCATCTTTTTTTTTTTTTAAGAAAACAATTATATGTAAGATATTCAAACTTTGAAATGATTCAAGGTGACACGTGGTAACCAACTACACATATAATAAAATAAAACTCACGTATCTACTGCGCAAAAACTGCGCAATAGTAACATCTTATTGGTCCTATTCTTTGGATGACAGATAAAATCACTGTGTACTTCTTTTCTGGATTTAGAATGAAAAAAAAAAATGATTCATAATTTATCCCACTTTTACATATATTGCAAAGCATGAATATATAGAATAACTGTAACACATGGGTTGGACAAAGATCAATAAACAACAATAAACAAAAGAAAGAGATCGGCATTTGCTATAAATAACACTGAATTGATTGAAAGTGGGAAACTGTTTCGAACAGTGGGAACAATTTTAACGTAAGAGGGTTGATTGGACGCGGGCCTACTAATTACGTAAAGGATGCACAGTAATAACTGATTGAGAACATAACAATAAGCTAATGCATGGATGTATTAACCGCTTCCAAACGACCAAGGAAAAATTGTTGCCGAATACATTGTATGGTATCGTGAGAAAGATACGGGTAATTGTGCTACCCCATTTTTTTTATTTCCAAAATTATCAAGCAGAGAAAAAAAAGTTTTTCTATCTTTTTTTTTTCTTGTTAGTTATGGTTGTTTGCCAAGTTTGTATATAGAATGTGTTTATTCAGGGCGCAATTGCATTATTTTCTATTGAGTCTTAAAATGCTAGTCAAAATATAGACATATCAAATGAAACTCATCAGCTAGCCAATATATAGACACTCATGATCTTTGCATGGTGGTGGTGTGTGCTCTCATGCAATTAATCTTGTGAATGGATATTTGTTGCACAATAGTCACGAAATTAAACAAAAACAAAATCAGAATCCAAGAGTGAAAAAAAAGAGAGAGACAGTTGAAGCGTTTGTTTTGCTGAAGAGATGCGCATGTTTTGTAAAAAGTGTACCACATAAACATTGAAGCGTGTATGGAATGAGATAAAAGAGATAAGATCCTTACAAAAAAAAAAAAAAAAAAAAAAAAACCTCCCCGTGCTAAAAAGCAAGAGACAGGTATGTTACATCTGGTATCACCTGATACCCTTTTTTATTTTTGATGGAGAGAGAGAGAGAAAGAGAAAGAGAAAGAAGCGTCACGTATACACGTGTTAAATACATCAGTGAAGATCCATTCCTATGTGGTTGTATGTGTATACAACTGATAAAAAGGGGCCTATATTCAGATTTATTTGACACTGTAACCCACTGTGGTTAAATGGTCCTAAAGGGTCGTTGCTTATGCAAGCTTGTTATGTATTTACATGGAAAAATGACCTATTTATTTCGCACCCCAGAGTTACCTTTTCAGGATGTTTGAAACACCGATATGCGTTACTCTTTTTTGCTTCTAACTTTCTCCTTTTTTTTTGTTCTTTTTCTTTTCTAAACATTTTTTCTTTTTAACCTCCTTTCCTATAAAATATAGATACAAAAAAAAAAAGAATGGATGTGGATGCGAAATCAAAACGAAAAAAGGTGTCTTTAGGTTTGTAATGAGAACAGAAAAGAAAATCAACTGTAGTTTAGTAATTAATACATGTAGTTTTATAGCTTGTGTGTTTTGTAGAAGATCACACATGACTTGTGACGAAGGTATATTTTATAGAGTGGAAAAAAAAAAGTTAAAATAACATGCATCATCAGGTCGACCTTGTCAACGATGTTTGAAACGAAATATAGGATCCATGTGTCACGATGAAGCTAAATCCACCGTGAAAAAAGTCTTGAACCACGAAAAACGAAAGAATAGCTCCAGCAGCTGCAGTGAAAGCAGCAGTAGTGAAGGAAGCACAGCATGGACTGGTAAAGAAATTATTATTATGATTGGGGGGAGATATATAAAGAAGGTTTTTTTATATATATATTATATTTTCTCACACACCAACAATACTTAGAGCCTACTCCGACACGGAGGAATCCACTTGGTAACAGCGAAGTTCATATTTTAAAGTAAAGAGCACATATATAGACATATATATAAATATATATATTTAGTGTACTTATATTCAACTTTAGCGAATTTATTGATGGCATGTCAAAAAAGAATGATGTACAAGACCAATTCTTTTTAACCGCAGCAGATCCAAAAGATGGCAACTTAGAAGATCGATTGAACGAAGTGATTAATGCGAAGTACCAAGCGGGCTTTTTAAAGCCATATAATTATGTCAATGGATACGCTCGACTTCAACGCTACATGGAACAACAGTAAGAACAAGCAAAAAAGTGGGCCAACAAAAAAAAAGGGCTAACAAAATAACAATAATAATAGTATGTCATCTGACAGTCGACAACGTATTTTAAATGTAATGGGCATGTTCCGACCTACTTTCCGTGATGTTGCACAATCCTTGACGGACATTGATTTAATACTGGTAGAAGAGTCGTTCGAACGCTTATTATTGGATTACGATCGAGTATTTAGTGCCATGGCTATTCCTGCATGTTTATGGCGAAGAACAGGCGAGATTTACAAGGGAAACAAAGAGTTTGCAGATCTGATCAATGTACCATTTGATAAACTACGCGATGTAAGATGGCATACTTTTTAATATTATGTATTCGTGTTCTAAATGTATTTTTTTAGGGACAATTGTGTATTTATGAAATCATGGCTGAAGACTCCATTGTGAATTATTGGGAGGTAACAAAAACAATATTGGACAAATTTTTAAACAGGTGACTTAAAAATCACTATAGAAATATGGAAACATAGCATTTGACCCTAAACAAAAAGCTGTCTTGACTTCATGCCTACTCAATTATCAATTAAGTCCTGATGAAGAACCACCAAAAAAGAGAAAGAACCTTGCCATGTCCTGTTGCTTTTCTTTTACTGTGAGACGAGATAAATTTAACATGTAAGTTTTTTTTTTCCATTGTTATGACTAAAATAAACTAAACTTTCCTTTTATATCATAGTCCGGTACGAATAAAAAGCATGGGAGAGGAAAAGACTTACTCAACACCCTTTTTTTTTGTAGACTGTTATCATTGGCAATTTCTTACCAATAGAATCGTAATACCCCTCCTCCTTCAACCTCTTATTTTTTCTTGTACATATCTCAAATTAAAACGATCTTTCTTTATTATTAAACATGTTGAGACATACCAGCTAGTAATTGAGCTAGACCATATGCACCAGGATCAGGAATATCTGCACCCAGGACTTGGTCATTAGAAAGATAAGATGAGCGACCTAATTGAGCAGCCAAATGAGTGGTGCTTTGGGCACCCTTTCGAGCAGCTTCCACTGCTTCAGATAAATTATTACCCGGCGTATTCAAAGTCTCAATAAAGGGACAGAGTGTATCCATAAGCGTACGGTCACCAACACGTGCTTTGGTGTAAGTCATTAAAGTCGCCAAGGCATGACGTGCTGCTGCTACCCAGACCGATGCATCCACCGCAGGTTTGGCGTGCTTTAAAAGCCCGCCGGCTAATGCATTTAAAAAAATACAATAAATGGCGGATGAAGTTCCACCCACGGATTGTTCAATGGTGTCTGCCATACCCAACACCGTTTTTGGGGCCGAATTTAGATTGTAAGAGGACAAATCACTTAATATGGCTATGGAACGGTGAGGTTAGTTTAATTATATACAGGAAATAAGAGTTTTCACCTTGTGCCGCAGTTTTTAATGTCTGCCCACAATCACCATCCCCTAAAACAGTATCATAATCAGTAATACGAGGCTCAGCTTCAATCACGGCTTCCGCAGCTCCACGAATAGCAGCTTCCATTACGTCTGGGTCACTGACTAATAATAATAATAATAATAAAACAAATAATAAATACAGGTTAAGCGAGTGGGCGTGGGTATATTTATATATATAATTTTTATTTCACCTTGTCCCATAAAATCATCCACTGTATGCTCAGTTTTCTTTAGTTTGGATGGATTACCAAGAATCTCTGTTGAAAAGGAAACAGCGGGTGCAGAAGGCCAACCAGGGATAGAGATGGGTTGATCCAATAGGTCCAACATCATGTGATCCTTGACGGATAATAAGGTGATGGAAAAGCCAGGCATATTTAAGCTGGTAACAAATGGACCCACTAGAACACGTTCCAAGTGTAGATAAGGCATATGTAGCACATAATCCACTGCTTCCTTTACAGCCAAAGATAACTCTAGTTGAGCAATACCACCCAAATTATTTACAAGCATGATGATCGAATTCTTTTTATCGGTGTCTAAATTCAAATAAGAACGATCCTCATCATCCTGATCCAAAAGCATGTGCATCATCTTGTTCACCAGGTCTTTTGCAGACATCATGTCCGTCTTTAAAAACCCATTTTCATTATGAATACCCATGCCTATCTCCAGTTCATTAGGAGCTAAGCAACTAAAAGAAGAAGAGCCGGGTACATGACAATGATCAAAGGCAACACCTAAGGTAGCGGCATTTTCTATTACATGCTGCACCATTTCTTTTACTTTTTCCAAGGAAGCGCCTCTCGAAGCTAAAGCACCTGCTAATTTAACGGCTAATGCCGTAGCAGCCATCCCACGTCGGCCTACTTTTCCTCCTTTGGTTTTACCCACAGAGATATCATCACCTACGGCAATTAATTCAACCTTAATACCCAAGGCTTTGGCTCTTTCCACAGCCAGACCGAAATTGAGACAATCGCCTGTATAATTCATGATGATGACCAGTGTACCATGAGGAGATTGCACACGTTGAATGGCAGCCAAGACTTGACTGGATGAAGGAGAAGCAAATACATGACCAGATACACTGGCGGCCAAACCTCCATTTCCTACAAAACTAGCGTAACCTGGCTCGTGACCAGATCCACCACCTGAAACAAGGGTGACTTGTTTCGAGGCCATTTCATCCACATTGGTATAGTAAACAACTGTTCGAAAGAGTTAGTTTGTCTGTCTATTTACTTATTGTTTAGGAAAACCTTTTTCTTTCTCCAAGATACGAATGTTTGGATTGGTATAACATAGGCCCTGAAGACTCTCTGTGACCAACTAGGGGGAGAGAAGGGGAGGGGTTAGATCAGAATACGTTACAAAGATAGACGAAATAACTTACTGTCTCTGGTGTATTTAGGATATGCTTTGCTAAATGAATAATAAAAAATGATTCAGACACGTGTATAGAGATATATGAAATCAACAGAAATTTTACCAGCAGTGTGATTCATTATTAAAAAGAAAAAGCTGTTTTAGTAAAATCAATGCGACTCACACACACGGTTAAACTAAATAAATTTGGGGGTGTTGCGTCACAGCCATATATTATGATTATTTGCTGCGCCACGAGATTGTGAGAGAGTGTGAGTTGAGTTTGGGAGAACCAATAGATGTGGAACCCCTTTTTAACTGCGGCTATTTTTTTCCTTTTTTCTTTTTTTTTTTCTTTTTTATACTTCTTCAATGAAATATTCACCACTCTAAACAGCCCTTTCTCAACAACAAAAAACCCAGATAAACACCAAAAAAAAAAAAAAAATATTAATACAGCCAAACACCTTTTAAACTTTTTTTCCAATTTAAACATCAACTCCACTTCTATTTCCCATTTCCCCAATGAATATTTCTAGTCGTCAGTAGACTATAATCTCTCTTTCTCTCTTTCTCCCAAAAAAAAAAAAAAAAAAAAAAAAAAAAACTCAGTTCAACTTACGTTATATTTTTTTTTTTTTAACAACCTATTTCATATAAAAAGAAAAAAAAAACCTCACTCTTTTTCCTCTTTCATCTACAACATCTCAACTTTTTATTTTTTTATTTCCTCTTTTCCTCTCCTTTTGAACACCCATTTTCAATATTAAAAGAAGAAGAAGAAGAAGAATATAAAAAACTAAAAGTTCTATTAAACAAATGACAAATGCTCCAATCCCACCACCAACCGCCACGATGGCCCACCAAGCAAACGATGGCGAAGCGCACTGCGAAAAATACCGACAATTCATGGATTCATCCGTACAGGAACGTACGTTTATGATTGAGAAACTCGTTGGTAAGCCCTTCACTAAAAGCAAGTTGTAAACCAACTATGATTTTTTAACAGAAGTAAGGACATCATTTTAGAAACCTTTGCCAATGTGATTGATTCTATTTGGAACCCGAAATTAAACGATCCAAAAATCAAAGTCATGCCAACTCGCTTATTCTGTAATCAAATATTGAAACGAAGCAAAGCAACTTACTCCACTTTACAAATCAGTTTATTCTACATCTTTCGTGTAAAAAAAATCGTTCATGACAAATTAAGATTAAAAGGTAACATGCAGACCAGCCAACAAGACGACCTGATGTGCTGCGGACGACGCATGTTTCTCGCATCCTTAATGGTAGCATCCAAGTATTTACACGACAAAAATTATCACAACAAGGCATGGGCTAAAATCACTGGTCTCGATATCAAGGAAATTAATGCTGCGGAAATGGCTTTTTTGACCCTCATCGATTACCGTTTATTTGTCAGTAAACCTACCTTTGACAGATGGTATACTCAGATTCACAGTCATATCCAAAAGAGTTACATTCATCAACAACCTAACCCTACTGCTGTTCAACAAGGACAACAAATCACTATCAAGCAAACACCGTTGTCATCGCAACAAGTGCAACAACAGACTTTGCTTCATTTGACAGATTATCCTTCACCGCCTCCTGACCCATTAGCTCCATCGCCCGTTAACACCAAATGTTATCAATCAAACTCCTTTGGCATGCTTTCTCCACCTCTTCAACCTATCGGTTCAAAGAGACCTTCTGAAGTGGATCACGATCAATCAACGAACAAACGCACCTGTTAACAAAAAAAAAAAAACTCACTATTATATCCTCTCTTACAAACTTTTTTTTTTACTCACTTTTTTTTTTCTCTTTTTTTTTCACAACACTCACATTTGTACAATATTTACATTCTTTTGGTATACAATCTTATTAAAATACCATCTCACCCAAAAATAATGTCTATATTGTTTGCAATCCTTCTTCCAAAAAAAAACAAAAAAAATAAACTGCCTTTCTTTTTTAAATCGCCGGTAAATCCCATTGTTTATTAATATTCTTTTAACTGCGGATTAAAAGAGAAAGACCATATTTATACATCATTTCCGAAAAAAAAAAAAATAGTAAATCTTGGCAAATGACACTAGAAATGTGCTACATCTTTTTTAGCTGGTCTATGCCCGTATGATACTTGACACGCACGGATTTAGTGGCTAACCCTGTTTAAATGTTCACTTAGATTAATACAAAATGGCCTGTGGTTTGCTTTCGGTGAATGAAAAAAAGTGTAGCACTGTGCTAAAAAAAAAAAAAGCACTTCTCTTTAGCCAAGACAGATGCATAAAAATGATTGGTGGAAACTAAAAATAAATATCACAGGGCTCTAGCAGCTTCCACTGTCCTACCGTCCAATCATTCGAGCAACGAGAACCAGCTTCGTCAACAAATGCACCATCACTTTGGTAGTTGGAGGATATATAGCCTGTAGTTAAGTATGTGTTTTATACGCATAAAAAAAAAACAATATCACCATTTGTCTCTAGTTCTTTTTCTTCTTTAGATGCTAATCGAAAAGAGATAAATTCAAGATAATTACTTATTGATATAATTTAAACAGCTATACTACATAACTTGGATAGATTATTAGTATATATCGTACCTTATAAAGGGTGTCAACCACAAGAAAGTAGACATGTAATTATGGAAATGTGGCAGATCTATGTAATAACACTATCTTTAAATCTACAACAGACTGCGTAAATAGCGGAGGAAAAAAAAGCAGTAAGTTGTTCAGGTAAACTTTTGTTGTAAAGTCGTAAAGACGACACCGACCGAGGTCAACGTTAAAAGATTATCTTAGGGCATTGAGTATACCTTACACTTTAAATCAGCACGCGAATCTCGTGTTGAACAAAGCAATGAAGGTTCATCCTCATGGTTAATTCGTTGATGGTAAGTACATCCTTGCAGACTGGATATGCAAACAAGTGGTACAACTTTGACAGGACACAGCCGAAAAGAAGTGAATGATAACTCGAAAACGGTTGTTTCCTCAGCATTTGACAGTCTTGATCAAACTCTTTCACTATAGCCCCTCAATAATACTTAAACAAGCAACTTTTGACCTCCAAGCTTTCATTAGTTAACCATACAGACGTACAAGGGGGGAAGTACGCCTTGTCTTTTAAACGAGATATCATCAAAACAATTCAGCGTTATTTTTATGTTATCACTCAACAATAAACACCAAGCATCAACTACCAAAGTGATTGTGTGTTTGATGACGAAGGTGGTTCTCAAATGACTTGTGACATTCATTTTTTAATCTTTCATCATCATTTTTATGAAGAGGCCAGTTTCCAAGGTTTGGTTGTACCACTTACAGATATGCGATCATGTGTACTACGCGAAAATCTGATTGTAATCACCGGGATTGAGAAGTGGGCCAATGAAAATGCATGCTGCGATTTTTTTATCTTTTTTATTTTTAAAATTAAACGTTACGAACAACGTCGTCGATGGATTTAGCCAAATAAGCAACATTTTTAGTGGAGACACCGGCCATAGAGATACGACCATTACCGGTCATGTAAATATGATATTTCTCCTTGAGAACTTGAACCTGTTGAGGGCTTAAACCAGTGAAAGAGAACATACCAATTTGATCAGTGATATGGTTCCAAGTACCTGGGGTCTTGAGCTCAATAAGATGGTTATAAAGAGCATGTCTCATCTCAATAATACGATGAGACATATACTTCAAGTTATCCTTCCACTCAGCATATAAAGCTTCATCATTCAAAACAATATCAACAATACGTGCACCAAAGGCAGGAGGATTAGAGATTTCGGAACGTTGAAGCTTTTCGAATTGAGAAAACACACGCTTGGCGTCTTCAGATGTCTTTGCCACAATGGTCAAGTTACCGGCACGTTCACCTAGTTTGTGCAACGATTCATTAGTTCATGTAAAAAAAAAAAAAATGATTATATGTTATTAGTAATTTACCATAGAGACCAAAGTTCTTTGCGAAAGATTGACAAACAAACAATTCAAAACCTTGTTCAACAAAATAACGGACAGCCCATGCGTCATTGTCCAAATCGCCCGAAGCAAAACCTTGATAAGCACAATCAAAGAAGGGGAAAAGGTTCTTCTCACGCATCAGTTGAGCAATACCCTTCCATTGGTCATGTGTAGGATCAACACCGGTGGGGTTATGAGCACAAGGATGGAGCAAAAAGATGGATCCTTCGGGTGCATCACGTAATGATTGTAATAAACCTTCATAGTCTAAACCACGGGTTTCAGGGTTCCAATAAGGATATTCCTCTACCTCAAATCCTACCAAACTGAAAATACTACGATGGTTGGCTGTAATTGATATTTTTTTTTTGTTTTAATAAACAATTCTCATTCTCTTATAAACACTTTAACACTTACCCCATGTAGGGTTGGAGATGTAGCACTTCTTGCTCTTCTTGTAGAATTGTTGAAGGAAAAGAGCACCAGTGTGATTAGCACCAGTACCAGAAATGGTTTGAACAGCAGCAAAGCGGCCTTCCTTAATAGCAGGACTATCCTCACCCAAAATCAATCTGGCAGCGGCGTGTGTGTAAGAGGGTTGACCGGCAATGGGTTGATATTCATGATCGAGACTTTCATCATTGAATAAGATGGTCTTGGCCTAATATAATAAAGTAAGTAACAACAACAACAATGACGCATATAAACAGATAGACGCACCTTCTTAACAACAGGGAGTACATAGGGTTTCATGTCGTCGGTACGGAAAGCACCAACACCAATGTTAATCTTGTTAGGATCAGTGTCTGACTTGTATGTAGCAGTCAAGTGAAAGATGGCATCTGGTGGTGCTTGGGGAACTTCTTGAAAGACAGAGGCGTCTACCATTGAAAGAATGTTAGTTTTTCTCCCTTGCTTTACGTGTTTTTTTCTTAAGAAAAACACCCTTGTTTAGTCCTTACGAGTCATGTTGGTGAGGTGGTGGTTAATTTGGTTTAGACGTTGAGAAGGAGAACGGGACATGTCGAAAAACTTGCGGGTTTTTATTTACAATTTTTTTTTTTTTTTTTTTTTTTACTCGGCGTACGTGAGTCAGGGCGTCACTATAAATAAACAATAAGGTTTAAAAAATCATCTCATTTAAATATTCCCTTAAAATATTACCTCTTTACACAAAGAAAAATAGAAAATATAAAGAAAACAGAAAAAGAGTGAGAAAAAGATTATGCTATTTTGTAACCATTTTTTATCTTTTTGCTAAATTCCATTCTCCACCTAATTAATATTAAGTAAGTCTGATTACATTTTTTTTATTAAATACACATGTGAAAGCAGCATAAAAAAACAATCCTTGTTCTTTTCTGGCGTGGGAAAGACGTTAAAAACTGGAAATTGCGTTACTAGCAGTCACATCATGCTGCATTAAAACATCGAAATTAATCCTATCTTGAAGAATGTTACAAGGTTTGGTCTGAATCAATTCAATACTCAATGCTTTTTTCACTTTAATCATTTGTCCTGTATCTACACGCATACATGCTCACATAAACAATAGAACATGATATGCTGCTTTAATGTCAGATTCTAATAGATGCAAAAAAAAAGAGATCTGAAATAGTTTTAGCCTAACTTTTTTATCAGCATCTAGTAAAAATCACTAGCTTTCATTTGGCTTTTTGTCAGGTTGGGATTGCTGATCATTTTAACTAATTGGGTTTAATAGAGGGTGATGTATTGTTGTTAAGGAATTTGCCATAGTGACGCAGTTATCGGTGGGTTGATAAGGAACAGCTGAACCTTTCTTGAGCCATAAGATCATCCTAGTTTGGTCTTAATAAGTTACATGCAGTCATTTGTATATATATCCACTACAACCGAACGTATTTTAAAATAGGCGATTAAAAATGTAACGTGGTTTACTGTGATAAACCATGAACTCGGTAATCTTCGTACGTCATTTTTTTTATTTATTTTTTGCTAGAGTGTACAAATTATTTATAGAAACGACTACACCACCACCACGTTTTTTGTACCTGTGAATATTCATAGAACATTTGTCAACTGGGGGGGGGGGGAGGCACGCAATTTTTAAAATGAATTCGAACTCCATGGTTTGACGTCCCCCATACTCGGCATTATTGCCGATCTTTTTTAGAAAACACAAAATTTCTTTGTGTCAATCCCCGTCACAGAAAATAGCAAATGGCAGTGTAGCATTTTCTTTTAAAGGATTTAAAAGAAAGAAAAGCAAAAAAAAAGAAGGTGTCATTATTTTGTAGATGCTAAAAATATATGTACTCTTCGCTTTTCTATCTTGGCAAAAATAAAGTACCATATACTATTCGCTAAACTCTATTTTCAATTAATATATAAAAGACTGTTATTTCTATCGTTCTCTCCCATCTCATCCACCTCCTTTTTATTTTTATTTTCAACAATTACATGAAACCATCTAGTTCCAATACTGTAAGTGCTACCCTAGAAATATGTACATGTATAATGTATTAACCGATATTACTAGTATAATCCAATGTGAGTTATTTCCAATTTATGTCGCTATAAAGCTGATTTTTATGTATTCATTTTACTCTAGCTCTCCCATTGAACCCGAGAATCCAGCCGTCAAGTAAGACATTCTATATATAAATCCTACTCTATAGAAAAACTCACTCTTTTTTTTTGTGAAACAAGTCATGCCATCATTGTAAAAAGTAGTAATACAAAGTCGCGTGTAGAGACACAAATTAAAATGACCCTTCAACTTGTCGGTAATCAATGGTCTTGGCTTCGAGTGCATGAATCTTTGCTCTCAAAGAAAAAAATAAATCGACAAATCAAAGAAAATGAATTACATTTAGAAGCGTTTGTGGTGGCGGATAGTAACCCAAACCAAAAAGTCAGCATGTGTCAAGGTTGTGTCAGAAGAGAGGTAAAATATTAAATCTTTTTTCTTCTTCTCTTGCTCATACTATCGGTTGTTTATTATTTTATATAGCGCAAAAGAGCACAGAGAAGAAAAAAACCTGTAGTAGATGACCGACAAAGAATCTTGTTGTTTAATTGTGATCCATTGATTGATTTCTCTCACGGTGAAGCGGTATTATTAACTCGCATTACTTGTTACTGTCGTCACCATAACGAGCGCATAGGGTTTCGGTAAAGAGATAAAGTTTTGTTGTGATTTATGCTTTTCAATTTTTTTTTTTTTTACATACTAACTTTTATTTAGTATTCAGTTTAGAATGAGGAATGATAAGGGCGTCGTAATTGCAACAGGCGAGTCATCTCCCATCATGGTCACAGATGATCATAAGAGTTATACCAGTCCCCCTGAAAAAAAATACAGTGTCTTCCCTACCCCATCCCATGTATCATGCAGTGCTGTCGAAACTCATCAAGCCATAATACACCGGCCACCTGTTATCCACCTTCCAATTTTAGATTCAATCACTCCTTGCCGAGGTTCTGGATGGGGTGGTCAAAAAGTCACCATTATTGGTTTTGGATTTCATGGCTATTTAGTTCCTATGTTTAACAAACGAGAAGCTATTGTACTTGGTTGGTCATCCACTGAAATGCATTGTATTTTACCGCCAGCGGAGCAATCTGGACCAGTGATTGTATCTTTTAAGCATCAAACATTAAATACAACACACCCATTGTTTTATTATACCGAACAAGAGAATACGAGTATTCTTGATCTTGCGATGAAAATAACAGGAATTCAAAATCATATTGCTAGTCATTCGTTGGAGATGGATGTGATTCAACTCCTTTCTGAAAGTCAGGCATATGTCTTGAATGCAACAACAGATGGTGGACAGACACTATTGCATTTGGCGAGCTATTTCAATTATACACACTTGATAAAGTTTTTAATCGCAAGGGATTTAAGCTTGGTGTATTTGCAAGATCATAATGGATTATCGGCACTTCATTTTGGTTGTCTTAGGAAATCCTCAGAAGCCATGTGCACCTTGCTAAAATGGGGTGCTTCTATTGCATTAAAGTCTGTCATTGGTACTCCCATGGATATTGTCTCTACTTTGTTGACGCGTGATATCACAATAGATAAAACAGAAAGTGATTGGATACCTAATTTGTTCAGTAAATTTGTTTTTCTAGACAGGAAAAAAAATTGTTTCTATTAAATGGATTAACATTTTTTTTTCTTTTAGTTAACATGGCAACTGAATATTATGATTCTAATATGAGACTTATGAATCGATGTTAAATTAAGCCGTTGTGTAAAAGCTACAGTTTGAAATGATAAAAAGGGTTACGTCTACCCATTGTGTCTCTTCTTTTTTTTTTTTTTAATCAATCCACTCACGTGTATGTATATTTAAAAGAGTTGGTATTTTTTTGCTGTTCAAACAATAATAAAAATAAATGCTGAGTAGTTATTATGGATTCAAAAAAAAACACAAGTTGGAATGCATTGAAAGATATTGTGTTCAAGAGCTCTCTTTTATATCGTAGTATGACGTCTTGTGAGATCAGGATGCTTATATTTATTAAGCAAAGCGCAATATTGGGCTTTAGCTTAAAGAAAAATTTATTTTAGTTACAAGTAAACTTTTTCTCTCACTTCACACATGTTAAATAGATTTAAAGCAAGATTTATTTTATTCGGCCAAAGTCTACATAGTGGATAAAAAAATGAAAACGATTCTGCTTGGTGATATTTGAAAATAACCGTAAAAAAATGTGTCATACCTATCTACATACTATAATTCAGGGTTTTGTGTGGTATTGTGATCGAGCACGTACTCTGATAGAATTCTATCATCAAGTCTTAGTTCCTCTTTGATAACCTCTCTTTAAATCATGTTGTATTACTTTTTGGATCTAGATACTAGTGCTCTCTATTTCATGGGTTGTCGTATCTACTCGTATTAAAACAAATACAATTGCAATTTAGCTCTTGTCATTGTAACAAGTATTCTAGTGAATATCATTGCTATTGTTTATAGGCAGACAATACCAGACCAACCCAGCATTCAGTCAGCAATTACAGCTTACACTCAGATTTTTAAGTTGCTGTGTAACACATATAGCTTGATAAGTAACTTCTTTACTTGACTATAGCTAAGGTATTAAAATCACTATTAATGCTCGATCTTCTCGACCTTGGGTCGAGATTTGTATGTTTGGTTGTAAAAAGTAAGTATCCATTAATTCATACTCTATTTCTTTATACTCTTTATTAGCAGTATACTCTTTATTAGCAGTATACTTATATCAATA